ATCGAACCCAGTTCGGCCGCATGCATGGCAAACGCCCTACCGGCTGTGCTAACACACCAGCCCAAAATAAATAAATAAAAGAGATAATAGTACTGGAGAGATAGCACTGTCAATAAATTACTTGCCTTGTAGGTGGCAACCCAGGTTCAATCCCCAGCACAACATCTCGTCCCCAGAGCACAGCCAGGAGTAATCCCTGAGCACAGAGCCCTGAGAACAGCTGGGTGTGGCCCCAAAGCCCCCAAATAAAACAAATCCATAAAAGACCTTCCTTGGGAAGTTTTGGGGCAAACCGTGACTTTCAGGCTAGACTGTAGATGGGCAAGGAAACGTGTGTGATGTGACTTACAGGTTTCTAGAAAAAAATACCAGGTGATGTTCCTCAAGCCAGGATGTGCCATCCGCAGTCCAAGGTACTTGTCACTGACCTCGGTGCCCTTATGTTCTGTACCCTGGGCCCCTGTGTTTCCTGAGCTTCAAGGAGGACGGCTAATGGGAGAGACGGAGACATTGGCAATTAGACATTGAAAATCATATCGCTGTTTGGATGCTTAAAAGCCACTTAATTTCCATTACGGCAGTGCAGATTGTACAATGTGATCAAGTCCTAAATGCAAGCTGGAGAGATGGTGCAGGGGATAAGGTTCTCTGTCTCGCACGCAGTTCCGTCTCTGGTACCCTATTAGGTCTCCTGATCACTGCCAGGGGTCACTCCTGATCATGGAGCATGGAATAGCCCCTGAGCACCACCAGGGGCTCTCAACTCTCTCCCCCAGAAGTGAATGAGTCTGATTTAATGGGAAAATCCTAAGTCACGGGCTGGAGCGATAGCACAACGGCTAGGGCGTTTGCCTTGTACGAGGCCAACCCAGGTTCGATTCCTCTGCCCCTCTCCGAGAGCCCGGTGTGCTACCAAGAGTATCTCGCCCACACGGCAAAGCCTTGCATGCTCCCTGTGACATAATCGATATGCCAAAAACAGTAACAACAAGTCTCACATTGGAGACGTTACTGGTGCTCGAGCAAATCCATGAACTATGGGAGGACAGTGCTACAGTGCTACCCTAAGTCATAATACTCAAGATAAATGAAGTTGGGGCTATAGAGCGGGACCTCACGGTTATGGAACCAAAGTGTGATTTTTTTTTTTTTTTTAGTTTCGGGGAGGAATCACACCCAGAGGAGCTCAAGGGTTACTCCTGGCTCTGCACTCAGGGATCACTCCTGCCAGAGCTTAGGGGGACCCTATGGGATGCTGAGAATTGAACCTGGGTTGGCTGTGTGCAAGGCAAACGTCATCCCTGCTACACTATTACTCCAGTCCCTCTGACTAAATCCTGCCCCAGAACTCTCTCTAGAGAGCACTAAGATTTCTAGAAAGTGGTAATGGTGATTCAGGATAGAAGGGAGGATGCAATTGTTTGGTACTTATTTCGAACAAGACCAGAATTCTCACACTGATTACCTGTTTCTCATGATTGATTCATGTGGTGTATCTGGCTTTCCTTAAAGGACTCCCATAGGCTAGCATGTGTGTGTCATCTATAACCCCACATGTCAGCGACAAACAGGCCAAGCTTTCAGTGCCATGCCCCAAAACAATTGGTTGAGTGAGGCTTAAGGACCTTTGAAAAGTTCAAAGCAGGGGCTGAAGTGATGGCACAGCGGATAGGGCGTCTGCCTTGCATGCGGCCGACCTGGGTTCAATTCCCAGCATCTCATATGGTCCTCTGAGCATATGGGATGCTGGGAATGGAACCAAAAAAAAAAAGCACAAAGCAAAATGAAACAATGTAAAGTCTGGCTTAATTTAATTTAATACAGGCAGGTGCAGTGGGGGGAGTAGAAGTGGTACTTAGGGTTCATTATAAATCATAATCTCCGGAGCTAGAGCAATAGCACAGCGGGGAGGGCATTTGTCTTGCACGCGGCCTAAATAAATAAATAAATAAAATTATAATCTCTCTCTCTCTCTTTCTCTCTCTAGTTTTTGGGCCACACTAGCTGTAATCAGGGCTTACTACTGGCTCTGTGCTCAGGAATCACTATGGCAGTACTTCTTCTGGGGAGCCAGAAATCGAGCCATAGTACAGTGGGGAGAGGGCACTTGCCTTGCATGTGGTAGAGCTGGGTTCAATCTCCAGCATGCCAGGGCTGGAGCAGTCATACATCGGGTAGGGCGTCTGCCTTGCATGCAGTCGCCCCGGGTTCAATCCACGGCATCCCATACGGTCCCTCAAGCACTGCCAGGAGTAATTCTTGAGTGTAGAGCCAGGGGTAACCCCTGAGCATCTCTGGGAGTGGCCAAAAAAAGGAAAAAAGAAAACAATCTCCAGCATCCCATATGGTCCCCCAAGTACCATCAGGAGTAATTCCTGACTCCAGAGTAACCCCTGAGCATTACTGAGGGAGGCCCAAAACAAACAGAAAAACACCCAGGTCAAGGTCAGCTGAATGTAAAGTAAGAGCCTTATCTGCTTCACTATCCCTCTGGCCCCTTTGCTCTTTTTTTTTTTTTCCCACGAGAAACTCAAGTTAAAACTTGGCCCAAGAGATAGCACAGTGGGGTAGGGCACATGCCTTGCTCACAGCTGATCTGAATTCGATCAATACTGTACAGGGGCTGCACTGTACAGGGTTGCCCAAGCCCTGCCAGGAGTGATCCCTGAGCGGTAGGAATAAGCCCTGAGCACTACTGGTATGGCCCTCCAAAGGAAAAAAAAGTGTCAAAGTAATAATAGCACTATAGTACTATCCTCCCATTGTTCATTGATTTGCTCAAGCAAATTGCTCACAATAACATCTCCATTGTGAGACTTGTTGTTACTGTTTTTGGCATATCAAATATGTCACGGGTAGCTTGCCATGCTTTGCCGTGCGGGTGGGATACTCTCGGTAGCTTGCCGGGCTCGCCGAGAGGGATGGAGGAATTGAACCTGGGTCGGCTGTGTGCAAGGCAAATGCCCTACCCGCTGCGCTATAAGTATTATTATTATTAAAAGAAACTTACTTCTCGGTTTGGGATATGGTACAGTGATATTCAGTGCATATTTAGCATTCCTGAGACCAGGTTCAATTCCAGGTACCACACAGTCCCTCAGTGTTGCTGGCTGTGGCCCTGGCGTCTTCAAGTACCACCAGGACAGTCTGTAATTCCTAGCACCTCAGGGCCTAAGAAGCACCACAATTTCAGATTTTTGAATCCAAATGGTCATACCACCCCAACTCCCCCCAAAAGAAACATCAGCCCCATCTTCTTTAACCAAGCTTTATCAACAGGGCCAATGGGTTTTCTGAAAACTTCTTGGGAGGGACTGTAGCGATAGCACAGCGGGTAGAGCATTTGCCTTGCACGTGGCCAACCCGGGTTCGATTCCCAGCATCCCATATGGTTCCCCAAGTACTGCCAGGAGTCCTGAGTGCAGAGCCAGGAGTAACCCCTGTGCATCGCCAGGTATGACTCAAAAAGAAAAAAAATAAGAAAAAAGAAAACTGCTTGGGAGTTCTCCCTAAACCTACAATCCTTTTTGTTGTTGTTTTGGGGTCCATAGCTGGCTGTATTCAGGGTTTACACCAGGGATCAATCCTGGTATGGCTCTAGGGGTCTGGTGGGTTGCAGGGGATCAAAACTGGTTTGGTCATATGCAAAGCAAGCAGCTTACACTGCTTTATTCAGTCCCCAAAATGTTATCTAGAGTTATCTTGATTTTATTTAATGTTTTTCAGACCATAGCACTGGTGCTCAGGCCTTAATTCTGGCTCCAAAATCAGGGATCACTCCTGGCGGGGCCCAGAGGTTCACATAAGAAGGTGGAGATCAAACCCAGGTCGGCAGCATGCAAGGCAAGCGCTCCTCCTTCTCACTATCATTCTGGCCCTTCTTGGTTTTATTTATTTTACTTTGGTTTCTGGCCCACACCTGGAGATGCTCAGGGGCTACTCCTGGCTTTGCTCTCAGGAATCACTCCAGGCGGTGCTTGGGTGATGGTGCGGGAGTCCCCTTAGGATGGGATCCCGGTTAGCCCTGAGCAAGGCAAGATTTCATCAATCTAGCTTTCAACATCATGCCTTCCAACTAACTTCCTCCTGCTCACTTCTCTACTAGCAGGTCTGGACTCATTTGACCATTTGCGCTGTTGCAGGGCCCCTTGGTACCTCGACTTTGCCTTCCTTCCCATTGGCATCCCTCCGACCTTCCACGAGAGGGGTGGGGGGGGGTGAGGTCCAGACTGACCCCCGGAGGCAGAGGCAGGAGTGGGACGCTCGGATCCTAAGTGGCACAGACTGCTAGTGATCCTGACATGTACGCACTCGAGGAATGCATACAACTCGGCATCATTATACCCAAACCCAGAAATGCCACGTTCAGGATTGCACCCCCCAGAAGCACTTGCACATCTCCCTCCGGCCCGGTTGAGGACCCTGTCAGTCCAAAACCAAGTCCCCCGCCCTGCAGACCCCTCCCGGAGACAAGTAGTTGAGTCCCCCTGCTGCGCTCACCCACCCTTCCCCGCGACCCCTCATTCAGGTTCACACCTCACTTCCCACCGACTGAGGAAGGTTGGGAACAGCCTGGAAGACCTCTTAACCCTCGCAGGGCCGCCTGCAGCACGGACCCCCCCACCCCCTCAACCCCAAGTAACTGTCCCCCGTTTTTCCTTTCCGCAGAGAGGCGACACCGAGCAGCCACCCCCACCAGGCGCCGCGCGACCCGGGTCGCGTGCCCTACGGCGCGGGGCGTGGAGCAGCGGGAGCCGCCAGGAGGCGTGGCCTGCGGCGCGAAGGGGCGGGTCCGGGGCGGGGCAAGGCAGAACCTGGGCCGCGAGGGGCGGGCTCTGCGCTCGGAGGGGCGTGGCTTGGGAGGGAAGGGGCGGGTCCGGGGCGGGGCAAGGCGGAACCTGGGCCGCGAGGGGCGGGCTCCGCGCTCGGAGGGGCGTGGCTTGGGCGGGAAGGGGCGGGGCCGGCGGGGTGATGGCCCCGGTTGTCGCTGCCGCCGCCGCTGCCGCCGCCTCAGCCGCCTCAGCCGCCTCAGCCGCCGCCTCAGCTGCCGGAACCGAAGTCGCCGCCGCCGCCGCCCCCCCCGGTCGCCGGCTGCCCGCGTGCTGACCCGGCCGGGGTGCGCGGCCATGGAGGACTTCATCGTGATCTCGGACGACAGCGGCTCCGAGAGCCCCGGGGGGCCCCGCTCGGGCAGGGCGCGGAGGCTCCGCCGGGCCCTGGCCCGGACCCCCGGCGCGCTGCCCCGCCGGACCGTGGTGAGTGGCCGGCGGGGATCCGGGGGTCGGCGGGGGCTCCCGGGGCTGCCCCCACCCCCCCTCAGCCTTCCCGCCTCGTCGCCTCGTCGCCGGCCCCTCCCGGGACCAAGAGCAGCGGCCGAGGGTCGGGTCGGGCCGGGCCGGGCGGGCGGGGGGGGGGCCGGGCCGCAGTCCATGTGCTCGGCCAGCGCGGCCGTCCGGCCCAGCCCGGGCCCCGGCGGGGCTGGGGGCTGAGGGGGTGGGGGGCGATGGGGGGGCCCGAGGTAACCCGAGCGCGGGCAGGCGGCGCCCAGACGGTGGCCGCGCTCCAGGACCCCCCGCGGCCGAGCGGGCCACCCCCCTCCGGTCCCCCAAGGGGCGCGGGGGGCTGCCGGCTCCCCCCTACCAGCCCCCACGCCGGCAGCGGGCGGGAAAGGCGTGCATCGCGCGCGACTCCCTAGCTCCCTCCAGCCCCTCCGGCCTTTGTCCTTTTGGGGGGTTCGGGGACCCCACCCCCGTTTCCTGAATATCTCGTCCCTAAGGACGCCCCCACCCCTCATTCCCCCGGCCTCCTCGGTGGGCTCCTCAGGGAACCCACATCCCCACCCCACCCCCCAAAAAATAAAAATGAAAAAAAAGACCGTCCTAGAAGGTGACAGCGCCCACCAGGGACTGTCTAGGAGGACTCCCAGGGGAGGTGGACAGGCTTGTCCTCAGAAGACTCTAGAAGGTCTCCGCCGCCTCCCTTCGCGGCGGCTCTGCAGCAAATCCCGCCCCCCTCCCCCCAGAAATGATAGGAAGGATCCCATCCTGGGGAGGGAACAGTGCATCCTGCCCCCTCGAGGCAGACCCAGTACCCCCACAGGTGCATACTCCCCCGGGACCACGCTGACACCTCCAATCCCCTTCCCAGCCTCTCGGCTGTTCCCCCACCTCTCAATGAGCCCCCTGGGGCCGCGAGGAGGTTTTTCCCAGGTAGAGAGCTAGAGAAGGTGGCATGCAAAACCAAAAGGAATGCGGCTGAGTTGTCCCAGTTCAAAAGGGGATAACCCAGGGCATCTACCCCAAGTTCATCTCAGGCGGGAATTTATTTTATTTTTTTCAATTTCCGGGGCCACACGCGCTCAGGGCTGACTCCTGGCTCGGTGCTCAGGGGTCCTCTCCTGGCAGGGCTTGGGGACCATATGGGATGCAGGGAATTGATCCCAGGTCCACTGCACGCAAGGCAGGAGTACTATTATCACTGCCCGCTGTACTATTATCACTTCATCCCTCCTGGTCCCGAGATTTCAGATGAGATCGATAGAGGAGAGATTTACAGGGGACTTGGTGACCACATAGATGCCGTGTGCAGGGAGTTAAAACAGTGGGCTAGAGAAATGACACAGGGGTGAGGTGCTTGCCTTGCATGTGGTGGACCCAGGTTCTGGAGTCAGAACAATAGTACAGTGGGAAGGGCGCTTGCCTTTCATGCATCAGGCCCAGGTTCAGTCCCCAACTTCCCATCTGGGCCCCTCAGCCCCACAGGAGTGACCCCTGAGCACAGAACCAGGAGTAAGCCCTGACCACCAATGAGTATGGCCTCAACCCCCTACCCCTGCACACATTTTTTCTTTCAAATAAATTCGTAATAAGTATGGGCTGGACAGTGTTTGGGTTGAGTTATGAGAGAGAACATGTTGGCCTGGGGGTTTGCCCAGTGACCCACCCAGTACTACAGTAGGATCCCACTCAGGGTGGAGCAATGCCCAGTTCAGTTTGGCACTTGAAAACGTGGAACACTGGAGAAAAGGCAGGACTGGAGCAACTTGGTGATCAGCAAGAAAGGTGCTTTGAGGGGCTGGAGTCGTAGTACAGAGGGGGGAATGTCTGCCCTGCAGACAGCTGATCCGGTTTGATCCCTGGCATCCCAGAGGGTCCCCCACTCATCACTAGGAATAATCCTTTCTGAGCAGAGTAACCCTGAGCATTACCGGGTGTGGCCCCCAAACCAAAAACAACAACAAAAAGTGGATCTTGGGTCTTTTGAGTTGAAGCTAAAAGAAGAATAAGAAGTTCCATGGAGGGGCTAGAGCGATAGCTCAGCAGGTAGGGCGTTTGCCTTGCATGCGGCCGACCTGGGTTTGATTCCCACATCCCATATGGTCCTTTGAGCACCGCCAGGAGTAATTCCTGAGTGCATGAGCCAGGAGTAACCCCTGAGCATCACCGGTTGTGACCCAAAAAGAAAAAAAAAAGAAGTTCCAGGGAGCACATTTAACTCTTTTACTCCAGCTTTGCAAAAAGCTCCAGCTGGATCTCCTTTGATTCTTCTGGCAAATCAGACAGGCTTGGTTCTAAAGCTAAAGGAGCTTGGTCCTGCTTTTTCTGCATACCTTGAGGTCTGCGAGCCATATACGGCTGGGTGTGGCTCGAAGACAGAAGAGAGATAGGGAAAGGGAAAGAAATGAGAAGGGAGAGGAGAGGGAAGTGAGAAAAGGAGAGAGGAAAAGAGAGAAAAGAAAGGAAGAGGGAGAGACGAGAGAAAACAGAGAGAGAAAGAATATCAGTACATAGCTCGAAGGCCACTAGAAGGCATTTTTGTTTCATTGTGTTTGAGCCACACCTGGACCATTCCTGGCTGTGCTTGGCGGGACCCGATTGGGTGCCAGGGATCGAACCTCCTTCAGCTGCAAGCAAAGCAAGTGCCGCATCTGCTGTGCTATCTCTTCATCCAGTATGATTATTATTTGGGGTGGAGGGCGGGGGAGGCAGTTATCTACCCAGCAATGCTCAGGGATTACGCTTGGGAACCATATGGGATGCCGAGGATCGAATCCGGGTTGGCTGCGTGCAAGGCAAATGCCCTATCCAGTACTGTCGCCCGGGCCCCCAGTACGAACATGTCAAAGTCTTGTCTGTCTGCTCCTTCAGGTATAAATGTGTATGTGTAACTCATACGTACCCATGTGCCCCGATAAGAGACTGTTCTCAGGTTCGTTTCTGTTTGAGGTGGGGTTTGGGCTCTCCCTGGTTGTTTCTTGGAGACAGGCTGTGCTATGCTTGCTCTGGAGTCAGCTGCATGAAAGGCAAGTGCTTTAGTTCCTGTAACCGCCTCTCCAGCCTCCACCTGCATACTTGGGTGGGGAAGGGCAACACCTGGCAGTGCTCAGGCTCCTGGCTCTGTGCTCAGCGGACTTAATCCTGGGGGGCTTAGCAGACAATGTGGGGTGCCAGGGATGGAACCCAAGTCAGCCGTGTGCATAGAAAGTACCCTACCTGCTGTACTGCCTCCTGCCCCATTACATGTTTTCTTCATTTCCCCCCGCAGCTTCCTTTTCTTTTAATACACTTTTTTTGGGGGGAGGGAGGCACACCTAGCATTGTACTTGGGGCTGGCTCATCTCTGGCCCTGCACTCAGGGATCACTTCTGGTGGGGCTTAGTGGACCACCTTGGGGTGCTAGAGATTGAACTCAGATTGGCCACGTGCAAGGCAAGTCCCTACCCTCTGTACTATTGCTCCAGTTCCAAGATTAAATTTATTTATTCTTTATCCTGTTTTTCTTTAAATGTTCTCTATTATAAACCCTGTGAGGAATTTCTTCGTAAGCAATCTTTCTAACTTTGCTCATTTGTTTGTTTAAAATAAATTCCTCTTAGAAGTTATGCTCACTTGAAGGGTTACTGCCAAATCTCCTAAGATACAAACCAATTTTCTTGTCACCACATTCCTTCTCTACTACCTAAATGTTGCCCATTTATTCAGGAAATATTTACTGAATATTACATTACAACACACATCTCTCTTTTTTTTTTTTTCCTTTTTGGGTCCCACCCGGAGATGCACAGGGGTTACTTCTGGCTCTGCACTCAGGTAACAGAGTTAAGTAACACAGTAACTCTGTTACTCCTGGCGGTGCTCAGGACACCATATGGGATGCTGGGAATCGAACCAGGGTCGGCTGTGTGCAACACAAATGCCCTCTCCGCTGTGCTATCGCTCCAGCCCCACTACACACATCTCAAACATACCATACATATTGTTTCCAGCTACCACCAGAAAATGGATATTACGGTCCTGGAGAGAGGACAGCAGGAGAGATGGGGTGCTGGGGATCAAACCTGGGTCAGCCACGTGCAAGGCAAACGCCCTCCCCACTATACTATCACTCTGGCCCCACCAGACACTTTTTTTTTTTTTGGTACTTTGCAATGTTGGGATTGAACCCAGGGCCTTTGCATGCAGGATCAGTACTTGTCCACAGAGCTCGATCCTACCCTTGGTACAGGCCTCAAACAGGCCCTGAGAGGGTTTTTTTTTGGGGGGGGGGTTGTTATTTGAACATACATACGCAGTGATGCTCAGGGGATATTTCTGGCTCTACGCTCAAGAATTACTCCTGGTGGTGCTGAGGTGACCCTATGGGATGCTGGGAATCGAACCCATGTTGGCCGCGTGCAAGGCAAACGCCCTACCCGCTGTGCTATTGCTTCAGCCCAGCCCTCAGACTATTACGGTGAATAAAAATACACCCCTGCTTGGTGGAAATGTCTTTTTGCTCAGGGAGAGATCTCAACCAGGAGTGACTGAGCGAATCAGTCCAATGTCAGTTACTGGGAAGAATTTTAGGAGGAAATCAAAGGTGATTTTCTCTGTGGAGGTGACGGGCTGAATCTCGGGGGGGGGGGGGGGGCGCTGGTTGTCTTGTTTCTGATCCTTTGCGCACTGTGATTCATTCTTTCAATACAAAACTTGCTCTGAGGCCGTGGACAAGTGAACAATGGAATTATGTTCTAGTGTGGTGAGATCAGCAAAATCCTTAGCAGTGGATAAGCCAACAGAAAAATGGGATATTTGCTTGGGCTGGGAACATTTGATTGTGTCTTCACCTAAGGCCACTCTGAAGAGTTCCTCTTCCTTCTGAGACTGCAGTGACAGTCCAGATTAGTTTGAGAAACTTTAGAGCAGTGTTTGCACCATACTATTACTCCTACCCTGAAGGACTCCCCCCCCACCTTTTTTTTTTTTTTTTTTGCTTTTTTGGTTTACACCTGGTGATGCTCAGGATTACTACTGCTCTGCATTCAGAAATTACTCCTGATGGTGCTCAGGGGACCCTATGGGATGCCTGGGGATGCAAGACAAACTCCCTCCTTTCTGTACTACGGCTCTAGACCCTGAAGAGCTTTTTTTTTTTTTCTTTTTGGGTTACACCCGCGATGCACAGGGGTTACTCCTGGCTTTGCACTCAGGAATTCCTCTTGGCCATGCTCGGGGGACCATATGGGATGCTGGGAATCAAACCTGGGCCTGCCACATGCACAAACGCCCTACCCACTGTACTATCACTCCTGCTCCCTGAAGGGCTTTTTTAGAAGAATGATTTGATTGTTTGGAGTTGGGGGGTTGTTTGTTTTTTTGGGTTACACCCGGCCATGCTCAGGGATCACTCCTGGTGGTGCTTGGGGGACCCTATGGGGTGCGGCGGATTGAACCCAGGTCAGCCACACGAAAGGCAGTTGCCCTCCCCGCTGTACTGCCCCTGTCCTGAGAATGATTTGATTGGACACAGGTTTGATTGGTCTGTTTGTTTGTTTGTTTTAGAGGGGGTGCCCCCAAACAGTGCTGGGGGACTGGAGTTTTCTGCCTTGATCTGTGATCATCTTGCCCTCCTCCAACAGGACTTCATCGACCTAACGCGAGAGGCCAGACCCAGGCCAAAGGACCGCAACGGACTCTGTGTCATCGACCTGACCAGGACTGAGGACGAACCCGGGCCCATTGCCACGCTCGACCTGACAGGAGAGGCTGTCACATCATCCCCCAAGGAGCCAGCCAGCCAGCAGCCCTGCCCCGGCCTCGCCGACAAGGAAGGGACCGCAGAGGGGCGGGCGGACAGGAGCTCGCGGCCTGCGGCTCGGAGAATCATTAACAGCGAGCCGGTGGACTTGGACCTTTTGGAAGAAGCCACATCGGAAGGTCCCCCAGGCCGGCCAGCCATGGGTGGGCATGCGGTGCATCCCACGGAGGCTAACTGCAGCGCCTCCGCCTCCCAAGGCGACCTCGGCCGTGTGCCCCACTTCACGCTCGCGCCCAGCGTCCTGCCCCTCTCCCCCACGAGCAATACCGGGCACGGCAGTCATCAGCGGGCACCCTTGCCATACCCACTGCAAGATGTGCCTTGCCCCCCGCCAGCCCTGCCGTGCCCACTGCACGCTGTGGCATGCCCGCGGCAGAACCTCTGCCCACCGCGCGCCTCCTCCTGCCCGCCGCGGGCCTTATCCTGCCCCTCCCAAACCGTGCAGTGCCCACTCCAGGCCGCACCTCACCGGCCTCTCGAAGTGCCATGCCCCTTTCAAGACATGCCATGTCTTCGGAAGGTGCCGGCCCCTTATCCCGGGCCACCCAGTGGGCCGACCCGACCCGGCCCCCTTCCAGACACCTCCTGGTACCCACCACGCTCTGCCAGCCCACCTCAGGACCCTGTCTGTCCCCGTCAGAACTCTTTGGTCCTCCCTCCAGAGATGGCAAGCCCCCCGCACACCTTAGCCCATCCCCCCGACAGGCCCCCGCAGCCAGATGCGCCTTTCTCTCTGGGCGACATACCACCGTCCCCAGGACGAGCATCCTATTCACTCAGAGACAGTTCCCTGTCACCAGCAGCCATGCCACCCTCGCCAAGAGATTCCCCACTGTCACCGGGGAGTGTGCCCCTGTCGCCGCGGGGCATGCCCTACTCTCCAGGAGACACGCCCCCGACCCCTGGAGAGGTGCCACCGACACCCGGAGACACGCCATCCTCACTGGGAGCCTCACCTCCTTTTCCCGCAGCCTCGTTCGACTCTCCCGCCAGCGACCTCCAGCACCTGGACATGCCGATGGACGTTGCCACCCCCTCGCCCTTCAGCTGCCCTTCCAGCTCCACCACGTCACCCCTGTCAGACATATCCCTAGAAAAGGTGCCCTGGCTGTCGGTGCCGGAAACACCCATCCGCAAAGACAGGTCCTGGTCAGAGCCGGGGACCCCTGTGTCCGCCCAGGTTCCGGCGCCAGTACCCCAGGGAGGCTTATACAACCGGCCGTGCCTGCACAGACTCAAATACTTTCTGCGCCCCCCCGTGCACCATCTCTTCTTCCAGACGCTTATCCCGGACAATGACAACAGAGAGGTGAGTTGGACACCCCCCTCCCAAGAGGAAATGACCATGGGAGGCATTGAACATTCTAGAAGGAGCTAGGCGAATGCAGAACAATATAGCAGTATAGATAGCAGTTAAGGTTTTTACACATTTGATCCCTGGCACGCCATATGGTCCCCTAAGTTCCTCCCTGAGTGATCCCTGAACACAGAGCCAGGAGTAAGCCCTGAGCACCGGCAGGTGTGCCCCCAAAACCCAAACAAAACATTTTTTTCTTGTTCAACAAAACGAAATATTTCGCCTAACTTAGAATCTCTCTCTTTGGTCCAGAGAGATAGGACAGTGTGTAAGACACTTGCCTTGCATGCAGTCACCCCGAGTTTGATCTCTGGGACCCCACAGTGTCCCTGATCTCCACCAGGGGTGAGTTCAGAGCCAGGAATCAGTCCTGAGCACAACCGGGTATAACTCAAAACAGAAAAGGCTTAAATAAAAATGATGAATCTGGGGCTGGAACGATAGCATAGCGGGCAGGGCGTTTGCCTTGCATGTGGCCGATCCAGGTTTGATCCCCAGCATCCCATGTGGTCCCCTGAGTACCGCCAGGTGTGATCCCCCCAAAAAAGAAGAAAAAATGATGAATCTTAGGGCTGGAGCAATAGTATAGCAGCTATTGCCCTGAATGTGGCTGGCCTCAGTGCTGGCCTCAGCATCCCAGAGGGTCCCCTGAGCACTGCCAGGTGTGAACCCTCCCATCCTCCCAAAGAAAAAGAATCTTGGGACCAGAGAGATAGATAGCACAGGGTTAAGGCATTTGCCTTTCTTGAGATCAGCCTCAGTTTGATCCTGAGCACTGCATATGACCCCTAGGAACCGCCAAGAGTGCTTCCCAATCCAGGAGTAAGCCTTAAACACTGTCAGTTTTAACCTCCCCAAAAAATGAATAGATCAAAATTTAAAAATTGAAACAGGGGCTGGAGCAATAGCACAGCGGGTAGGGCATTTGCCTTGCATGCGGCTGATCCGGGTTCAATTCCCAGCATCCTATATAGTCCCCTAAGCACCGCCAGGAGTAATTCCTGAGTGCAGAGCCAGGAGTAACCCCTGTGCATCGCCGGGTGTGACCCAAAAAGCAAAAAAAGAGAAAACAAACAAAAAAGTTAAAACAATGCCCTTTAGATAACAAATATGACTCAGTGAGCACATAATTTGCATATATGCAAGACCCTGAGTTCAATCCCTGAGACCTCGTGGCCTCCTTGGGTGGCGTAAGGGTGACCCCATATATATGTTTCTTTTGGAGGAGGGGACTCACCAGGCAGTGTTCAGGACTTACTCGTGGCTTTGTGCTCAGGGATCACTCTTTGGAGGGCTCAGGGGACCCTAGGGGGTGCTGGGAATAAAACCAGGGCCAACCACATGTAAGGTGAGCGCTCTACCCACTGTGCTATCACCCTCTTTGGGGGGGTCTTGCTCCATGTCCAGGAGTGCTCCAGGCTTATTCCTGGCAGGTTCAGGGGACCATACGTGCTGTCAGGGATCGAACCCGGGTTGGCTACAGGCAAGGTAGGCGTCCTCCCTGCTGCACTGTTGCTCTGCCCTGCCCTCCAGAACTGACTCTTGGTGCCAGAGAAATAGCTCAAAAGGCTGGAGCGCATGCGTGGCTGTCAAAGACCCTGTATTTCATAAGGCCCTGGAGGGTCCCCTGAGCACCACCAGGCGGCGCCCCCAGGTAATCAACAGGAAGCAGACCCCTAAGTAAACCTCACCCCCAAAGTTGAATCTTTCAAGTGCCTGGAAAACATGGCTCTCACTCCCAGTTCCTGAGCCTCTCCTTTCTTATTTGGTTTTGGGGCCACCTCCAGCTGTGCTCAGGCTTACTTCTGAGTCTGCTCAGGATCCTGGTGGAGGACAGGGCACCATATGGGGTGCCAGGGATCGAGCAGGGGCCCACTGCGTGCACGACGGGCACCGTCCCCACTGTCCTATCTCTTGGTTGGCAGGAACCCCCTCCTGACAGCTTTGGTGTTTGGGGGATCCCTTTGGGGGGGCATGTCATACCCAGAGATGCTCAGAGGTATGAGCACCAGCTCTGCACTCAGGAATTAACCCCTGTTGGTGCTTGGGGGACCCTTTGGGATGTTGGGGATTGAACCCGGGTCGGCCACGTGCCAGGCAAGTGCCCTCCTCGCTGTCCTATTGCTCTAGCCCATGATGGCTTCCCTTTTTTTTTCTCTCCCCAGAGCAAAGGTCACAAACTAGAACCCATCCCTCATCGCAGGCTCCGCATGGTCGCCAACACCATCGAGGAGAACTTCCCCCTGGGAACCGTGCAGTTTCTGATGGACTTCGTGTCACCCCAGCACTACCCACCCCGGGAGATCGTGGCACACATCATCCAGAAAATCTTGCTCAGCGGCTCCGAGACCTTGGACGTGCTGAAGGAGGCCTACATGCTGCTCATGAAGATTCAACAGTAGGGGCCTGTCCCTCGGGGGGACCTGCCCAGGGGCCCTGCTGTCTGTCCCCTAAACTTTCTTCAGCTCTCCTTTAGAGAGGCCGGCCCAGTAGACAGGCAAGTGATGGAAAGTTCCCCCCTCCAAACCAGCTTCCGCAGATATTCAGAGAGAGGGCAGGAAGCACAAGGGAACCCCGGGGTTCACACCCAGCACCACATGGTTTCCGAACACTGTGGAGTGCAGCCCCCCAAACTTCCATCCTCAAAATCATGATAATAATCACCTGTTTTTGACAGCAGGTAAGAAAGCATTTCATGGAAGGGCTGGATAGTCCGGTGGGGAGGGCATTTGCCTTGCACGCAGCTGACCTGGGTTCGATCCCTGGCATCCTATAGGTTCTCCCAAGCCTGCCAGGAGTGATACTTAGCATCACTGGGTGTGGCCCCAAACAAAAATAACTATGAGTTACTGAAATCAGAAAGCGAGGACAGCAGCCCAACCATCCCTGGAACCTCATGGTCCCCCTGAACCAACATGGACAGTAGCCCATGAGCACTGCCGGGCATGGCCCAGAAACAGAAAAAATATATAAAAGGAGACTGCTGTTTGTTTGTTTGTTTGGGGGCCCGGCTGTTCTCAGGGGTTACTCCTGACTCTGCACGCAGGGATCATTCCTGGTGGGGCTCAGGGGATCCTATGGGAAGCCGGGGATTGAACCCAGGTGGGTTGCGTGCAAGGCAAGTGCCCTCCCCACTGTCCTAGAGGCTTGTTTCTCTTCTGTTCCTCTCTCCTTCCCCTGCATGCTTCAGAATTCTCAGTTCCTGGCCTTGCATTTCAGACTCCATCCAGCCAATGCCAAGACCGTGGAGTGGGACTGGAAGCTGCTCGCCTACGTCATGGAGGAAGAGGTAACGCCACGCTTCAGAGCTGAGGGGTGCCTCTTTTCTTCGTCCTGGAAAGCTCAGAGCAGTTTGCAGTAGAAACGAAAGGGGGTGCAAATGGGGCTGTCTCACTTTGGCTGTTATTTGTCCCAGGACATGGCCAGACCCCACCAGAAACTTCCTCTTAAAGCCTGAGCAGTAGCACAGTGGACAGGGCGCTTGCCTTGCACACGGCCAATCGGTGTTCGATCCTCATCATCCCATAGGATGCTCCAAGCCCCGCCAGGAGTTATCCCCAAGTGCAGAGCCCCAGAGTCACCCCATGACCCAAAAAGCCAAAAAAAATAAAATAAATCCGGTAAATAAGTAAATAAACCTGGGTCAGCCACGTGCAGGGCCTGTCGCTCTCCCCGCTGTCCTATCTTCTTTCTAGCTGCAACTTGTAGAAGAGGCCAGACCAGCCTCTTCCTTCCTTGGGGCCTCTAGGCACAGCCACTTGGGCTGTGAGGATGGGGCATCCCCTTGCAATGTGTGAACCCCCACCCCGGTCCCCGGAGATTCTTCCCTGACAGAAGTGCAAAGAGGAATGACCTCTGCCTTCTCCCCACAGGGCCAGACTCTTCCCGGCCGCGTGCTCTTCCTGCGCTACGTCGTGCAGACCCTGGAGGATGACTTCCAGCAGACCCTGCGGCGCCAGCGGCAGCACCTGCAGCAGTCCATCGCCAGCACAGTGCTCTCCTGCGACAAGCAACCCCAGAACATTAGGTGAGCAGCGCCCCGCGCTCCACGGGGCTCCATGCGGGGATCCCCATTCAAGGGACGTGCAGGTCCAGGAGCCGGGCTTCAAAGACGGGAGTGTAGCCGTGGCAGGCAGGGGTCCCAGGTCTTATCCTTGGTCCCCTGAGAGCCACCGGGAACGACCTATTCAAATGATACTAAATATGGCCCCAAAGTAAAACAGCAAAATAGGGGCTGGAGCGATAGTCCAGCGGGTAGGGCATTTGCCTTGCACATGGCCAACCTGGGTTCGATTCCCAGCATCCCATAGGGTCCCCCAAGCACCGCCAGGAGTGGTTCCTGAGTGCAGAGTCAGGAGTAATTACCCTGAGCATTGCTGGGTGTGACCCAAAAAGCAAAAGCAAAACAAATAAAAAAACAGTAAATAAAAGGGGACAAAGAGAGACAGTAAGGCAGGGAGGGTGCTTGCCTTGCATGCTGCTGACCTAAGTTTAATCCCCGGTATCTCAGAACATCCCCAACCCCCGCCACGAGTGATCCCCAAGTGCAAAGCCAGGAGAAAGCCCTGAGCAATGCCAGGTCCACACCAAACCAAAAACCAAACCAAAACCAACAAAATGAACGGGATCCCCAAGGCTCCTTCTCTACCCTCAAATCTGAATCTCGGATGTGGATACTCAGCTTTCTGGAAGACGTACCTCTCTTTCTCTCCCCTTGCATGTCCTTAAAGAAATTCATTTCAATGAGACTATTTTTCATGAGGCACTAGGCAGACAGTAGAGCAGGTAGGGCGCTTGCTTTGCAGATGGCCGGCCCGGGTTTGATCGCCAACATCCCCACAGGGTCCCCTGAGCCCCTCCAGAGTGATCCCCAAGCACCGCCAGGTGTGGCCAGAAACCAAAACCCAAACCAACTAAAAAAGCCATCAAGAAAAATTGGGAGTTCAGGGTCAGGGTTAGGGAATGCCAACCTTGCATAGGGGTGTAGCCCTGGGATCGATTCCAGCACTACAGGGAAAGAGAAAGATGGGGTTGGAGTAAGAATCCAGTGGGGAGGTATGCGCCTTGCATGCAGCAGACCCTGGTTTGATCCGCCGGGAGTAATTTCTGAGTACAGAGGTAGGAGTGAACCCTGAGCATTGCTGGGTGTGTCCTCAAAACATTAATAAGTAAATAAATAAGAAACAGGAGCGAGAGAGGCAGGGGGTGGGGGATGGGTGGCCGGGAACCAGAAGTACTACCATATCTTCTCTGTTTTGTCTGTTCCAGGGACGTCATCAAGTGGCTGGTGAGAGCAGTCACGGAAGGTGGGTCGGAGGAGCAGATCTCGGGCGGGAGCAGCACCCCCAAGGCCGGCGGCCACTCTCCTCCCCAGCCTCCCGTGGCCAAGCACACCAGCCAGCTGTAAGGCGTCGCCCAGGGCTGTAGAGATGGGATGAGGGACACCCACACACACACACTGCACCGAGAGCACCTCTCTCTGTCTCTTTCTCTTTCTCTCTCTCTCTCGCTCTCTGTCTCTGTCTCTCACACACACACACACACACACACACACACACACACACACATACACGAGCCCTTGAAACAGAGGCAGACGGTTGTTAGATGCGTCCTTTGAAAGCTGCGTTTCTAATCCCGAAGGTAGGACGGGAGGGCTGGAGTGTCGGTCTAATGGGGAGGGCATATGCCTGGAACTAGGCCCTCCGGGTACCATCCCCGGCACCCCAGAAGAGTCCCCCTAGCCATGCCAGGCATGATCCCTGAGCACAGAGCCAGGTGTGAACCGGGTGTGGCCTAAAAATAAACAAATAGATAGGGCCCAGGTGGTAGTACAGCAGGGAGGCCTTTGCCTTGTATGCGGCCAACCCGGGTTCAATCCCAGGTATCCTATAGGGTCCCCTAGCACCACCAGAATTGATTCTTGGTACAGAGCCAGGAGTAACTAACCCTAACCACCGCCAAGTGTGATCCAAGGCGCAAAATCAGTAAATCAGTTTTGCAGCTGCACCCCCAGGTTCTAGGAGGGTCCAATAATATGATCTGGCGGAAGGGACTCAGGTAGGTGAATCCTGTCTCGGCTTGCCCAGTCCACAGGCTTGAGGAATCCCAGGTGGCGCTTCCCATGGGCCTTGAGCCCTGTCCGTCTCCGTACGCACCGCCAGGGGGCGCCGGGCCTCTGCGGTTCACTGGCCTCCGCTCTGCCCTCAGGCTTGTGTGCCAGCTGCAGCGGATGCTGTCCATCGCGGTGGAGGTGGACCGGACGCCCACCTGCAGCTCCAACAAAATCGCCGAGATGATGTTCGGCTTCGTGCTGGACATTCCTGAGAGGCGCCAGAGGTGGGCCTGCCTTGCGTCTCTGGGGGCGGGATTGAGAGAGAGAAAAGGCTCCGGAAGAGAGAAACTGGAGAGCAGTCAAGAAGGGGAGTGGGGGGCTGGAGCCATAGCACAGCGGGGAGGGCGTTGGCCTTGCACGCAGCCGATCCAGGTTCGATTCCCAGCATCCCATAGGGTCCCCTGAGCACCGCCAGAAGTAATTCCTGAGTGCAGAGCCAGGAGGAACCCCTGTGCAGTGCCAGGTGTGACCCAAAAAGAAAAAAAATGTCCTGGGGTTCGACCCCCAGCACTGCAAAAAAAAGGGGGAGGGTTGGCGGGGCGAGAGCTATGGTACAGCCGGGAGGGCGTTTGCCTTGCACGCAGCCGACCCAGGTTCCATCCCCGGCATCCCATATGGTTCCTTGAGCACCTCCAGGAGTAATTTCTGAGTGTAGAGCCAGGAGTAACCCCTGATTGTCGTCAGGTGTGACCCAAAAAGTAAAAAAAAAGGGGGGGGAAGGAAGGGTTGTGGGGCTGGAGCAACAGTACAGCAGGTGGGATGCTCGTCTTGCACCCAGGTGACCCAAGTTTGATCCTGGGACTCTCATAGGGTCCCCCAAGGCCCACCAGGATTGATCCCTGAGCACAGGCCCAGGAGTCACCAAAAACCAAAAAGTGAGGGGGGGTGGGAGAGAGAGGGAAAGAGAAAGGGAGGGAGAGAGGGAGGGAGAGGGAGGGAGAGATGGCCGTTGGAAGAGAGTGCGTGCTGACAACCCCCTCTCCGTCTTCCTCCCCCTGTGCAGGGAGATGTTCTTCACCACCATGGAGAGCCACCTTCTCCGCTGCAAAGTCTTAGAGATCATCTTCTTGCACAGCTGCGAGACGCCCACCCGCCTGCCGCTGTCTCTGGCCCAGGCGCTCTATTTCCTCAACAACTCCACGTCACTGCTCAAGTGCCAGGTGTGGGCCAGCCCTGCGCCCCGTCCTCCTCCTGCCCTCCTCCGCCAGGAGCCAGAACGGTCTGGGGGACTGGAGAGATGGGACTGCAGATAAGGCACTTGCCTTGTACGCAGCCCACCCTAGTTTGATCCCCGGCATCACCTAGGATTCTCCCTCCCCACCCCACCCCCACCAAGTACCACCAGGAGTCAGCCCGGAGCACCACCAGGTTGGGCCCAAACCCAAATAGAATGATTAAAATGGAGTTCAGGGGTTTATTCTACAACCTAGGTTGTAGATAATGGAGCATAGCGGGAAGGGTATTGGCCTCGCACATGGCCAGCCTGGGTTCAACTCCCCGCACCCTGCGTCTCCCCAGAGCCCAGCAGGAGAGATCTGACTGTAGAGCTGGCTTAAGGCCTGAGCACTCCGCCAGTCATGGCCCCAAAAGAGAAGAAAAGAAGGAAGATAGATCTGTTCTCATCATAAGAAAATTTTTACCTGTGAAGTGAGAGGGATAGATCACCAGTTTTGCATGTAGGACCTTTACCCTGCGTCCCCCAGCACTGCACATGGTCCTGTGAGCAACAAACTGGGGGTAACGCCTGTGCACTGCTAAGTGGTGGGCCAACATCTTAGCAGCAAAATGTATAGGGGCAGAGAGGGACTATAGTAGGGAGGGCGCTGGCCTTGCACACAGCCAGCCCTGGTTCAATCCCCGGTACCCCATCAAAGTGTTCTTTGAGCTCAGAGCCAGGAGTAACCCCTGAGCACCGCTGGGTGTGGCCCTCACCCCTCTGGCCCCAAAGAAACCCGAGCCTCTCCCGAAAGGGACCTCTCTGACCGGCTGCTTTCTGGTCTTTGCAGTCAGATAAGACACAGTGGCAGACTTGGGACGAGCTAGTTGAGCATCTCCAGTTTCTTCTCTCCAGTTACCAGCATGTGTTAAGAGGTAAGGAGTGTTTGCTTACAGATGAGCGGGGGAGATTGGAGACGGGTAGAAGTGAGTTTGGGAATTAGTGGGTGAGTTCCTGGCTTTTATCCCTGGCACTACCAAAAAAATTTTTTTTCCAAAAAAATTTTAAATCCACCAATCAGGGGCCATTAGTGATAGGCCCACAGACAGGGCATTTGCCTTGCACGTGGCCGATCCAGGTTCGGTCCCCAGCATCCCATAGGCTCCCCAGAGCACCACCAGGAGTAATTCCTGAGTGCAGAGCCAGGAGTAACTCCGAGCATCACCAGGCATGACCCAAAGAGCCAAAAAAATAAAATAAAAATCTATCAATCAGATGGGTAGGAGGAGATGTACCGATTTATAGGTTCTATTCAGCTGTTTTCCAACTATCTTCCTGGGTACAAGGGATGACCTAGCTTGAAATTTCACTCCGAAAGAGAAGAATGCCCATGTTTTCATCACTTGGGATCACACAGCAAGACTCACAGCTGTCGCATGCAGGGGAAAGAGAAACCAGAAGAATAGGACATAGGCCAGAGCCATAGTACAGTGGGGAGGGCACTTGCCTCGCACACAGCCAAACTGGGTGCATTCCCGGCATCCCATATCATCCCTTGAGCTTGCCAGGAGTGAGCTCTGAGCACAGAGCCAGGAGTAAGACCCAAGTGCTGCTGGGTGTGTGGTCCACAAACAAAAAATGAACCTCTAAGAATATTATTAGGACAATTGCTGCTATAGAGATAGATAACAGATAATAGATATTATATATTAAGTGAAAGAACAGTGTGTAAGGCACTTGCCTTGCATGGTGCCAACCCGGATTCAGTGTTCAGTATCCCTTAATGGTCCCCTGAGCTCCACCAGGAGTAATTTCTGAGTGCAGAGGCAGGAGTAAGCCCTGAGCACTGCTAGTATGGCCCAGAAACAAAAATATGTTTGTGTATGCGTGTATTAATTGGAGGCACCAGAGAGACAGCATGGGGGTTAGAGTGCTTGCCTTGCATGCAGCCAACCTGGGTTTGATCTTTAGTACAACCTGTGGTCTCCAAAGCACTGCCAGGAGTGATCCCTGAATTCAAAGCCAGGAAAATCCCTGAGCACTGTGGGGTATAGCCCCCAAACCAAAAATAAAAATAATAGTAATGGATATAATGGCTAGGAAAGAGATCACGTGCATGATGGGGTCCTGATTTAATCCCCAGCCCCACATAGTCCCCCGAGCACCACTGAGTATGGCCCCCGCAGAAACTCTCCATCAGGTGTGGCCTGAAAGCAACACCAGGAAATGATTGGTCCCGCAGGTAAGGTGGAGCATGCAGTGGAGCCGGGTTCCATCCCCAGCAGTCCCCGTCATGCCCTGAGCATGTGTCACCCTCTGAGCATCACCAGGAGTGATCCCTGAATGCAGAGAGGCCCTGAGCATCGCCACCGGGTGTGGCCCAGAAGTCCAAAACAGAAAAAAGAAAATCTCCATGTAAATCCAAAAAGCCTGCCACTTAGTCCCACATGAGGCAGTGGGCTTTTGTCTGTTTTTCCTTTTTTATTTTGTTTTGGAGCTACACCCAGCAATGCTTGGAAGTTACTCCTGGCAGTGCTCAGGGGACCTTATGGGATGCCAGGGATTGAACCCGGGTTGACTGCGTACCAGGCAAGCGCCCTCCCAGCTGTCTTATCACTGCGGCCCTTGTTGCTCCTTTTTTTTTTCTTTTTTGGTCACACCCAGCAATGCTCAGGGGTTACTCCTGGCTCATGCACTCAGGAATTACTCTTGTGGTGCTCAAGGGACCCTATGGGATGCTGGGAATCGAACCCAGATCGGCTGTGTGCAAGGCAGACGCCCTACCCACTGTGCTATCGCTCCAGCTCCGTTGCTCCTTTTTATAGAACGCGAATGTTTCTATGTCATGTGGCCCTCCCAGTGCCAAGGGCCAGGAGCATGTAGTGCTCGGAGCTCACTCCGGTCAGTGAAACCTTTGTGGGCCTGCTGATTGTGCCAGGTGTGGGGACTGTCCTCTGTCCTGGCCTCTTGGGCCTGGTCTCACTGAGGGCCTGGTCATAGCCACGCACAAGTGACGGAGGGCTGGCACACTTGGTGGCACCCTCGAGGAAAGGTACACGGCATTCTGAGAACAACCCCCAGAGGCAAATTCTCTTAGTGTACTTGTGTACTTAACCTCCCTGAGGTTTGCGCAACTGTTGATCTTGGAGACCTACCTGAAAGTTTAATATTAAAGCAGTTAGCTTTTGCTCAAGGTCCCCCCGTCCGCTTGGACACGGGACCTGCTTTCGCTGCAGAATATTCTTCTCTTGGGGGCAGGGGAGTTGTGGGGTGTTGAGGGGCCACACCTGGAGGTGCTCAGGACTTTACTCCTGGCTCTGTGCTCAGCGAACACACCTGCTGGGGCGTGAATTTCTACAGTGCTGGGATCCAGTTGGGCACAAAGCAAGGAGGCGTTCGCCGATGGCCTCCTTCTCCGGCTAGACAGCTGAGTGGGGACCCGTCGGCTTTGTCGTACCTGCCAGAAAGCAACCCATCCCCCCCACCTCCATGGGGTATCCATGGATCTGAGGACATGGGTGAAGGCAGTTTGAGGTCAGCCTGAGGTGTCCAGCTGCAAGAATTTGTTGGGGTAGGGAGAAGGCTGGGGAGCCCAGGACTGTCCCTTGTTTTAGAGGAACCTCAACAAACAAGCAGGCTAGCTGTCATGATGGGCGCTTCTACAGCCTGAGATCCCTGGGCAGGGGTAGCCTGCCCAGGGATAGCCCCATTGCACACCCAGGAGCACAAAAGCTGATGGAGAAAAAGATGGGGCTAAGAAATCAGCCTTCCAGGGGCCGGAGCGATAGGACAGCCGGGAGGGCGCTGGCCTTGCACACGACTGACCCGGGTTTGATTCCCCGGCATCCCAGAAGATCCCCCGAGCACTGCCAGGGGTCAGTCCTGAGCATTGCCGGGTGCGGCCCCCAAAACAAAACTAAACAAAACCATAAAAGAGAGCAAAGGCTGCGAGATCTTTTCTAAATGCATGCAGGCAACAGAGCTTCCCCGAAGGCCTGACCCTCTTGGCGGGCTGCGCAAACTTGAATAAACCAGCCCCATGCTGATGGATGGTCGCTACATCTAGGGGAAGGGAAGGACCCTAACCGGGAGACATAGAAGTAGCAGCAGCAAGTGAAAACAGGGGAAGCTGAGGCCAGAGATGGAGTACAGTGGGGGAGGTGCTTGCTTCACGTGTGTCTGACCTGGGTTCAATGCCTGGCACCCATGTGGTCCCCAAAACCCATCAGGAGTGATCCCCGAGCTCAGAGCCAGGAGTAAGCCCTGAGCAACACCATGTATGGTCCCAAAACAAAAACTAAACAAACGAGAAAGGATGCTCTGGGTCCAAAGTGATGACACAGCGGGTCAGCCACTTGCCTGGCACACAACCAACCCGGGCTCTATCCCTGGCACCCCATATGCTCCCCACTGAGAACCACCAGGAGTGATACCCGAGTGCAGAGCCTGGAGTCGGCCCTGTGCATGGCTGAGTATGTCCCCCCACCCTCCCAAACAGCAACAAGTAGATGGAAGAGGGGAGCTAGACAGATAGTCTGAGAGACTGAACATGTATTTTGCATGCTGGAGGCCTGGGTTTGACCCCTGGCATGCCCTGTCCCCTGTTTGCACGGGCCTCCCGGCGGAAGCAAAGGCTTGGATGAAATGCAGATTTCTTGCGTCAATCAGGCAAAGGAAGACGATGAGATTTTCCAAAAGAGGAAACAGAACAGCCTGGGGCCTTGCAGCACGACTGGTCCCAACAGTTTCAGGTCATTGAGCCAACAAACTGGGATTCGGGGCCACAGAGAGAGAGCCTCGAGGAGGGAAAAAGCAGGATGATGGGCCCAAATGATATTACAGCAGACTGGGCGTTTGCCTGCCACGTGGCGATCCGGGTTCAACCCCCGGCACCCCATAGCATGGAGCACCACCAGGAGTGAATCCTGAGATCCTGAGTGCAGAGCCAGGAAGAACTCCTTGAACATCACAGGGTGTGACCCAAAAAGCCAAAAGAGGGGGAAAAAAGGAAAGAAATAAACAGGAGAGGCTGGAGCAATAGTACAGCAGGTAGGGCGTTTGCCTTGCATGCGGCCAACCCAGGTTCAATTTCCATCATCCCACAGGGTCCCCTGAACACCGCCAGGACTAATTCGTGAGTGCATGAGCCAGGATTAATCCCTATGTGTCGCTGGGTGTGACCCCCCCCCCAAAAAAAAAAGACAGAAGAAGCAGGATATGAAGAAGGTCTTCGTTGCCAGGCTAATGAACTTCAGCTGCATTCTGTTGTTTGGTTTGGGGGCCATGCCCAGCTGTGTTGAGGGCTTTCCCCTGGCTCTGTGCCTAGGAATCTCTCAGCCGACTTGGGGTATCATAAGGGATGCTGGGAAGTGAACCTGGGTTGGCCGCACACAAGGCAAGTGCCCTCCCCACTGTGCTCTCTCTGGCCCCTCCACGGCATGGAAAGGCAGAGGGACACGCCAGCCAGGTGGTTCTGGCTGAGGCGACTCTGCCTGTGGCTGGCAGCAAAAGGGCAGAGGAGCAAGGCCGGGAGGGGTCTCAGCGACACAGCCCCGGGGAAGATGGTGGCCGATGCTTGAGATGGGCTCAAGGAAGGATGACCTACCCTGCCGTGGAGCCCAGAGGAGAGGAGGACCTCCAGGGAAGACCAGGAGCTCCCTGCAACAGTGAGGCCGTAGAGCAGCAAAAGAGAGGACGAGGGATGGGTCCGAGTTAACCACAGTGTCGATCTTGGCACGAAGAAAACTTGTCTGGGGCCAGAGTGATAGGACAGTGGGGAGGGAACTTGCCTGGGTTCGATTCCAGCATCCCATAGGGTCCCCCCCAAGCATTGCAGGAGTAATTCCTGAGTGCAAAGCCAGGACTGACCCCTGAGCATCGCGGGGTGTGGACGCCGCCCCCCCACCCCCCAAAAAGTAAACCTTCAGTCTGAACCAGGCATCAAGCCAGACCTTTTACATAAACCACCGCACATAGTGACCCCAACAACCTTTGACGTCAAAAGACGCCTCCCACTGAAGCAGAAAATCCAAATGGACCCAGTGGCCGAAGTCCACTGGCCAAGAACCTCCCGCTTCTCCCCGCCTTCCCCAGACTGAACTTCCCGGACACCTCCACCTTTTTGAGTTTTCTGTTATTTTCATCAACTCTGAAGCCCCATCCCAAGCCTTCTCAAGTCACACATGATTCAGTCCCCCTTGCCCTATTCTCAAAATCATTTATATATATATATATTTTTTTTTGCTTTTTGGGTCACACCCAGCAATGCTCAGGGGTTACTCCTGGCTTTGCATTCAAGAATTACTCCTGGCAGTGCTTGGGGTGCCATATGGGATACTGGGGATCGAACTTGGGGTCAGCTGCGTGCAAAGGAAATGCCCTACCTGTTGTGCTGTCACTCCAGCCCCCATTTTTATATATTTCAGAGCAGGACGTGTTCTGGGTTTGTTTTATTGTGAGGGCTACCCTCTGTGGTGCTTAACGATCACTCCTGGCTATGCTTGGGACCCTATAGGGTGCCGGGGATCGAACCCAGATAGGTTATGTTCAAGGCAAGCACCTTCCCCGCTGTCCTATTGCTCCGATCCCCAACTGAGCAGTCCTGATTCTATTTATTTCAGCCGACTAAGGCTGTTTACCTGGGTACCGATACTTATGCTCTCCAGAAACTCATCTTTCCTTTGGGGGGTTGGGGGGAGCACACCCAGTGATGCTCAGGGCTTGTTCCTGGCTCTGCACTCAGGAATCACTCCTGGCAGGGCTTGGGGGACCCTATCGGGTGCTGGGAATTGAACCCGGCTCAGCTGCATGCAAGGCCAGCGCCCTCCCCGCTGTGCTCTCCTTTAGCCCTACACACTTATCCTCTATCACTTGATGCCACCATGTCCCTGTCACGTCCTCTCCAGACCGGCTGTTTTTCAGAGCCAGGACACAGTCAAACATTACCCTGAACTCGCTCGTCCTGCCCTTCCGTCTCCTTGGGTTGGGGCCAGCCTCCTGCCTTGCTCTTTCATAACACAGAGCAGGGCGGCTCTTCTCCACAGTCCCCTAAGTGGGCTGTTGAATCTTTTTAAATGTTTTTCTTCTCTTTTTTTTTACTTTTTGGGTCACACCTGGAGATGTACAGGGGTTACTCCTGGCTCTGCGCTCAGGAATTATTCCTAGCAGTGATCAGGGGACCATATAGGATGTCGGGGATCAAACCTCGGTTGACCCTGTGCAAGGCAAGCACCCTCCCAGTTGGGCTTTTACTCTGGCCCCCTAGATGGATGTTTTTTGGTTTTTTTTTGGGGGGGGGGTCATACCCAGCAATGCACAGAAGTTACTTGGCTCATGCACTAAGGGATTACTCCTGGCAGTGCTTGGGGGACCTATGGGATGCTGGGAATCGAACCCTGGTCAGCGGCATGCAAGGCAAACGCCCTACCCACTGTGCTATCGTTCCAGCCCCAAGGGGCTTTTTGTCCCGGGATGGCCCGGGTGGGATTCTCTGGGCAAGAACTCGGACTAGCAGTGACATGAGTGCGGCCATTACTGAAGCTATTGACCTCGCAGAGCAACAGTACAGTGGGGAGGGCATTTGCCTCGCACACCGCCCACCCAACTCGGATTCGACCCCTGCCGTCCCAGGTACTCCCAGGTACCACGGGAAGTGATTCCTGAGTGTAGAGACAGGAATAACCCCTGAGCCTCGTCAGGTGTAGCCCCCTCCCACCCAAAAAAATAAAATAAAAAAAGACCCTGTCTGTGAGGTGTCTCCCTTCCAATGGTTATTAGTAACTAAGAGTGAGGGCATGTGGTGCCACAGACCGCATATTCCGTCTTGCACTCAGTGGCCAGGCCTCAGTTTGGGGATTGGTTTAACTTTGGTTTAGGGGCCACAGGTGGTATGGCCACAGCTGGTGGCACCAAGGAACATATTTTCAGCTTACTCCCAGCCGTCCTTGGGGGACCAGGAATTGAAACCAGGCCTCCTTCACATAGAGAAATGCGCAGCTGATTGAGTTCTCTCTCCGGGGCACCAGTCTTTAGTTTTTGGGCCACACGAGGGCTAGCTACTCCCTGTGTCATCTCTGGGGTCAGTCTTCGGTGATTTGGGGAGCCCCAGCAGTGCCAGGGATAGGGAACTCTGGGCTCATGCATAGTAATGCACTCCATTTCCCCCGAGGCATCTCCTTGCCACCCCCCCCCCCCACAAAGGCTGAAATGGTTCATATCTGAATTCTTAGTAGAATAAAGAATGATTCCTTTCTATATTTTTCCCACTTAGGGGGCCACACCCAGCTTGCTCAGGGCTGACTCCTGGTTCTGTGCTCAGGGTCACTCCTGCCAGGGCTTGGGGGACCCCATGGGGTGTCAGGGATCAAACCGGGTCGGCTACGTGCAAGGCCCAGTGCCCTCCCCATTGGATGAAAGCTCTGGTCCGACTACTTTCCTCTTTTTTTTTTTTTTTTTTTCAGTTTAGTTTTTGGATCATACCCAGCAATGCTCAGGGCTCACTCCTGACTCTGCTCAGGAATCCTGTGCTCAGGAATCACTCCTGGTGGTCCTTGGGGGACCATATGGGATGCTAGGGATCGAACCCACGAACCCAGGTCAGCTGTATGCAAGTCAAACGCCCTCCCCACTATGCTATTGCTCTTCCCTACCCCCCCAACCCCCACTTCTTTCTATTTGAAGGATGGTTCCTTCCCTTCTCCCTCGCTTCTGTATTTTTCCCTATGAGCTTGGGACACTCTTTTATTTATTTATTTATTTATTGCTTTTTGGATCATACCCCGCAATGCTCAGGGGTTACTCCTGGCTCTGCACTCAATCAGGAATTACTCCTGGCAGTGCTTGGGGGACCATGTGGGATGCTGGGAATCGAACCTGGATCGGCTGTGTGCAAGGCCAACGCCCTACCCGCTATACTATCGCTCCGGCCCCCGAGCTTGGGACACTTTCAAACCAAATTGTTGGGGCAGGGACCTGGTTTAAAGGGCTGGAGCACAGGATTTGTCTGTGGGAGTATTCAATTCAATCCCTGGCACATGTTCCCTGAACACTGCCGGGAGTGGCCCTGAGCACCCCTAGGTATGCCCTCCCCCATATACAAAAAGAAATGGAAAAGGGGCCAGAGAGATAGCATAGTGGGTAAGGCATTTGCCCTGCCCATGGCAAGACGCGGCTTTAATTCCTGGTACCCCAGATGGTCTCCTGAGCATCACTTGGAGGGAGTAAAGCTCTGAGCACTGCCAGGCACGGCCCCCAAAGCCATCAAAATAATCAAGAAATAAATAGGGGGCCGGAGAGATAGTGCAGCAGGCGGGGCGCCTGCCTTGCCTGTGACCGACCTGGGTTCGATCCCCAGCATCCCATAGTGTCCCCCCAGCAGCACCAGGAGTGATTCCTGAGACAGAGCCAGGTGCGACTCTCCCATACCATGGGGTGTGACCCCAAAATGGAAAAAAGAAAAGCGAATAGGCCATACCATGCGGAACAGTTCAACTGACGTCCCACCCCTGCTTTTGCAGAGCACCTGCGGAGCTCCGTGATCGACCGCAAGGACTTGATTATTAAGAGGGTGAAGCCCAAGCCGCAGCAAGGCGACGACATCACCGTGCTGGATGTGGAGAAGCAGATCGGCGCGTTCCGCCGGCGCCTGGTCCAGATCCTGGGCGAGCCCCTCGCGCCCCAGCTGCAGGACAAGGTCCACCTGCTGAAACTCCTGCTGTTCTACGCCGCCGACCTGAACCCGGACCCTGAGCCCGCAGCCCCCCGCACCCGTGGTGGCCTCCACACCACAGACGCCTCCTGAGTTCCTTCCAGCCCCACCGCCCCAAAGTTCGGATGCTTTGGAAAAAAGCAGCTCTGATGGGACCAAAGCGAGCGTACTCATCTGCAGCTTCCTACAGTAAAGACCTTTTGTTCTCTTTTTCTTTTCTTTCTTTTTTTATAATCCTATCCTAGTCTCTTCCGGAACATGTCTTAAAGACACCAGGTGTATATATATTTTTTATTAAATTATTTATCAATGCTTTTTTTTTTTTTGGAGGGGGGAACACTATGCACACTCTTTACCATTGCCATCCAGATGTAAAAAAAAAATAATTAAAAAGCCATCAACGTCACTGCAAAAGCGTCCAAGCTGCCTCAGAAAGATGGGGAGCACTGGATCTCCCTCATGGGGAGCAAAAGGGGGGGGGCCAGAGCGATAGCACAGCGGGTAGGGCATTTGCCTTGCACGCGGCTGACCCGGGTTCGATCCCCAGCATCCCATATGGTCCCCCAAGCACCGCCAGGAGTAATTCCTGAGTGCAGAGCCAGGAATAACCCCTGAGCATCGTTGGGTGTGACCCAAAAAGCAAAAAAAACAAAAACAAAAACAAAAAAAAGGCAAAGCCGCAGTATTTACAAATACCCATGGGCCCTGCGGCAAGCTTCTGACTCTCCTCTTATTTGGGGTTCAGGGACCACATCTCCGTGGTGCTGAGAGATCACTCCTGGCAATGCTTGGGGGACCCTATGGGATGCCAGGCACCTAACTCACATTGGCTGGATGCAAGGCAAATGCCCTCCCCGCTGGACTATCCCTCCCTCCGGCCCCACCAACCTGGAATTTTCACAGGAAGATTCCCAGCCAAACCAAACCAAACCAGACACAACCAGACCAGATTTTTTTTTTTGCTTTTTGGGTCACACGCGGCGATGCACAGGGGTTCCTCCTGGCTCTGCACTCAGGAATTACTCCTAGTGGATCAAAACCAGGTCGACCACGTGCAAGGCATATGCTCTACCCACTACACTATTGCTCCAGCCCCATGGACACACCAGACCAAACACCGTCTTTGAGAAAGTCATAAGGAACTTTATTGTGGCAACTGGAGCACGAAGCTCCCAGAATAATACAAATAAGTTAGTGGTTGTGATCACTCTCGACTTGGGGCTCTCCATGTTTAGTGACGCTGAGCCCCTCAGCCCTTCTGTCTGACAGAAGACAGCAGGAATGCGACAGGGGTGGTAGACGGAGCGAACCCGAGCCCCCCCAGGAAACCCCTCGGGGCTACGGCCGTCCTTCCCCGGACACACAGCCATGAGGGAGGGAAGAGGTAGGCCAAGACTCCAAGAGAAAAACGGTGCAGATCTCCCTCCCAAACAGAAAACAGGGTGCAGAAATAAGATCTTCAGGCCTGGGAATCGGGAGCCAGTGAGGACGGTTCTAGCCCCCTTCTCTAAGGGGGCCAAAATAATCCACAAATCACCGGACACGTTTCTCTCTCCGGCGCTCGGAGCCAGCCGGGGTTCGGGAAATAAAGTGCAGCAGGAGATGGAAGACTCAAGTGTTTGGATCGGGCTGTATCTCTCCACCAGCAATAGGGGTGCCTGCAGGCCCGGCGGTCCCCAATCTCACACACCTTCAGGGTCCCGGCCTGCTCCTGCCCCTCCCTACATGGAGGCGGAAATGGGGGTCCTGCAATTATCACCGATTTAGGTGGTGCCCCAAGCTGAATGATGCAAAAGAAGGTAGTGAGGGTGCCAACCCCCGGGCCCCAGCAACTGTTATCAACGCCCCCCACCAACTCTGCCTCTACTGGAGTCCAAAACGGCTTCTTCACCGCATCTCCAAAAACCAAAGGGTCTCCAGGTCTTGCCTCCATGCGGGGGTGGGGGGGGGTGTTCGAGACTGTCCGGTGGCCAGAGCTGAGGTGGAACTGGCAATACGGGCACAAGTCAACCCTCCCTGCCCAGCCTCAGGAATCCCTGGCTTAGAGAGCTCTAGAAGCCAGTGGGTGTGAACACATTCAAGTCCCGGGGTTTGATATTGTGGCTCCGTGCCCGTTGCTTCTTTGCTTCTGTGCCCGGGAGGTCCAGCTTGGGTGGCTTCAAGGTGGAGGTGTCTCCGGCCATGAAGGTAGCCGGGCCCTGGATCAGCTCCATGGGTGATGCCTTCTGACCTCCTTGGTAAGGCTGAGTGGTAAAAGCTCCCGCTGAAGGGAATCAGAGAACAGATGATTTCCCCAGTGAGGGGCAGCTCATGAGAGAAGGGCCAAATCCCATCTGCACTTCCTTTTTGTATTTTTTTTTGTTGGAGATGCCAGGGGTCCGACCCAGGACACCTCAAGCCTGCCAGGCCCATGCCTGACCACTGAGCCACCTTCCTGGCCCCCCGCCCACTTTCTTGATGGCACCACCACTCACCCGATTCGGACCTCTGGAGGGTTCTGGGTGCAAAGAGGCTCCATTTATCCTTCTCCCCACTTCCGCCATCCTGGGGGCTCGGATTGGGGCCTGGTAAAGCCGGGGAGACCCCGGAAGCAAACCAGCCTCTGGAAGGGGGAGAGAAAAACCGGATTCCAGTCCACCCTCTGCCTCTCTGCCTGGAGGTATCTCGGCCAAAGCCCAGCAACGAACCACCGGCTCCCCCCCTTTCCAGGAATCCTCGGGCTGAACCCCGACGTGGGCCGCGGCCCTAGCGACTTGCAGAGCTGCCGTTAGGGCTCACCTGGACTTGGGCCGCGGGGAAGAGGTGGGGGTGCTACTCGGCGTGGACTGGGCCGAGCCCGACTTCTCCTCGCTGCTGCTCTCTCCACTCTGAAGCTTCAGTTTCTGTGCAGATGGGGATGGGGGGGTGGTGGGAGATGAGGAGAACGGATGCTAGGGCCCAGGGGTCAGGCTCACAGGCCTGGGGAGGTAGGGGGGCAACCCCACGTGGGACCGCAGCCCCCGCCGCCGCTGCCACACCTTGGATCAAGCCCCTCTACAGCTTGCCCAATGGTCTGCGTGCATTCACTCGCCATCATCCCGTCTGCAGTCCCCAAAAAAACTTTTCCTCGAAGACATAGGGAGGAACTTGCCCACAATGACACCAAGCGGAGGAATCTGGATTCAACCCTTGGGCCTCCTGGCCTTTGTGGCTGCCTACGGGCCCTGCTGTTCCCGCCTCTCTCGTGCCATTCCAGTCTCTGAATACTGCACCTCTCAGGTGCTGTTCCAGCCTTTCTTGTGCTGTTCCACCCTCTAACATGCTGCAGCTCTCAGGTGCTATTCCAGCCTCTCATGCTGTTCCAGTCTCTAACTGCTGCACTTCTCATGTGCTGTTCCAGCCTCTCATGCTGTACCAGCCCATCCTGTCCATTCCTCAGAGCAACACCACGGCCGCCCTGCACCTCTGCCCCAGCTGCCCAATGTTGGGGACCCTAGGGTCCAAACAGACACACCACATGTGCCTTTTCTCATACCTCCCAGAAGTCGGTGGGTGTCAGCCGACCTGTCCCCCAGGCTCACATCCTGATCATGTGACCACCCAAAGTTGGGAGTTAGTTCCTAGTTCCTGCTGCGAATTTTCCTCTTTTTTTTTTGTGGTTTTTGGGTCATACCCAGCGGTGCTTGGGGATCACTTCTGGTGGGGCTTGGGGGACCCTCTGGGGTGCCCAGGATAAAACCAGGTTGGCCACCTGCAGGGCAAGCATCCTCCCACTATGCCGTGTCTCTGAGCCCTGGAAACTTCCTGAAGCATCTGTCAGATCAGAGAGCTTCAGCTGGCCCCAGCCCCACCCAGAGGTTCTGGAGCACTGTTTTCTAAACGAACTCTGGGCCAACCAGCACGTGTGTGTGTGTGTGTGGGGGGGTGCTTAGCAGATGATGAGTCCACAGTGAATCCATACCCAGGTCACTCATGCCTGTGACCTGCGCTTTGTCTGAAATTACGTGCAGGGCTGGACAGACAGACCACAAGGAAAGCCCTCGCCTTGTGACAGGGCCCAGTTGGTCCCCAGGTTCAATTCCCAGCTCCATACTGGGTCCCCTAAACACCACCAGGAGTGCTCCCTGAGCACAGAGCCAGGAGCAAGCCCTGAGCAGTACCAGATATGGCCCCAAACCCTCCACCATCAGCCCCCCCCAAAAAAAATGGGGGAAGGCACTTGACCTAGCAAGTAGCAGACCAGAGTTTGATCCCCAAGCCTTGCCACGAATGATCCTGGGGCACAGAGCCAGGAGGAAGCGCTGAGCTCTGCGGGGTGTGTGGTCCCCAAAACCAAAACACCAAACAAGATTTGGGCTGGAGATAGCCAGGTTAGAGTCCCAGCACCATGTAGGGTTCCCCCAAGTTCTGCCAAGAGTGATCCCTAAGCACAGAGCCAGGAGTGATCCATAAGCACTGCCGAGGGGGTGCCCCCCCCAAACCAAATAGAAGCTGGAGTGATGGTTCAGTGGGGAGGGCGCTTGCCTTGAAGGTGGCCAACCCTGGCTCCTTCCCCGGCAGTCCCTGAGCACTACCCAGAGTAATTCCTGGGCACAGAACCAGGACTAACCCCTGAGCACTTCCGGGTGCAGCCATAAATAAATAAATCAACGATGCATTAATTCAAATGAAAGAGGTATGAGGCGGGACTCTCAGTAATAATGCACATCGCATCAGTGAGAGCAGGGTTCAATGCTCAGCGCCACACACACACACACACACACACACACACCCCACAATCAGGGGCTGGAGACAGGGTTCACAGACAAGATCAGGCCCCAGGTTAGATCCTGGCTGCCATAGGGCCCCTCAGCACCACTGTGGGGTGCTTCCCTGAGAAACGAGGAAGAGAAAAATCAAAACTGGTGGTCGGAGACGTACTACGATGGACTACAACGTACAACAACAAACCGTGTGGAAGGCACGTGCCTTGCACGTGGTCACCCGGATTTGTTCCTGGGCACCCCAGACTGTTTTCCGAGCCCCACCTGGAGTGACCCTTGAGCACTGAGTTCAGCGGGGAGGGCACTTGCCTTGAGCGCCGAGCCAGGAGTCACCCCTGAGCACCGCAGGTGTGGCCCGGAACCAAAGCCCGAAGCCCAGCCCAATTCCCGTACGAGCCTGGCTTACCCGCAGCGCCTCGGCCATGCGCAGGTACTTGGTCTCCTCGGTGGTGAGGCCTTTGTGTGGCGTGTACCCGGCTTCCCGCAGGCCCGCCTGCTGCTCGAACCGCTGGATGTTCTCCTGCGTCTGCTCTGGGGACGGGGTGGAGGAGGGAGGAAGTGTCAAGTCCCTCCCCACTGTCACCCCCACTCAAGAAGAATGCAGCCTGGGCTGGTGATAGTTCAGCGGGGAGGGCGTTTGCCTTGCATGTGCCGGACCCAGGTGCAATCCCCGACATCCCATAGGGTCCCCCGAGCACTGCCAGGAGTAACTCCTGAGTGCAGAGCCAGGAGTGACCCCTGTGCATCGTCGGGTGTGACCCAAAAAGAAAAAAAAAACACTCAATAAACAAATAAACAATAAGCAAATACATAAATAAGGAGCTTGCGCGTGGAGTTATGTGCCTGGATGAAATGTCACGGAAGTGTGGCCACCAAGCCACTGGCCAGGCACAGGAGCTTGGCTGCAGCATCTCTGACTTCCGGGGCTGCCCCTCACGATCGCTGCTGCAGGGCCGCTGACGGGGACTGTCCCTCAGACTCTGGGAGGACCACTAGAACGCGCAGGTGCAGCACACTCCAGAGCAAGTCACCTTGTTCCGGGTGACAACGCCCCAACCAGGGACTGGAGCCAACAGGCCCGCGGGGAGGGTGCTACTGGTTCAATCCCCGGCACCCCATAGAGTCCTCTCTGAGTCCCAGCGGGAGTGATCCCTGAGCGCAGAGCCAGGAGTCAAGGGCCCAAGTAAAAGCACAGCAGGGAGGGCGTTTGCCTTGCACACAACCAACCTAGGTTCGATCCCTGGCACCCCACAGGGTCCCTGAGCACCGCCAGGAGTGATCCCTGCGTGCAGAGCCAGGAGCCAGCCCTGAGCACCGCCGGGTGTGACCCCGAAACAAATAAGTACATAAATAAAAGACACTGGTGCTGGGGCTAGAGTGATAGCACAGCAAATAGGGCGTCTGCCTTGCACATGGCCGACCCGAGTTCGATTCCCAGCATCCAATAGGGTCCCCCGAGCACCGCCAGGAGTGATCCCCTGAGTGCAGAGCCAGGAGTCAGCCCTGAACATCACTGGGTCTGACCCCCCCCCCAAAAAAAAAACACTGGTGGGACGTGGTAATGGGAATTGAGAGTGACTGTGAGCTGGTTTTGGGGTGTGTGCTAGGTGCAGTCAAGCCAAGCTCCAAGGGGTGTGTCTGCAGGAAGCCCCCCTCCCACCCGGCCTGACCCTCCTTCTTGGGGCTTACTTGTGATCAGAGAGTTCATGATGACGTGCGTGGCCTTGGCTTTCACCACAGGCGCCGGATCAGGACCATCGGTGGCTGAAGACACGGTGATGGTGGGGGACGAGACCCTGGTGCCGCCCACCTCCACCTGTGCGAGAGGAAAGGAGGCGCTGGGCGGGGAGGGGCACCCCCACAACCAAGCTGCTGCCTTCAGGGAGGAACTAAAAGCCCTTTGGGGAGAGATGGTCCCACAGACAGGTAGGGCACACACCATCCGGGCTCAATCTCTGGCACCACAGAGGGTCACAAAAGCAGGGCCAGGAGTAACCCCTGAGCACTGGGCTAGAAGTCACTCCTGAGCACTGGGCCAGGAGGCAGCCATGAGCACTGAGCCAGGAATCAGCCGTGAGCACTGGGCCAGGAGTCAGCCCTGAGCACGGAGCCAAGAATCAGCCCTTAGCATGGAGCCAGGAGTCAGCCCTGAGCACTGAACCAGGAGTCAGCCCTGAGCATCGCTGGGTGTGACCCAAAAACTAAAAAAATAAAAATAAAACTGCAGAGGGTGGGGGTGGAAAGATAGCACAGCTGGAAGGCACTTGCGGGGCAGACACCTGACCACAGAGGGTCCCCTAAGCAATGACAGGGGAAAGGTGGCTGTGGTCCCCAAATCAGATAAAATAATAAGGAAAAGAGGGCTGCAGAGATGGTCCAGCAGGCTGGGTGCCTTGCCTTGCACGCGGCTGACGGGAATTAAACCCTGGCGAGGAAGAGGAAGCAGGAAGAGGAAGAGGAACAAATGAAGAAAAGAGGAAGAAGGGGAAAAGGAAGGGGGATGAGTAAAGGAGGAAGAGGAAGAACGGGAGGAAGAAGAAGCAGGGGGAAGAGAAAGAGAAGGATAAAGGAATGAAAGGAGAAGAAAAAGGACGGAGGGAGGAGAAGGAAGATGGAAGAAGAAAGGAAAGAGGAGAAGAAAAAGGAAGGAGGGTTAATGCAGAAGGAAAAGGAAGAAGAGAACAAAGGAAGGAGCAGTAGAAGAAGGAGAAAGAAGGAGGAGGAAGAAAGAAGAAAAAGAAGGGGAACTAATAGAAGAGAACAAAGGAAAAGGGAAGGAACGAGAAGGAAGGAAGAAGGAAGAAAGGAAAAGCAGGAAACAGGAAGGAGAAAAGAGGAAGCAAGAATGGAGCAATAGCAGAGCAGGTAGGGCGTCTGCGTTGCACGCGGTCGACCCGGGTTCGATTCCCGGCATCCCATAGGGTCCCCCAGGCACTGCCAGGAGTAATTTCTGAGTGCAAAGCCAGAAGTAACCCCTGTGCATTGCCAAGTGTGACCCAAAAAGCAAAAAAAAAAAGAGGAAGCAAGAAGTAGAAAGGAGAAAAGTCTCACAGTGATTCAATAAAACAGCAAAATAAAATATATCAACAGATTTATGACTTATCACTAATATCTTCAGAAAGATATTAGAAAATAAATGTCTATAAAAGTATAAGAGAGGGGCTGGAGCGATAGCACAGCAGGGAGGGCATTTGCCTTGCACACGGCCAACCCGGGTACGATCCCCAGCATCCCAGAGGGTCCCCCGAGCACTGCCAGGAGTAATTCCTGAGTGCAGAGCCAGGAGTGAGCCCTGAGCATCGCTGAGTGTGACCCAAAAAGCCAATCAATAAATAAATAAATGGAGGGGCCAGAGCAATAGCACAGCGGGTAGGGCGTTTGCCTTGCATGTGGCCAACCCAGGTTCGATTCCCAGCATCCCATATAGTCCCCGGAGCACCTCCAGGAGCAACTCCTGAGTGCAGAGCCAGGAGGAACCCCTGAGCATCGCTGAGTGTGACCCAAAAAAGAAAAATAAATAAATAAATAGACTTCTTTAATAAATAAATAAATGGAAAAATAAATAAATAAAAGTATAAGAATAAAAGGAAGAAGGAAAAAGAGAAACCAATCAAGAAGAGGAGGAAGAATGAAGAGGAAAGGAAGGAGGAAGAGGGAAGGAAGGAAGGAGGAAGACGGAGGAAGAAGCAGGAAGCAGGAAGAGGCATGCGCGGCCGGCCGGCTACCTGGTAGTGGTCGCGCTCCTGCCGCTGGGGAACCGTGGGCTTCCAGGGCAGCTTGCCCATGTCGGCTGGCGGCGGCGGCATGGGGTTCTCGAGGGCGTCGTCATAGCTGAAGGCCCTGCGGTGCATCCCGATGGGCAGGGACATGGTGTCTAGAGGCACGGGGCCCGCGGGCTGGGGACAGAGACAGAGCCGGGTGAGGCCAGGAAGCCCCGCCAACTCGCCCCAACTCAACAGACTGTTGGTGTTTCTGGCTTGAGGTGGCAGGGACCAAACCTGGCGGCGCTCAGGGCGGCCCCCAGTAGAGCGGGGCATGGGGGTTGGGCATGTGAGGCCATGGCTAGGAACCCAGGGCTCCCCCGTGCAAGGAATGTGAAACCCAGGGCCCGAGTGACAGTCTGGGGAAGGGTACTTGTCACCCAGTCCCCCGAGCACTATCAGAAGTGAGTGCTGAGCACAGAGCCAGGAGTCAGCCCTGAGTATCACTGGGCATGGCCCCAATAAACAAACCAAAAAAAAGGAATGAGAAATTCTCCATGCCGGCCCCTGACCTACTTTGTAGGACCAAGAAAACCCAAAATCAACTGAAACTGGTCAGAGATAGAGCTCAGAGCTTTAAAAGTACCCCTTCAGGGGCTGGAGCGATAGCACAGCGGGTAGGGCGTTTGCCTTGCATGCGGCCAACCCAGGTTCGATTCCCAGCATCCCATATGGTCCCCTGAGCACCACCAGGAGTGATTCCTGAGTGCATGAGCCAAGAGGAACCCCTGTGCATCGTCAGGTACCAAAGTACCTCTTCAGTGGGCTGGGGAGGGCTGGCCTTGCAGGTGGTGGAATCAGTTTCGATCCCAGCACCCATCGAGCCCCTGTGCCCCGCCAGGACTGACCCCTGAGCAAGACGTCACCAATACAACTCCTGCAAGGCCGGAATGTCAGTACAGCAGGAGGGTGCTTGCCTTACATGCGGCTGACCCTGGTTCAATCCCCGGCATGCCACAGGGTCCCCCAAGCATCACCGGGAGTGATCTCTGAGCACAGACCCAGGAGTCAGCACTGAGTATTGCCAGCTTTGTTCCCAAAACCAAAACCAGGGCTGGAGAGATAGTCCAGCGGGGACGGCGTTTGTCTTGTAAGCAGCCGACCCAGGTTGGATTCCCAGCATCCCCTATGGTCCTCTGAGCACTGCCAGGAGTAATTCCTGAGTGCAGAGTGTGATCCAAAAGCCAAATAAATAAATCTAAAAAAAAAAAAAAATCAAAAACACCCGAAACCAAAAGGAAAAAGAAAAACCCCTCATGCCTCCCAGATGGCTGTCTGGGTTCTACCCTCACCACCACACAGTCCCCCCAAGCAGTGCCAGGGACAGCCTGAGAGTCACCCCACACCCATCCCAAGTACCACAGGCCCTAAGCCAGCGCCAAAGCTGCAAATCCGCGCACTGGCCCATCCAGCCCCAGAAACCAAGATCCACCAGGATCCTGCACCCCACGTGGGCCCCAGAGACGCAGTAAACAAAGCACAGCTCAGGAGGAACACCCGATCTCCAGGCCTGCCTGGTCCTTAGGAAGACACAGGGGTGGGGCCAGGGGCCGTGGGGACTTGCCGGGGCACCCGAGGCACGTTTCTGGGGGGTATGTGGGGAGAGGATGGCCACACCCGGCGGTGCTCGGGGCTGACTCCTGGCTTGACACCAGGGAATAACTTCTAGTGGTGCTTGGAATAACCCTATGGGAGGCCTGTGATTGAACCCGGGTCCGACGCATGCAAGGCAAGTGTCCCCCCTCCCTGTCCTTCCTCTCTGAACCCCCACCGAGGCACTTCTTTACTTTTTGGCTTTTGGGGGCCACACCCGGCGATGTTCAGGGGTTTATGCCTGGCTCTGCACTCAGGAATCACCCCTGGGGGAGCTCCAGGGACCTTATGGGATGCCAGGGATCGAACCCGGGTCGGCCGCGTGCAAGGCAAAAACGCCCTCCCAGCTGTGCTATCACTCCAGCCCAGCCTGTAGGAAATGAGGGAACTAGGCACCCCACTCCCCATAGCTGAGGGGATGGTCCAGACAGGAAGGGGACACCTGGGGACCTGCCATCCCCCCTCCCCCACTTCCCCTGGCATGGGATGCCTCCCCCCACGGGTTAGAGAAAGCATTTAAGACATCAGAGCCCATGGGGCTGGAGCAATAGCACAGTGGGGAGGGCATTTGCCTTGCAAGCAGCTGATGCAGGTTCGATTCCCAGCATCCCATATGGTCCCCCGAGCACCGCCAGGAGCAATTCCTGAGTGCAGAGCCAGGAGGAACCCCTGTGCATCGCCGGCTGTGACCAAAAAGAAAGAAAAGAAAAAAAAGACATTGGAGCCCCGGTGGCCTGGCTCATTTCGGGGGCCCGGGGGCAGCAGCGACCACACGCAGCCCTGCCACCCGCTGGGGCCAGCTGGCTCAGGCCAGGGAATGAGCCGCCAGTGACGCAAGCACCCCGCTCTGAAGGGCACCCTCGGAGCTCCCCCACTGGCCAAGTCGAGTTGTTTATTTGCTTGGCTAATCCCTGCCCAGGAGAGCCAGAGTCCCCGGCCTGGGGTGACATTCTCCCGGGGCTAAAATTATCCTATCACACGCCTGCCCCAGTGGAAAGGTCCAGAGACGCCAAGCCACTTGGCTCCCCACGCCCAGGCTGGCTTCCGTCCTGAACTTGAGGCTCCGGGGCTCAGCGGGGAGCAGAGCCGCTGCTGGGGGGGCGGGGGACGCTACTGCCATGGGCAGGTGCAGGGGGGTGACCTTGGGAATGTGCTGAAAACACAGTTTATCTCAAGCCCAGCAAACACACAGGGGCTGGCGAGAGAGGGCGAGGGGGAAGGCCCTGACCCCCGGCGACACACTGGGTCCCCTGAGCACCATCTACAGGTTGCCCAAAAACAAAACCAAAAAGGGGACTGGAGCGATAGTCCAGCGGGGCGGGCGTCTGCTTTGCCCAGGGCTGGTCTCCCATAGGGTCCCCCGAGCCCCGCCACGAGGAGTTCCTGAGAGCAGAGCCAGGAGTCAGTCCTGAGCATCTCAGGGTATGGCCCCAAACTAGACCCAAACAGGACAAACAGGGATGCCCCTAGCGATAAAAACAGATGCCAAGCAGGGGAGGGCATTTGCCTTGCACGCGGCCAACCTGGGTTCGATCTCCGGCATCCCATCGGGTCCCCTGAGCACTACCAGGAGTGATTCCTGAGTGCAGAGCTAGGAGTCACCCCTGAGCGTTGCTGGGTGTGACCCAAAAAGGAAAAAAAAAGAAGGAAGGGAGGGTAGGAAAGAAGGAAGGAAGGAAGGGAGGGAGGGAGGGAGGGAGGGAGGAAGGGAGGGAGGGAGGGAGGGAGGGAAGAAGGATAGGAGAAAGGAAAGAGAGGAAAGGGGGAAGGGAAGGAAGAAGGGGAAGGAAGGGAGGGAGGATGGGAGAGAAGAAAGAGAAGGGAAGAAGGATGGAAGGAAGGAAGGAAGGAAGAAAGGAAGGAAGGAAGGAGGGAAGGAGGGAGGGAGGGAGAGAAGGAGGGAGGGAAGGAAGAAAGGAGGGAGAGAGGGAAGGAGGGAGGGAAGGAAGGAAAGAAGGAAGGAAAGAAGGAAGGAAGGAAGGAAGGAAGGAAGGAAGGAAGGAAGGAAGGAAGGAGAGAGGCGGGCAGGGGCAGATTCGGGCCCCTGGGGGAAGCACACCCTTCTGGTACGGCTATCCGAGCCCCTTTCCATCTCAAGTCCCAAGGCCGAGCCAACCCACAGAGCCCGAGGCTGCAAGGAACCCCAGACTCGCAGATGTCACCTCGGGGCCTCCGTCGTCGGGCCAAGGCGTGCTGGCTTCCCCGCACACACATCTCACATGAGGGACCAGCCAGCCCACACCTGGGCTGCACCGTGCGGGCCTCTGGGGACCAGCCTGGAACACGCAGTTCCCTGGACAGAAAACTTCCCGTACGGCAGAATTCCCCCCCCCACCCCCTACGCCCTCAGCCAACTGTTCCCTGGCTGGCCAAAGCACCCCAGAATGAATGAACCCCACTGACTGGTCCGGGGCACATGGGGGTGCAATCCCACAAGGAGAGGGCTCGCGGCAGGGGGGTAGGGGTAGGGGCATTCCTCCCAATCCTTTGCTTGGGAGAACAATTTGAACGTTTTGGGGGGGTACGTTTTGGTTTCCTTTTCTTTTTGGGGGGAGGAGTCACACACCCTGCCATGTTCAGGGGTTACTCCTGGCCTCTGCTTGGGGGACTCTGTGGGATGCTGGGGATCAAACCTGGGCCGGCTGTGTGCAAGGCAAATGCCCTCCCCACTCGCTCCCGCACTCTCTGGCTCCCCACCCCCCACCTCACCCCCTCCCACACACACCCCTCCCCCGCCTTTCTCACCATCAGGTGCTCAGGCTCTGCACTCAGGGATCACTCCTGGCGGTCTCTATGAGGTGGGGGACCCTATGAGGTGATGGGGATGGAACCCGGCTGGCCACGTGCAAGGCAAGCGCCCGACCCACTGCTGGAATATCTCTCCGGCTTCATCTTTAATTCTTGCTCTCTCTCTCTCTCTCTCTCTCTGTTTTTTAGGTCACACCTGGTGATGCTCAGGCGTTCCTCCTGGCTCTGCACTCAGGAATGACTCCCGACGGTGCTGGGGGGACCCTATGGGATGCTGGGGATTGAACCTGGGTCTGCCGCGTGCAAGGCAAACGCCCTCCCCACTGTCCTATCACTCCGGACCCTTGCTTTCTCTTTTGTTCTTGTTTTGTAGCTTCACCTGGCAGTGCTCAGGGGTGAATCCTGGATTAGTGCCCAGGGATCAAACCCAGGACAGTCAGCACCTTAACCCCTGTACTCCCTCTAAGCTCAAATTTGCGCAAAAGGGCGTTTTCTAAATAATAATAAAGGCAGCTAGTATTGACCAGAAAATTAAGTATCCTATAAACAGATGAAAAATTTTTTCCTGGGGGCCTGAGCAATAGTACAGCATCCCACAGGGTCCCTTGAACACCACCAGGAGTAATTCCTGGCTAGGAGTAATTCCTGAATGCAGAGCCAGGTACTCCTGACCCCTAACCATCACCAGGTATGACCCAAATAGCAAAAAAAAAAAAAAAAAACCCTGCAGGTAGGAAAAGGGGTCATCAATAAGAGCATGGGGGGCAAACCCGCTAGCTGTGGTGAGCGGCAACCCGGGTGATACTTAGGGAGACCCTCTACAGTGCCAGAGTAGAATCAGGGCTGACCACAGGTCAGGCAAGTGTCTTAACCCCTCTCCAATCTCTCTGGGCCAAGAGACTATTTAAAATGATCCGAATCTGGGGCTGGAGCAATAGCACAGCAGGTAGGGCGTTTGCCTTGCAAGTGGCCGACCCAAGTTCAATTCCCAGCATCCCATAGGGTCCCCCGAGCACCGCCAGGAGTAATTTCTGAGTGCATGAGCCAGGAGTAACCCCTGTGCATCGCCGGGTGTGACCCAAAAATAAATAAATAAATTAAATAAAATGATCCGAATCTATTGGAAGTGGTTCTGGTTGAGATCCTCACAGTCAGGGCAAAAGCTGATTATAGCCAAGAAGAGAATTTCACTCAGGGCCTGGGGCAATGGTGAAGTGAGAAGGTGCTTGCCCGACACGCACCAGGAGCGATCCCTGAGCACCACGGGATGTGGCCCCAAAAACCAGACAGGGAAAAAAAGGGAAAGAGAAGGGAAGGGAAAAGGAAAGGAGGAAGAGGGAAGGGAGGGGAAAAGACGGGAGGAGAGGGGAGAAGAGGAAAGGAAAGGGGGGCCTGGAGCGGGGAGGGCACTTGCTTTGCACATTGGGGTTCGATCCCCAACATCCCATATGGTTCCCCAAACCCCCGCCAGGAGTAATGGAGTAATTCCTGCGTGCAGAGCCAGGAGTCAGCCCTGAGGACTGACAGGTGTGACCCAGGCTGTGGGCCCCACCCCAGAGTAAAACAACAAAGGGCTTTTGCTGACAGAGAAAACAAGCAAACTACCCCCCCCCCCCAACAGACAAAGACACACACACACACACACCCAACACAAAGATAAAGGCCAAGGTCTCCCCCAGTTGGGCTGGAGAGCTAGCACAGTGGGTAGGGCATTTGCCTTGTACGCAGCCAACTTGGGTTCGATTCCCTGCATCTCATATGGTCCCCCGAGCACCACCAGGGGTAATTCCTGAGTGCAGAGCCAGGAGTAACCCCTGTGCATCGCCCGGTGTGACCCAAAAAGCAAAAACAAAACAAGGTCTCCCCCAGTGGTGCTGACCTTCGACCTGAGAGGTGGGGGCTGACTTAGCAGCAGGAGAGACGAGGATTCTGGTCCCGACAGAGCTTAAGAGGCGCAGATCCAGCTGCTGTCAAGTCACAAGGGCCTCTGGCGGGGGATCCATCCCAGAGCTTTAAAGGCAACAACAAATAACCAAGGATCTTAGTTCGGCTTGTTTTTCACAGAGGGGTCCACAGTGCTTAAGGGCAGTTCCTGCCTCTCTGTGGAGGGGGTTGGGAGTCACTCCTGGAAAGGGGACAGCCTCCCCCTGCCCACCGCCCACCAACATCCCTGCTGAACCCCCGGCATTTACTGTGGGGATTTTTTTGTAGTTTTATTTATTTACTTATTTTTTTTTTTTGGAGGGTAGTAGCCACACTCGGCAGGGCTCAAGGCTTACTCTTGGCTCTGCACCCAAAGTAAGGTGGGACTTGGGGGTCCGATCGGGGCCCCCTGTGTGCAAGGAAAGTGCCCATCTCTCCAGCTTCTTTCCAAACCTCTCAAGTGTGCCCACCTGGGGTCCTCAAAAGTTACCAGACAGACCATGCAAAAGGCACCCCCCACGGATTCGTTAAGCTGGGGTTCAGGACACAATGGCTACTCAATACCTCTATTGCAAACTACAACACCCTAAAGGAAAGAGAGAGCAAAAGGGAATGCCCTGCCACAGAGGAGGGGTAGGGGGGATGGGGCGGGGGGGGGGGGGGGGGATGGGAGGGCTACTGGGATCATTGGTGGTGGAGAATGGGCACTGGTGGAGGGATGGGTACTCGATCATTGTATAATTGAAACCCAAGCATGAAAGTTTGTAAGTCTACAACTGTACCTCACGGCGTTTCACAAAAAAAAAAAAGTTAGGGTTCAGGGTCCAAATGAGCCGACCCACAATCAGGGGTGACACTTGCCTTGCAAGTAGTTCTATTCCCAGCACCCCACAGTCCGCCAAGACTGCCAGGAGTGATCCCTGAGCACAGAGCCCGGAGGAAGTCCTGGGCACTGCCAGGTGTGGCGCAAAAAAAAAAGTCAAAATAAAAATAAAATGGGATTCAAGAGCCAAAGATAAGAAGACAGCGGGGATGGCGCTTGCCGTGCATACAGCCGACCCAAGTTCAGTCTCTGGCATCCCATAGGATCCTCTGAGCCCACAAAGATTGACCTGGGAGCACAAAGTCAGGAGTAAGCCCCATGCAACGCCATGTGTGGACGCAAAAACAAAACAAAACAAAACAAAAAACAAGAGGCTGGAGAGATCATCCAGTGGGTAGGGTGTTTGCAGACCCGGGTTCCAAGCCCAGCACCCCAAAGTGTCCTCCAAGCCCAGCCAGGAGTGATCCCTGAGTGCAGAGCCAGGAGTCAGCCCTGAGCACAGCTGGGTGTCGCCCCCTCCCCAAACCAAAAGACTAAAACAAGGGCTGCAAGCCATTCCACAGCAGCATTTGCATGCAGCTGACCTGAGTTCTATCCCTGGCTAGGTTGTAACTGCTGAGTGCAGAGCCAGGAGGAACCCGTGAGCTTCGCCGGGTCTGACCCAAAAAAGACAAACGGAAGGGCGGGGAAGGGAGGGGGGGTGCATTCAAGCCAAACATCAGGCACAAAACAAAATCAGGAGCTAGGTCTACCCCAAGGTCACAGGTCGGGAAGGAGACCCGTTTCTCAGCCCCGTTTTTCCAAGGGTGCTCACGACGCAAAAGCCCCGGGGACACCACGTTCTCTGCCTGTCCACTTACGGGGGCTTGCACCCGCAGCCGTCATCCTTAAAGGGGGGACCCAGAGAGTCCGTAGTTCCTTCCAGGAGACCCAAAGTCCCGCCACTCTCTGCCACCCAAATGCAAGGGGAAGACGAAGGGGTCGGGGGGCTGCAAAGGAGGTTGCAAAGGGGGTTCCCCCAAACACAGGGCAAGCGGACGCAGAGAAGAGGGGGTCGGAGCACGGGGAGAAAGCGAGATATGGCGGGCGAGAAGTCCCCCCCAGGATTCGGGGGTGCTCCAGCAGGCGGGGCGAGCCCAGGAGGCGGAGAGGGGGCGGCGCGGGGGTCCCGGGGTCTCGGTGGCAGGAGCGAGGGGGTAGACCGAAGGCCCAGCCCACCTCGGCCGCCGCCACGGAGCCGGCTGCAGCACAAACCTTGGCACCCCAGGCGCTCCGCGCTCCACCGAGGCTCCCGAGTCGCGGCAGCGGCGTGCAAGCCCAGGAAGCAGCAGAGCCCCAGACGCCGGCAGGGAGCTCGGCGGCCCGCGGCCCGCAGCGCGCCCGCAGATAAAGGCTTCCCAGCTCACGCGGCTTCCCGCGAGACTTGGAGGGGGCGGAGCTTGCGAGGCATGCTGGGAGTTGTAGTTCGTAACCTGCAAAGCCTGGCTGGGAATGAATGCAGCTCTCCTTCAAGGGGGCTGAGCTCAGGAGCCTGAGTGATAGTACACGGGCAGGGCGTTTGCCTTGCACGCAGCTGACTCGAGTTCGATCCCCAGCAGTAGCCCATATGAGTCACGTGTGGCAGTGCTCACGGTTGACTCCTGGCTCTGTGCTCAGGGATCACACTTGGCGGGATTTCGGAGAGGGACCGTATGGGGTACCAGGAATGGCACCTCTGTAGGCCGCGTGCAACGCAACTGCCCTCCCCGCTTGGGTTACCACTCCAGCCCTGAAAGCAACTCCCTGAACACGGAACCCGGGGTGGCTCCCAGGCACCACCAGATGTGACCCCAAAACTGAGCAATTGGGAAGGTAGCTTAGAGGGCTTGCGTGTATGCTTTGCATGTTGGAGACCCAGGTTTTTTTGTTTTGATTTTGCCATCCCGGCTGCACTCAGGGATCACTCCTGACAGGCTTGGAGGTCCATCTGGGATGCTGGGAATCGAACCTGATTTTCCCACGTTGCAAGTCAAGTGCTCTCCCTGCTGTACTATCGTTCTAGCCCCAAAATTTACTTTTTGGTTTGGGTGCCACTCCCAGTGATGCTTAGGACTTTCTCCTAGCTCTACGCCCAGGAATCATCACTCCTGGCCAGGCGTGGACTGCCATATAGGGTATTGGGAATCGAACCTGGGTCAGCTGCCTGCAAGGCAAGTAAGTGCCCTACCTGCTGTATTATCTCTCCAGCTCCCCAGGTTTCATCCATAGCACCTTGTGGTCCCACCCTAAGTACACCATGAGCAATGCATAGGAGATTCCCTGAGCACTGTCAGGCAGGTGCGGCCCCCACAAAATAATTAACCAGGTTTCTGGGGGCCTGATGTGATAGTACAGCAGGTAGGGCATTTACCTTGCATGTGCCGACCCGGGTTCGATCCCTGGCATCCCATATGTTCCCTGAGCACCTCCAGGAGTAATTCCTGAGTGCAGAGCCAGGAGTAACCCCTGAGCATTGCCGGGTGTGACCCAAAAAGGAAAAAGTAAATAAATAAATTAGCCAGATCATTCCATGCCTTCTTACCCAAATCGTCCCATCCCTTCCGTCGAGAGAAGCAAACTGCATTTCTGCACACCTGCTCTTCACTAAACACTCACAAATTTTCACTCCTTGAATTCCCTAGACAAACCTGCTAATATTCACACCAAGGAAGCAGAGAAGATCTTGGACACCGGGAAGGTCTGCCATGCAAACAGGGGCTTGGGGCCATCTCCACTGTCCCTCAACCAATGCCTCTGGCATTTCTCCACTTAAAGTTATCGTCAGACCTGAGGATTGAACTCATTTCCCAGGAAGAAAGAATAAGGAGAAAAGCGACCTCTAGTGGTAATATGGAAAGATGCCACTGAAGAAATTCAGGCTATGGTTGAGCTGTCAAACCAGACGGACAGCCTTAGCAGCGTGGCAAAGGCAGAGGAGAGGAACCCAATGTCACGAAGCTAGTCTGGGATCGTTTTAACAGGAAGTGCGCTCAGGCTCCGGGAAGGTGGAGAGGTGTTTTTTTTTTTGCTTTTTTTTTTGAGGGGGTTCACACCCGGTGGTGCACAGGGGTTACTCCTGGCTCTGCACTCAGGAGTTACTCCTGGCGGTGCTCAGGGGACCCTATGGGTTGCTGGGAATTGAACCCGAGTTGGCCGCGTGCAAGGCAAACGCCCTACCTACTGTTCTATCTCTCCAGCCCCAAGGTGGAGAGTCTTAAGGATCAGAAGCACCTAGCCAGAGATTCTGGGCATCTTGCCAGGTGGGAGGGGAGGGGAGACACTCAGTGATGCTCAGGGATGATCAGGACCTTACCCAGAACTGACGGGAGGGCCAGGAGGTACCAGGGATGAAGCTAGAACTTCCCAAATGCAGGGCAAATTATTCTATCCTTTGAGCTGGTATAGTGGGCACTAGATCAACTAGGTAATCTAAAATGCATCTAGGCTAGAGTGATAGTACAGCAAGTAGGGCGCTTGCCTTGCATTTGGTCAACCCAGGTTCAATCTTTGCCACCCCTGATGGTCCCCCGAATACTTTTATTCATAAAGTATTCATAACGCCCGCCTGTCCTTCGCCAACTACAAGACCAAGATGACTGCCCTCCGACGTCCTGATGGATCCATCACATCCTCCAGAACGGCAATGGAGAAGATTATCCATGACTTCTACTCAAATCTCTTCGATAGCCATGTCCACTTGCCGACATACCAAATTCCACAGGATGGATATGTCGTTCCCAACGTTCTCCCTTCCGAAATCCGACACGCCATTTCGTCGGTAAAGAAACAAATAGCACCCAGCCCAGGCAAGGTCAGACCTGAACACCTGAAGAACCTGCCGTCAGTACTCATCAATACACTGGCTCGGCTCTTCACTCGCTACCTGTCTGAATGCAAGGTTCCGTCCCAATGGAAAACCAGCAGGACCGTACTACTGTTCAAGAAGGGAGACATCCATGACATTGGCAACTATCGCCCGATCTGCCTATTGTCTGTCATCTACAAGTTGTTCACTCGCGTCATCCTAAATAGGATTGGCAGAACACTAGATGAAGGACAACCATGCGAGCAAGCCGGGTTCCGCAAAGGATTCAGCACCATCGACCATATCCACACAATAACCAAGCTCATTGAGGTTTCTCAGGAGTTCAAGATGCCGCTCTGTTTAACGTTCATTGATTTAAAGAAGGCCTTTGATTCTGTTGAGACAGAAGCGGTCATTGAAGCCCTAGCCAATCAGGGCATTCAAGCCCAATACATCAGGATCCTCCGTGAGCTGTATTGCGGATTCACTACCAGGATCTCACCATTCTACAAAGAAGTGATCGTTGATGTCAAGAGAGGGGTGCGGCAGGGTGATACCATTTCACCGAAACTCTTCAGTGCCACCCTCGAGAACATCATGCGACGACTAGAATGGGAAGGAATGGGAGTGAAGATAGATGGTCGGCAACTACACCACCTCCGCTTTGCTGATGACATTGTTTTAATAACACCAAACATCAGCCAAGCGGCACAAATGCTGGCCGACTTTGACCGTGAGTGTGGAAAGGTAGGACTACAGCTGAATCTTACGAAGACAATGTTTATGAGAAACAGCCTCGTTCCTGACGCCCCATTCGCTCTCAATGGAACGACCATCTCCGAATGCAACAGCTATGTGTACCTAGGTCGAGAGGTCAACATGACAAATGACCTGGCACCCGAGCTGCGCAGGAGGAAGAGAGCGGCTTGGAATGCCTTCAAGAACGTCGAAGAAATAGCTAAGAGGATGAAGAACCTCCGGCTCTGGGCACATCTCTTTGATTCCACTATTCTTCCTACATTAACATATGCCTCAGAGACCTGGGCCCTATGCAAACAAGATGAGAACGCTATTCAGGTCTCCCAAAGAAGAATAGAAAGAGCTATGCTTGGAATATCACGTTTCACTCAAATGAGAGAAAGAATCCGGAGTTCTGACATCCGTCGACGATCAAGAATCAGGGACGCTGTCTCATTTGCCAAGGTGTCGAAAATCAGATGGGCTGGTCACATAATGAGATTTAAAGATGACCGCTGGACTAGAGCTGTTACCGACTGGATTCCACGAGATGTCAAAAGACCGCGTGGCCGCCCACCTACCAGATGGTCAGACTTCTTTGTCAAGATCATGAACCATCAGTTTGAGGCCCTTCATGTTCCTGGAGCGAACAGATGCCATTGGGCTACACTAGCACGCGACAGGGACAAATGGAGACGTTACTGGTGCCCGCTCGAGCAAATCGACGACTAACGGGAAGTTAAGTGATTAAGTGATGGTCCCCCGAGCCCACCAGGATTGTCACTTGAGCACAGAGCCAGGAATAAGCCCCGAGTTCCACTATGTCCCAAAGTTAAAGTAAAGCAAATAGAGTTAATCTAATCCAATTACTTTTCTATTTTGATTTTTGGGGCTCAGGGATCACTCCTGGCAAGCTCAGGGGACCCCAGTTGGCCATGTGCAAGGTAAACTGCCTACCCACTATACTATCCTCTGACCTCTAATCCCATCTTTTTCTTTACTTTTTAAAAAATTTTTGTTTGTTCGGGGGCTGAAGAGATAGCACAGCGGGTAGGGCGTTTGCTTTGCATGCGGCCAACCCAGGTTCGATTCCCAGCATCCCATAGGGTCCCCTGAGCACCGCCAGGAGTAACTCCTGAGTGCAGAGCCAGGAGTAACCCCTGTGCATCGCCAGGTGTGAACCTAAAAACAAAACAAAAAAGTTTTGTTCTTGGACCACACCCAGCGATGCTCAGGGGTTACTCCTGGCTCTTTGCTCAGGGATCACTCCTGGCAGGGGACCATATGGGATGCCGCTGATGATCAAATGCAGGTCGGCAGCGTGCAAGGCAAATGCCCTCCCCGCTGTACGGTCACTCTGGTCCCTAATCCGATCGTTTTCATCTCACCCTACCAAAAAGTTATCCAGAACAAGAGAAAATCCATTTTCGCGTTACCAGAGTCGAGTCCCTCATCCTGGGGTTCGAGATCTTTTGTTACTGCACTGTTACTGCAGTGCTCAGGGGTTACTCCTGGCCATGCTGGGGGGACCCGATGGGGTGCCGGTGCCGGGCACCGAACCTGGGTTAGGGGCATGCAAGGCAATTATCCTGCCCACTGTACTATGGTCCGATCCCTGGCCGAACCGTTTTAGGAGGGCACCGGGAGAAAAGACGCGTGCTCCACCGAGAGCCCCGGCAGACGCACCCCCTCGCGGCTTGCCGCCCCCCACACGGGAGGAGCCGGAGGTCCCCGCGCCCACTCCCCGCGCCCTGTCGCGACAGCGGCGAGGCATTGTGGGGCTTGTAGTGCGCGGCCGTGGTCGGGTGGGTGGGCGCGGCAGTCGGCGCAGCGGGGCCATCTTCGGCGGCCGGGTTGGGCCAGCGCTGTCCGGCCCCGCGCCCGGCGCCCCGCTCCGATGGCACCGCGGCCCCTCGGCCCCTTGGTGCTGGCGCTGGGCGGCGCCGCGGCCGTGCTGGGCTCGGTGCTCTTCGTCCTCTGGAAGGTCTATTGCGGCCGAGGACGGGAGCGCCGCTGCGACAGCGCCGAGGCCTGGTGGGGCGCCGAGCCCGGCCGCCTCCCCGAGTGGGACGAGTGGGACGTGAGTGCGGGGCAAAGCGGGCTGTGCAGCGACCCCCTCCACGGGGGGAGGGGGCGCCCCGGGAGCTCCGAGGACAGCGGGCTCTGCAGCGGGGGTGGGGCACCGAGCGGCCGCTGCAAGCACGCACGCATGGGCCGGCGCGGGTGGGCGCGCCTAGCGGACATGCGGAGTCCCGGCGCCGAGTGGGCATTTGTCCGTGGGGGGGTAGCGGCAGCCCAGTTGAGACGCGATCGGACTCGCCCGGGCAAGGGGCGTGGCAAGGGGGCGTGTTTGTGGGCGTGGATTTATAGGGCGTGGTTTCGTGGGTGTGGTTTGATTGGGCGTGACCCATGGGGGTGTGGTTTGATTGGGCGTCACTTCATAAGGGGCGTGGTTTTGACTGGGCGTGACTTGTAGGCGTGGCTTGTCTGGGCGTGACTCTATGGGTGTGGCCTTACTTGTGGGCGTGGCTTTATATATGGGCGTGGTTAGCGCTTGCGCAGTGCACGCGGGGGCCGGCGCGTGGTGAGAGGTCCTGGCGCTAGCGACCTCGTTCTCTCCAGGGGTAGCCACAGTGGGGGGAGAGGGACCCTGGGGCGACGCCGCGGACTGGCTTATGAGTCACGCGAGGTCACACAGGCGAAGGCAGAGGACGGCATGGCAAAGGGTCAGGACTCCCCAGATCGCGCTTGGGTCCTGGTCCCCCACACCGGACCCCCCCTCCCGGCCCTGCAGGGGTGGATCGAGGGCGGTGATGTTGGGGCTGCGGGGCGCGCTCCGGGAGGGGGCCGGCTGCAGCCAGCCTCCCCTGTGCCCCGCAGCCCGAGGACGAGGAGGATGAGGAGCCGGCGCTGGAGGAACTGGAGCAACGCGAGGTGCTGGTGCTGGGGCTGGACGGTTCGGGCAAGACCACGTTCCTGCGCGTGCTGGCCGGGAAACCCCCGCTGGAAGGCCACGTCCCCACCTGGGGTTTCAACTCCGTGCGGCTGCCCACCAAGGACTTCGAGGTGGACCTGCTAGAGAGTGAGCAGAACCGAACCCTCCTCCCCGAAACACACACACACACACACACACACACACACACACACACACACACACACACACCACGAGTCCCCTGCACGCATGCGGATTGGAGCTAAACAGGATTCATCTAGTTTGGGTTTGGTTTGATTTGGGGGCGGGGAGGCACACTCTGCAGTGCTCAGGGCTTACTCCAGGTTCTGTGCATAGGAATCACTCCTGGTAGTGCTCGGGGGACCATACAGGATGCCGGGGAAGACAGCATCCAAGGCATGCAAGGCAAGAACGCCCTCCCCAACATTCTGTAGCTCTTGTCCTTCAGGTCTTTGAGCAATTCCCACGCCAGTCTGGGAGGCTAGAGGCAAATCCAGCCTAGAAGCTCCTTCCTGAGCCCGGATCTCTAACTCAGACCCCTGTCCCTCATCCTGCAGGTTTATCAATGGTCGCCTCGCCAACTGCTAAAGTTGTCCCCATACTGAGCAGTTGCTTGCGTGGGGTTTCTTGATAAACTCCTCCTGACGATTTCATAAAGCTAGAAGCAGTATTCTGTACAAGAGAGAGTCCAACAGCCCACACTTTGCTTAATCCTATCTAAATTCCCAGGGAGTTTCTTGCTTTTCAGCTTTTCAACAAACTTTTCTATCTGTTTTTCTTTTGTTTGTTTTGTTTAGGAGCCACACTCGGCTGTGCAGGGTGAGGCAAGGGGGTGGGGGGGAGTAGCCTTATGGGGTGCTGGAGATAGAACTCAGGTCTGCCATGTACAAGGCAAACGCCCGACCTGCTGTACTATCACACTAGTTCAAACTTTTCTGTCTTAAGAAAAAAAAAAAAATCCAGCAAGTTACCGTATTTCACTGTGTAATCGCGCAGTTCTATACCCAATATGTTGTTTTGTTTTTCTCTCCCCAAAATGGTAGGGAGGGTGACAATTTTGGGGAGATTGTAACAGGGTTATAGGGCTGGAGAGACAGTAAATGGTCTAAGACTCTGGCATTGCACGTTTCTGACCTGGGTTCAATCCCCAGTTCCACATATAGTCATTTCAAACACCGCCAGGAGTGATCCCCGAGCACCAAGCTAGGAAGAAACCTTGAACACAGCTGGGTGTGGGCCAAAAACTGGAAAAAAATTTAATACAGATGAGAAGGTCAGAAGCCAAGCGTTGAACTGAAAAAAAGAAAACACAGGGCACAGATTACGCACTGGGCAACAATGACACGGTGAAATACGGTAAATCATTGATCGCTTTGCTTCGGTTTGCCCGCGGTGGCCCAGGTGTCCCCCTAAGCTGCTGTGTGACACTTTCTGCCTTGTTCTCTATCCTCTGCATCTTTGCTTATACTTTTGCATCCTTCTGGAAAGCCCTTCTTTACTGAAAAGGATAGTCTCTCTATAAACACCCCCCCCCCCCCCCCCGCGCCTTTTTTTTCATCACAGCAGGTAGGGCATTTGCCTTGCATGCCCCAGACCCGGCTGACCCGAGTTCAATACTTCTGCTTCTCTTGCAGAGCCCGGCAAGCTACCGAGAGTGTCTCACGGGCACAGCAAAGCCTGGCAAGCTACCTGTGACATATTCGGTATGCCAAACACAGTAACAAGTCTCACAATGGAGACGTTACTGGGCCTGCTGGAGTAAATCGGTGAACAACGCGAGGACAGTTGTTGTTGTAAATAGTTTTTGGGCTACACCTGAGGATGCTCAGGGCTCCCTCCTGGCTCAGGAATCACTTCTGGTGGTATTGGGGGATGGTGGTGGGACGCTATAGGATGCTGGGGATTGAGCAGTCTGGCTCATGAAGGGCAAGCACCCTCCCTGCTGTGCTCTCTCTCCGGTCTCCCCACTACCACCCGTGAGCCTTTCTCTACCCACCCCTCTTGCTCCCGCCCCTCACCAGGCTAGGTTCTGAGGACCCTCTGCTGTATTGGGGACTGTCACTCGGCCCACAGACTGGCCTGTGTCAATGCTGGCACCCATGTACGTAGGCTCTGGGAGGACTTTCTGAGCCCGTGATCGAAAGATCTGGTCCCAGGTTCTCAGGGATCCCTGGAGAGGTCTTAAGGATCCGGGTGAGAGGTCGGTCCTGGGATTCAAACCACAAAGCCTCAGGGAGGTCAATGGAAGTCAAAGGCTTAATGCCAGGGAGACGGCTCAGAGGGCAGAAGTAAATTATTTATTCATTTTTTTGCTTTTTTGGGTCACACCCAGTGATGCTCAGGGGTCACTCGTGGCTCTGCACTCAGGAATTACTCCTGGCAGTGCTTGGGGGACCATATGGGATGCCGAGGATTGAACCCAGGTCGGCCGCATGCAAGGCAAACACCCTACCCACTGTGCTATCGCTCCGGCCCCAGAAGTGCATGTCTTTGCAGCCTGGAGCCCCGGGTTCGATCCCCAGCCCACTAGTTTCCCTCAGCACTGCTAGGAGAAATTCCAGAGTCAGGAGCTGCTCAAAGCACTGCTGGGTATTTGCGCTGCCTCACCCTCTTCCCCCCCAAAAAAAAGTTAATTTTTTTTTAAACCCTAGTGCCCAGTTAAACGCTCACTGGTGAGTCAGACTGGGGCTCTCACTCTTGACCCCCCTGGGGACCCAGCTTCTCTAGTCTCAGGGATTGCTTCATACCAGCTAACCCTGGTGACATCTGTCCTTCCCTGTGGCAAATGTTTAGCGGTTGCCTAGGATCTGGTCTTTCAACAGACTTTCCTCGGGCCCCTGTCTTGCCAGGGACACGGAGGTCAAAGAGGGTTGCCGAGGGTGAGTGGAGGGCGCTGGGGGTCCGAGCAGCCCCAGTCCAGGCTTTTTAGCACAGGAGCAACACCCAGCTTGGGGGACTTCGGTGCTGAAGTCTGGCCCTGCTGCAGGATGGGACAGACACAGATCAAAGGCTCATCTGTTACAGGACCAGAAGGATGCTGGCCCTTGCAGGTGGCCCTGAGCCCCTGGTGTCGAAGATGCTTCTGCTTTCCTGCCAGCTTTGATTTTTGTTTCTTTTTTGGGTCACACACGGCAATGCACAGATGTTACTCCTGGCTCCTGCACTCAGAAATTACCCCTGGCGGTACTCAGGGGACCATATGGGATGCTGGGAATCGAACCCAGGTTGGCCACGCGCAAGGCAAATGCCCTACCCACTGTGCTATTACTCCAGGCCCTCCCTGCCAGCTTTGATCTCCCCACCACAGCCTCCCCCACCCCGCAGTGGTCTCCCACAAAGCCTGGCAGACAGACCCACCAGGAAAGGGCCCTTTACTCTTTTCTTTTGTGCTGGGGTGGGGAAGGGGGCGGTCTCAGGGCTGACTCCTGGCTGTGGGCTCAGGCATCACTCCTGGCAGTGTTCAGGGCACCCTGTGGGATGTTGGGGATCAAACCCAGGTTGGCCGTGTGCAAGGCAAGTGCCTTTTCTGCTGTCCTATCACTCTAGCCCCAAAGATTTCTTCTCTTTTTTTCTTTTCCTTTTTGGGTCACACCCAGCTCAGGTTCCTCCTGGCTCTGCACTCAGGAATTACTCCTGGCGCGGTGCTTGGGGGACCCTATGGGATGCTGGGGATCGAACCTGGGTTGGCCTCATGCAAGGCAAATGCCCTACCCACTGTACTATCGCTCCAGCCCCAAAGACTTCTTTTTTTTTTTCCTTTTTTTTGAGGGGGGTTTACTCCTGGCTCTGCACTTAGGGATCACTCCTGGCGGGTTCAGGGGACCCTATGGGATGCCAGGGATCGAGCTCCAGCAGGTTGCTTTCAAGGCAAGTGCCTTCCCCGTTGTCCTATTGCTCTGCCCATCCCCCCCCACACTCTTTATGTGTCTTTCCTGCTTTTTGGGCCACACCTGGTGGTGCTGGAGGCTTCCTCCTGGCTCGGCTCAGGGATGAATCCTGGCGCTGCCAGGAATCCCACCTGGGTTGGCTGCAAGGGAGACAACTGCCCTGTTGGCTGTTCTCTCTCTCTCTGACCCCTCAGTCTGGGATTTCCCTTTCATTCGGCCATGGGTTGATGGATCCCCCCAGGGGGTCCTGGTTAGCAGGGGCGGTGTGGGGGGAAGTGGGGGTCCTGCCTGCCTGGCTCGCCTCTGCATCCCCAGCACCCAGCTCAGCGCTTGGCACCTTGTAAGCACTCAGTGAGTACTTGGTGAGTGCCTGCTACGTGCCAAGCATTGTGCTGAGGGCAGAGGTCAGCGGCTCTCTCTCTGAAAGAACACTGAGGTCGAACCCGAGATGCTGGCATTTGGGGTGTTCCGCGGGGCACTGCAAAACCCAGGTTTTTTGGGGGAGGTAGGTAGGGTGGTCTGTGCCATTCCAAGGAGGGTACGTGACTGAAGGGACAGTGAGTCCCTGGCAGGTCCCCTGGCTTCTGGCTGTATCTCATTTTGTCTCCAGAAAGCAATCCAGGAGGAGGCTTAACTGAGCACCTACTACACCCCAGGAAGAGGCTTAACTAAGCACCTCCTACACCCGAATCCTGTAAAATGCTTTGTTTGCTACTACATGGTGCTGAAGGTGCTACTCCCAGCTCTGTACGCACTTTTTTTTTTCTTTGCTGCGGGGAGGGGGGGAACGGGGGTGTTGGCCCATTCTCCGCAGTGCTCAGGGGTGATGCCTGATTCTGCACTCAGGAATCACTCCTGGCAGGGATCAGGACCATATGGGATGCATTGCAAGGCAAGTGCCCTCCCCAGTATACTATCGTCCGGTCCATCTGTGCTCACTTCTGGGGTCAGAGAGGAACCGGGCTCATTTGCACACAAGGCAAGTGCCCTTCCCCCTTCCCCCATCCTCTGTCTCTTGACTCCTGTGAAAGGTTGTTTTTTTTTGGGGGGGGAAGGGGTTGGAGCTTAGAGGAACCCCACAGGACACTAGAATTGAACCTAAGCCCTATGGGAGAAAGACAAAGGGCTCTTTCCCCTCAGGACTCTTGCCCAGTCCCTCCAACTGCCCCCCACCACTGTGAAATGTTTCTGTCACCTAGTTCCTGCATTATTGTTTTTGATGTTGTGGTGTCGGTGATCGAACCCAGAGCCTCATCTTTGCAAGGCAAGTCCTCAGGCCCTGCCGACCAGCGCGGCCCCACCACCAAGTGCCCGGCCCCGCCCACGAACGATGACCACGCCCACCCGCGATGTGACCACGCCCACTTGGGCTCTGGCTCCGCCCACCCACGAGAAACACCTTGGGAATGGCTGTGGGGTGGGGGCGATTCTGGGCAGCTCTGAGTGGGGGGGCTCCTGCCTCTCCTCAGTCGGTGGCAGCGAGAACCTGCGCTTCTACTGGAAGGAGTTTGTGAACGAGGTGGACGTGCTGGTGTTCGTGGTGGATTCGGCCGATCGCCCGCGGCTTCCCTGGGCCCGGCAGGAGCTTCACAGGCTGCTGGACAAGGACCCCGACCTGCCCGTGGTTGTGGTGGCTAATAAGCAGGTGAGGGGGCGAGGCGTTGGGGGCCCAGGTCGGGTGGGAGTCTGGAAGCAGGGGCTGAGCTCTGGAGAAAAAACCTCAGCCCAGGAGCCTTGCTCTAAATTAGAGCCACCCAGAGGTCAGTCAAGGGATGCCCTGCAGAGACGGCCCAAGCCAGGAGCCGGGTCAAGGCGCTGGCCGTGCACATTAGGGTCCCTGTTTGCACACAGATGGTGCCATTTGGGTCCCTGAAACTCCATAGAGTTTGCCAAGCCCGGCCGGGAGGGGATCCTGAGCAGTGCTGGGTGTGGCCCCCAAGCCCAAAGAAACAGAGATAGATAATAGAAAGGTTAAGGTGCTTGGGGTGAGAGTGATGATACAATGGGCAGGGCGTTTGGTTCCATCCCCAGCATCCCATGCACTACCCTGAGCACCACCAGGCGTAAGCCCCAAGCAACGCAAGGTATGACCCCTTCCCCTCCACAAACAAACCCCTAAAATAGCGGGTGCTGATTATGGAGACCCTGCACCCAAGCAGCCCCTGCTAGGAGCCGGGACTTGGGTGTTCTGGCTGGAGTAAAATCACCGCCTCCCAGGTGAGCAGTGCAGCGAGCAGTCCCTGCAGGTCGGGATCGGAAATGCGCCCGTCCCCGTAGACTGCCCCCTGCTGGCGGCCTGGTGCTCTGTGCCTTCCCACCTGGTTCTGAGGTCTCTCCTGCTGCACTTGCCTTTCTGGCCTGACCTTGCCTCTGTGCAGGGACATGATTGTTATGTTTTTCCACCTGGATGGTGGGCAGCAGAGGGTGTTGGGGGAGGGGCTGGCTTCCAGTGGGGTCCCCGCTCAGCGGCTCTCCACGGCCCTCCCCGCCCCCCACCACAGGACCTGAGCGAGGCGGTCAGCATGGTGCAGCTGCAGCAGGAACTGGGTTTGCAGACTCTCGACAGCCAGCGCGAGGTCTTCCTGCTCGCCGCCAGCGTGGCCCCCGAGGGACCCGGCTTCGAGAACCCTGGCACCGTGCACATCTGGCGGCTGCTGCTGGAGCTGCTCTCCTAGGCTGCAACCAACCAGGGGCTGGAGCTACCACCACCACCAGACCAAGCCTCTCCGGGAGTCGGCTTTGCACGCAGAGCAGGGGTGGTGGTGCAAGCGCGCTGCCTCATTCCAGGCTGGCACTGGATGCAGCGTTCGGGGCAGGCCACCGCCTCCCCGGCTATCTGTGCAGCGAGCGCCCCCTGCAGGTCGGGATCGGAAACGCGCCCCCAAGACTGTCCCCTGCTGGCGACTTGGTGCTCTGCGCCTTCCCACCTTGATCTGCGGTCTCTCTTGCTGCACTGCCTTTCTGGCCTGACCTTGCCGCTGTGCGGGGATAGGATGATTGTCATGTTTTCCCATGCTGGAGCTGCAGTTCCCAGCCCCAAAGATCCTAAGTGCTGGGGCAACCCCAGGAGATGGGTTCGGGAGCTCCGTGAAGAAGTGCCACTAACCCCTGAACCTGGCTTCTCCGCTCCAGAATTGATTCACCTCCCCTCATCAGAAAGGCCCGCCCTGCCCGGCCGGGACCAGACAGGGCCGGTGTTCACCTTGGGGAAGCAGGGAGCCCAGGTACCCAAGATCACCACCCCGGTGGGTGTGAGATGGCTTGGAACTTTTTCTTTCATTCATCCAAGAACGGCGTTTGCAGCTCAACCTCTAAATCCCAGGACATTGAGAATGTCAGGATGTTCAGACGTTAAACATGGTCTGTGAAGGGTGGTTGCTGGCACCCCAAAGAGTCGTGTGCTCACCGAGCTCTATCTGTGGAGCCCTGCCCCCGGTGTAAGGAATTCTGAGCCTTCACCTGGAACCAGCTGGACCCGATGCTGTCTCTCTAGCAATCCTATTCCGAGAGAACGGCTACCCAGTCAAGAAATCCCCTGGCAGTGCTGCAACTGGATCAGCTGATGGGGCAGCCTGGGCCCATCCCCCTCTGCGCCAACATAATGGGACAGGATCTCTGGGGTCCCCTGGAGTCTTTCATCTACCCCCCCAAAAAGTTTATTGCTGTATCTACTTATTTATTTGAAAGATCCTCCCACCCACCCACTTTGGGCTTGTCTTTTTGTTGGACACATCCAGTGGTGCTCAGAGATCACTCCTGGTGGAGTTCGGGAAACCCTATGGAATGCCGGGCATAAAACCTGGATCAGCCACGTGCAAGGAAGGGCCCTCCCCGCTGTCCACTCTTTCCAGCTCCCCCTCCCTCTTTTTTTTTTTTTTTTGGTGATGCCAGGGGTGGATCCCAGGAACCTCTCCCACAGCATTTTGGGCCTGGAATTCATTCCCCAGTCGCTGGGTCCCTAGACATGCAGGGGCTGTAGACCAAGTCCTTCTTCTTGGAACTCCTGAGCTTCCACAGGAAGGAGGAATCTTTCTTTGGTTTGCTTTTGGCTCTTCAGTCAAAAAGAGATAATCCCGATGGCTGAACTTGGCTGCCACCTTTTTTCCTTTTTCAGCCCTAAGAAGTTCCAGAAACTTCTTTGGTTCCTAGGTATGAGAGATGGTCTAGTGGAGAAGCGGTCTGCTTTGCAAGTGGCTGACCCAGGCTCAGTCTCAGGTCCCCCCTTAGGGTCCCTTGGAGCCACTCCATGTGACCTTTGAGCACCGAGCCAGGAGTCTATTCGGGGTACCGATAGTGTGGCCTCAAAACCAAAGAGTCAAAAAGAAACTTCTTTGGTTTCTGTGTTTTGGGCTCCCACCTGATGCTCTAGGGAGCCACGTGGTATTGGGGATCAGACCTGACTGCTGAGGTCCTCCTAGCCCCAGAGTCCTGTCTTGTTCTCCAGTGTTGACTTTAGCAATCAGTTAAGTAGAAGGGGGAAAAGAATGCAAACCTATTCAGAAGCAGTGGTGCCAGGGACCCCCAAACCCGGCACATTTCCCAGCCTGGGACCCCACATGGGGCAGCCAGTCAGGGTGACATTGGCCAAGGGTGGCCCAGGCCGGTCTTGGAACAGCCCAAAGGCCCAGTGATCTTTTCCAGTTGCCCCGAATAGGGGTTCAGGAGCCCAGCAGACCCCCTGCACTTCTTTTCCAGCCTCAGGACTGGAAATGGGGGTCCTTTTCCAAGCGAGGCCCCTGAGCTCACCTAGGGGAAGTGGGGTGCTGTGCTCCCTGCCAGTGGCCATGCCCTCCCTGCTACCCAGGGCCTCCGAGGATGGCCGTGACCTTGACACTAGTGATAGTCCTTCCAGAATCGGCAACTTCTGCTCCCCACCTTCTCTGAGCCACTTCCGGTCCTGGGAGAGGCCAAGACAACCCACATGGTATGGATGGAGCAGGCAAGAGTATTTCTAGAGGCTACTGGCCCCGCCTCCCCAGAAGCCACTGGGTGCCCTTCTCCAGCAGGCAGGCTCCGAGCAGGGCTGGTTCAGTCCAGCCCCCAGAGGTGCTTAAGAAAATCTCAACTCCGTGTGCTGGAGTGATGCACAGACGGGAGGGCACTTGCTTTGCACTAGACCAACCTGAGTTCGATCCCCAACAACCCATACGATCCCCGGAGCACCACCTAGAGGAATTCTGAGCACAGCCGGGTGTAGCCCGAAAACCAAAACACAAAAAAGAATCTCAACTCCATGGTGCTGCTGAGAAACACCAGCTGCTCCCCCAAATGTTGCTCCCCACCTTTGTAAAACTGCCATTTGCCCAGGAGTCCTGTTCTCAGAGCCGGGGGACTTCGGGGGACAAGCCCGCCAAGGATCTGGAAGGAATGGGGGTTTGCAGCTCTGGGAGCACCTCCCCCGGGGAATATGGGGAGGGCTTCGACACGGAGAGTGGGCAGCTTCTCAGGCCACAAATAAACACATGAACTGGCTGTGGTGTCGCTGTGTGGAATGTGGGATGTCGGGGTGTGGCTAGAATGGGTCTTTTTTCTTTTTTTTTTTTTTTGCTTTTTGGGTCACACCTGGCGATACTCAGGGGTTACTCCGGGCTTTGCACTCAGGAATCACTCCTGGCGGTGCTCGGGGGACCATATGGGATGCTGGGAATCGAACCCGGGTCGGCCGCATGCAAGGCAAACACCCTACCTGCTGTGCTATTGCTCCAGACCCTAGAATGGGTGCTCTTTTAACAGCCCCGCAGCCCAGGGCAGTGGGGTCAGGGTGGGGTGGGATCAGTGCAGGAAATAAGCATGAGGAGTGGCCAGAGCACTAGTCCAGCGGGGAGGACGCCGGCCCTGCACGCAGCCGACCTGGGTTCAATTCCTGGCATCCCTGAGCACTTCCAGGAGTGATTCCTGAGCATTGCCAAGTGTGGCTTTAAATATAAAAAAGCGGGGGCTGGAGTGATAGCAAGGCGGGTAGGGAGTTTGCCTTGCACGTGTCCGACCTGGGTTCGATTCCCAGCATCCCAAAGGGTCCCCCAAGCACTTCTAGGAGTGATTCCTGAGTGCAGAGCCAGGAGTAACCCCTGAGCATTGCTGGGTGTTACCCAAAAAGAAAAAAATAAATAAATAAATAAATAAGCGGGCTGGAGCAATAGCACACTTGCCTTGCATGCGGCTGACCCGGGTTCGATTCCTGGCATCCCATAGGGTCCCCTGAGCAACACCAGGAGCAATGCTGAGTGGAGAAACAGCACTGCCAGGTGTAAGCCAAAAAAGACTAAATAAGATTTAAAAACAAAAAATAAAAAGGCTTTTTTTTTTTTTAGTGGGGGGTGAGGATAGGCGCCTAGTAGGGCCCACTCTTCAAAGCCACATTCCCAGCTTGGGTGGAGACTCTGGGATCCCAGGCAGGGCTCCTCTGACTGCAGCAATGCCAAGCCCAGAGCTGCTGAGGATCGGGGATGGGACTCGCTGTTAGACTCTGCCATAAGTGAGGCCCTGGGTTCGAACCCCAGCCAAGCAGAGAGAAAAAAAAAGTCCAAGGACCTAAAATAAAGCCTTGTTTTATTCTGTACATACAATCTTCAAAGCGTCCCTCCTTCCCTGCACCCCGCCCCCATGAGAACAAAAGGAGTCTCTGGGCCCCCAGAAAGGAGCTTTGTGGGTGGCAGCTAAGGTCCGACCGGGTGTGGCCCACCTCATCTGCTGCCACACCTCCTCCAGGATGCAAATCCTGGCTTATGACTGCTGGTGAGGCTGCTGCTGCTGCTTGGGTCGAGGGAGTGGTCTGAAGCAGGGAGTGAGGGGTGGGGCTTGGGGGTGAAGGCACTCCCCCCCCCTCAACCCCTCAACTCACTCCACCTCCATCTTCGTGTTCTGCAAGGACTCCTGGAAAGCCCGCCACTCGTCAGGGTAGAAACGCTTGTAGACATTGATCTTACTCCGAATCTGTTTGGGGGTGTCCTGGTAGTAATTCTTCTCATCGCGGGCCATGGCCTGGGAAAGGGAAGGCGGCAGATGAGCTCTGAATGAAATGGGGCAAGCACCTGCGGAGGACGCCTCACCAACCCCCCTCCGCCCCGATCTGCTCCCCAAAGAATCTCTGATCTCGGAAGGGATGCTGGCAGCTGAGTTATCCCAGGAAGGAGGCCCAGCTGGAGGCCCGGCCCCACCCACCCTGCCCACCCACATGCAGGCCCCAGGGCCCCGCCCACTCACATGCAGCTCCAGAGCCCCGCCCATCCACATCCAGCTCCCACCACCGCCCCAGTAAACATCCCAGCTTCAGGACTGATCTCAGAGAGGCTGGGGAGTTGCCAGCAGCTGCTCTTCCCAGCTCTGAAGCCCCCAAAACGAGCAGCCACATACGTGGCACCCCCAAAACCTCACTGAACTGATGACAGCCCAGGAGGAAGAACTTAGACGCGAACACTGAGTAGATGCTCAGAAGCCCAGCTTGCACCTAAGCGCACCTAAGCGCTCAGGAAATTCTCAGGCCACGGCTCTAGCAACGTCATTTACGAGAGCGTGTTGGAATAAGCAATATAAAGTAAATTAATTAGTGCCTGCTAAGGGAGCTGGCTGGGGGGTGGGTGGGAAACTAGGGATACTGATGGAGGGAAGGTCACACGGGTGCTGGAATATAGAATACCTGAAACAACTGTGCTGTGAACAACTTTGTAAATCGTGATGCTTAAAGAAAATTTTTGGTTTTTAAGAAAAAGGAAATATGGGGGCTGGAGAATAGTGCAATGCAGAAGGCGTTTGTCTTGCACATGGCCGACCCAGGCTCGATCCCCGTCATCCCATATGGTCACTCAAGTGATTCTTGAGTGCAGAGCCAGGAGTACTCCTGAGCATCGGCTACTTTGGGGCCAGAGAGACAGTACAGCAGGAAGGCCACTTGACTTGCACATGGCTGACGCTAGGTTCAATCCCCAACAACCTCACAGAGTCCCCGAAGTCCCGCCAGGAGTGACTCCTGAGTGCAGAGTCCAAAGTAAGCCCAGTGTGCCGCCGGGTGTGAAACTCGCAGCTAGGGTAGGGGAACTTTCACCAGGCTGAACTCTGCAGATTTGCAAGCAGGAGGTTTGTTTTTGTTTTTGTTTTTTGCAAGCAAGTTCCATCCACAACAGCACATGGTCCTCTGAGCACTGTCTGAGCCCTGGGCGCAGAAGCCTGCAGGGAAAGCCCTTGAGCATGGCCGGGCTATGATCTCATGAACCCAAACAAAAATCCCGAGGACGGAAAATCCTAATCAAGGAACACAGAAACATACAAGAATGGGTCTGGAGAGAGAGGCCAGCGGGGTGGGCGCTTGCCTTGCACGCAGCCCACCCGGGTTCGATCCTCGGTGATCTAGAGCACCGCCAGGTAAGCCGCCTCCCCCACCCCGCCCCCTAAAACCATACAATTAGCTCCAGTCTTATTCCAGACGCAGGTCAGGTCCCAGCATGGAAGTCAAATCACCCACAGCCAGGGCTCGGCTTTGGGGAGAACCCCCCCCCCCCGTGCCCGCCCCTCGAACTCCGGCTTCCTCCCGCATTTCCCTCAGGCCCTGCCCCTCACCTTGTAGTTCTCGCCGTGGTTCTCCACCATGTAGCGGACGTAGTCGATGAGGTCCCGAGACAGCGTGTCTCCTCTTTTCTCGGGAAGGCTGGCTTCAGCCTCCAGGTCTGGGGGAGAAGCCAGGGAGGGAGGCTTTATAAAGGGCTCAGTGGTCCTGTGCGACCAGCCCTGGCCCCGCCCCCAAAGCGGGAATGGGTGGGGCAGAAAGCCCAGTGATTGGCTGAGCTCGCGGGCCTCCACCAATCCAAAGCCAGAACCTTTTTCTCTCGCTTCCTGGAACACGCTCATCTGGGCAGTTATTGGCTATTGGAAAGGCTAGCACAGCAGGGCGGGCACTTGCCTTGCAAGTTTCAATCTCTTAGGGGCCTTGGGTCCCATCTCCGGCATCCTATAGGGTGCCTCAAGCCCGCTAGAAGAGTCCCCTGAGTGCAAAACCAGATCTAATGCCTGACCATCGCCTGCTGTGGCCCCAAATCAAAAACCAACAAAAAGGTTTCTGGTCCCTGGGGGCCCCAGATCTGCTCACAGCCCTCTGGCGCCTGTCTTGCCTTGCACCCCGGCGGATGGAGAGAGAGAACAGGGGCCCACAGGGTCCCAGCGCCTACCATTGAGAACATAGGGCTTCCGCACCAGCACCGCACTCTTCTCCACGCTGTCCACATCCATGGGCTTCACCTGCACAGATCCGAGTCCATGAGCAAGAGGAGGCCAAGGCAGGCCAGTTGGGGTAGAAGGAAAGTTCTAGAAGCTCCTGCCCACCCCAACACAACTGCATTTCTCAGAAGAATCCTGGCCCAACGTCGGTCACAGGGAAGAGACACAAAGAATTCAGGGCCTGTCCATGTCCTGGTTCCCAAGACAGCCACAGAAATCCTTTCTGTGCTCATCTGTCAAACAGGCACAACGAGGGTCAGAGAGGATGGACAGCGGCTAAGAAAGGACAGCTTGCCTTCCAGACAACTGACTGGGTACAACTACCGGCACAATCATAGCCTCTCTCGAGGCATGGCTGGGCAGAGCCAGGAGTAAATGCTGTGCCCAGCCGGGGTGGCCCCCCAAAACAAAAATAAACAAAAAAAGACACCGTGCTCCTGATGCTTCACTTTGCTGGGCCACACCCTAAATGAGAGCGCTCTCCATCTCACTCCCAGGCACTGTCAGTGCTGACTTTGTAGATGTCAGATCTTAATTCTGTGTCGATTTGTGCCAGGGCACCAGCAGGAAGGAATAGGCAATGTGAAAGAGGGCAGGGGAGTCACAAAACCCACTGCTCAGATTTCAAAGCACCCCACAGCACACTGGCACCACGGGGGTGTTTAGGAAGGAGCTAAACCCGATCCTGGCCTCCAATGAGACAGTCAGACAAAAAAGTGATAAATTGATCACCAGGCCCAGTGAGGGCAGGGATAGGACAGGGGAAGGAGTGATTCCTGAGTGGAGAGTCCCGAGTAAATCTAGGTATGGCCCCCAAAACAAAAACCCAAAATACAAACTAACAGATCAATCAGATAAAATAGATTGAGGAAGAAAGCAGATACCTGACTTGAGACTATGCTTTCTGATATTAGTGGTCCAGACAGAAGGTAGTCATGGAAAAGCCTCCGACCATTGGAACAGGATGTAAAGGAACATAAAGCGCGTGCGTGCCTGCATGTGTGCGTGCGTGCGCGTGTGTGTCCCACCAGATAAATATCTTAAACTCCATCCTAATTAGATAAATCAAGGGCAGAAAAAATTAAAAACTCAAAACACCAATGAGCAGGTAAGGATCCCCATCGGGTTCATTTCGCAGCAGACAAGTCAAGTGGAGCAAGCCGGGGTGGAGGAGGGGGTAGTTTGAACCCAGGTTCCGGGGACGGGAAAGGCTGGTTGAACCCAGGAACCGAGCCCACCCCGGGGCACCCCCATCCCGGTCATTTGCAGACTAGTGGGCGGAAGGGGGTGCAAACCCAGAAGGGCGCGAGGGAGGTCAGGGACTGATCAGTCGGGGGGGGTCCAGGCTGCGGATGGGATGCGGGGCGGGGTCCAAAGTCGGGGCGCCACCACGTCTGTTACCTTTCGCTTCAGGAGGGGAACAGCTTTATTGGGGTCCATGGCCAAACCCATCTCGGCCAGGTTCTGCCGCACCGATTTTCCGTGGTCCCAGGCATGTCGGATGTGGGAGCTACGGCAGGAGCGAGAGATGACACCAGCGTCACCCACCGTCGGGCCAGGGGCGCCGGAACCCCACAGACTCCCGAACCCCGGGCTCCCTCACCACTCGATCCGCGGCGCCGCCTTCCGTTTCGCATTCCGGTGCAGGCGCTTTCGATTGACATTGTAACCGAACTTCTGCCTCCGAGTTTTTCCCTTGGCCTTGGGCATCGCGCGGTGCAACACACAGACAGCTCAAGATAGCCCTCCGCGGGTCCGGGTACCGCGTGGAGTCAGCGACTTCCGCCCGGGGAGGGGGGCGGTGCTGGAGAGAGGAGCGGGATTTCTGGGAAATGCAGTCTCCTTCCGAAGGAACACGGGCTTAAGGCCTACAACTCCCAGAATGCAACGTGCTCCTGCGCCTGCGTGAACCGCGCCTCAAAGTTCTTTCTCCCCGCCCCTTTTCATGACCTCATCAGGGGGCGGGGCGCCGCGACCGGCTCGCTGAGCAGTGGCTTGGGGACATGGCGACGCCCGGTCGTGTGGCCCCGGCGGCCCCCTTTGACCCTTCGCAGCCCCCCGTCATCGAAGGCTTTAGCCCCACCGTCTTCGAGCCGACAGAAAGCGTCAAGGACAAGTTCATTCGCAAAACCCGCGAGAACCCGTTGGTGCCCATAGGTAAGCGGGGAGGCTTGCAAGGAACTGCAGGGGCGGAGAGGACAGTGATGTCGGGGGGAAGCAAATAGGTGCGGACCGGGGAAGTCAGGTGGGGGGACCCGGTTGGAGAGCGGACTAGAAGTGAGGCGGAAGCGGCGGGGAAGGTGGCGGTGATCGGGGTGTCGGGCTTGCGGGGACTGAACTGGGAGGACCTCCGCCTCCTCGCGTGACCCCGTCACCCCCTTCTTTTTGGCCCGTTGTCCCGAGAGTTTGACCTTAGGGACAAAGAGGCTGGAAGCGGCAAAGTGGAGCGGGGGGGGGCTCCCCGGGACTGGATCGATCACTGTCCCCCTCCTCCCAACTCCCCGACTCTGTCCCCTCCCTAGGCTGCCTGGGCACGGCCACCGCCCTCCTGTACGGCCTCTACTGCTTCCACCGCGGCCAGAGCCAACGTTCGCAGCTCATGATGCGCACCCGGATCGCCGCGCAGGGCTTGACGGTCGCGGCCATCCTGCTGGGCCTGGCCTCCTCCGCGATGAAGTCGCGAGCCTGATGAAGTCGAGCCCTGAACCTTGCCCCTGCCCCCCCCTCCACTCCTGTGAACGTCTACCGAAGGCCAGGACTCCGGTGGCCAGTTGTGTAACTGACCATTTTTTTTTAAATTCAGGAATCGCAGATCGGTTCCGTTGGCATGTGGCACATTTCTCTAGGTGCCTCCCTTTCTCTGTTTATTATTAATAAACACTGATACCTTCTCCTCCATGCACACACACACACAATCTGTATTTTGGTGTATTCTTTCTCATTCTCATCTCTATGGTTTTCCATCACGGATTTTAGCAGGAAAACACTTAAGGATTTGCCAAACTTTGTTCAAAAGAAAGATTCTTGAGGGGCTGGAGCGATAGCACAGTGGGTAGGGTGTTTACCTTGCACGCAGCCAACCTAAGTTCCATTCCCAACATCCCATATGGTACCCTGAGCACCGCCAGGAGTAACTCCTGAGTGCAGAGCCAGGAGTAACCCCTGTGCATCGCCAGGCGTGACCCCCCCCCAAAAAAAAAAGAAGAAGAAAAGGAAGATTCTTGGGACTGAGACTGGAGAGATAGTACAGGGTAATGCATTAATTGCTCTTGCATGTGGAGATCCTGGGTTTTTTTCTGTTTTTTTTTTGATTGTTTGTTGATTTTATTTTGTTCTGTTTTACTTTTGGGTCACACCCAGAGATGCTCAATGGTTACTCCTGGCTCTGCACTCAGGAATTACTCCTGGAAGTGCTTGGGGGACCATACAGGGTGCTGAGAATTGAACCTGCCCTACCCACTACTTATGTTCTGGCTCTGACTCTGGTTTTAGATGGTGTCCAGGAGGAACCCCTGGGTCGCCCAAGAAAGAGTGATTCCTGGGTGAGATGTAGTCTCTGCTCAATGCATGCGGTTCCCAGGCTGATGCATGGTGGTTTTTGTTTGTATTTCTTTTTTTGTTTGTTTTTTGTTTTTTAGGTCATGCCCAGCAATGCACAGGGGTTACTCCTGGCTCTGCACTCAGGAATCACTCCTAGTGGTACTTGGTGGACTGTGTGGGATGCTGGGAATCGAACCCGGGTGGGCCACGTGCAAGGCAAATGCTCTACCCGTTGTACTATCCTCCAGCCCCCTGAAGGGAGCCAGAACAGTAGCACAGCAGGGAAGGTGCTTGCACATGGCCAATTCAGGTTTAATCCCCCAGCATCCCTTAAGGTCTCTGGAGCCCACCAAGAGTAATTCCTGAGTGTAGAGCCAGGAGTAATCCCTGAGCAATGCCAGGTGTGAGCAAAAGAAAAAAAAAATTAGGGTTGGTGTGATCCTTGGAGTTCCAGAAAAATGATTTCTTTTTACCTAGCTACTCGTTGGGTGTTGAGTTTAGTGATGTTGTAGCGTGGGCTGGGGAGGCTGACTGCCCCGTAAAGAATTTCCTGACCTTCAGCTGGGAATGCCTGCTGCTGAGGCTTGAGGCTTTGTCCCCACCCTGGGGTCCCAGCACCACCCACTGATAACAGTTATCAGTTAACAGTTCTGGCCAGTGGCTTGTCCGGAGAGGTCCCAGGGGCACTTAATACAATGCGGTTTTTGGCAGTGACTCAAATATTTGGGGCAGGGTTGGAGGCAGGAGTAGGGCCTGTGCTAGGGACTTGCTCTAGGTGGTACCCTGGGTACCACACAGTACGGGGGACCAAAGCCTGGGACCAAATCCAGTGGGAAGGGCTCCTGCCTTGCACGCGGCTTGCCCAGGTGTAATTTCTGGCTGTGGTCTCCTGAGCACCACCAGTAGTAATTCCTGAGAGCAGAGCCAGGAGTAACCTCTGCACATGGTTGGCTCTTCCACCACGCCACCCCCGCCTCCCCCACCCCGCCAAAAATAAGAAAATCTAAAAAATCAAATGAGATGGGGCTGGAGCGATAGCACAGCGTGTAGGGCATTTGCCTTGCACGAGGCCGACCCGGGTTCCATTCCCAGCATCCCATATGGTTCCCCGAGCACCGCCAGGAGCAATTCCTGAGTGCAGAGCCAGGAGTAACCCCTGTGCATCGCCGGGTGTGATCCCCGTCCCCCAAAAAATGAGAGGGTCAGGAGATAAAGTACAGGGATCTAAGAGTCAAGCAGCCAACCTAAGGTCCTTCCTGAGCACTGTTAAGTGTGTCCCCAAACCCCCCTAATCCCACTCCCCCGAAATCAATCAAGAGTGAGGGCTGAGAATGCAGCTCAGAGACAGCACATCCGTCCTTAAATTTGTTCTCAGCACTAGCTGGCCGTGAGAGTGCAAAAGGATCCTGAGTCTTATGTGGGGTGCAGATGGGCCAACTCAAACAGGGAACCCCTCCCCCACTTCCAGCCGGGAGCAGCTGGATTCCCCCACCCCCACCCCAGACAGATCCTCACTTGCCCTGAAGCCATCAAAATCCAGAGAAACGAGAATGATGATAACTCAGTGTAAAAAGAGTTAATAATACACCCTTTAAGCTAAGAAGAAAAAAAAATACATCAGGAGGATGGACTGGAAAGAGCCTAGTGGGGGTTGAGCCGCGGGCCTTGGGGAAGGATTGGGGGGCTTGGTGAAGGTCCCCTTCCCAGCCCACCGAGGCGGGAGAAATCAGGCTGGAGGCAGCTGGCGCGCTGGCCCCGCCCCGCGCCGGCCCGGGCCCCCCGCTCCGACCATGCTTGGGGCGCCCCCTAGCGGGACAGAGGCGTCTGCTTCAGGGACAGGAGCACCGAGCGCAGCCGGGACACGTCTTTGCAGTGCTTGCTGCTTTTGGGATTGAAGTCACACAGCTGGGCCACCTTCTCCCACTCAGTGCCGGGGGTCTCCTCCTTGGATTCCTTGACGAACGCCTCCTCGGAGGCCCTGTGGGTACGGGTGAAGGAATTGGGTTACAGACATCAGTGACTGCAAACTTCAGGCCTCCAGAAACAGCTGCCATCAAGGGACCCTCACTTGTACCAACAACCTCAGGGCCTTTGCACCTGCCGAAGCCACTTTCTGAGAGCACCGGGTCCAGATCAGCGTGATTTTATACTTCCTGGTCTGGTGCCTTTTGGGTCATATTTTGCAGATTTTCTGTGTCTCCCCAGCAGGGGTGCCCATCCGCCTTCCCCATGCTCCTGTGTCAAGCCTCCCGGCTGTCTTTGGGATGAATTCTGAGCATCCCAGCTGGGCACTATCCAGCATCCACTGACCCACTCCCGTCTCAGCATCCTCGTGCAGATACTCGAAGACCAGTCAAGTGCTTGAGGTCCCAGGGTCCCAGGACCTTTGTCTCCAGCTTCTCCATCCCCCCGACCCCACATTGCTTATCACTTTGGTTCCATTTGCATATGCCCCCCTCCCCAAGTCTCAGGACTAATTGTTACTAGATCCCCAAACGCCGGGAGGAGGCAGGCTGGGGGTGGGGCACACGGCCAAATCCGGGTCCCAATTTGGGGAGGGGTGTGCATGCAGCCACCTCTCTTTCCTCGGAACGCCATCAGCTTCCCGCTCTCGGGTTGGTTTTGTACCTTTCTGGGGGAGGCCTCTGCACCCCCTTTCTCTGCCCCCACCCCCACCCAGCAAAGGTGCTGGCAAGCGGAGAAGACGCTCGATCGCCGCAAAGTGGAAGGATGAGGCGAAGTGTGGTGGGTGTGGAAGGCTCTCACCTCCAGTTCCCTCATTGTCCCCAGCTGGGTCCCTAATTCAATGGACCCAGCAGCGGCGTCCACCCTGCGCCGGCGCTCCGCCCCCATCGCGAAACCACGCCCCATCCCCGGAGCCCCGCCTCCACAGCAGAAACCCCGCCTACATCGTAGGAGCTCCGCCCCCATCCCCGGAGCCCCACCCCGAGACCGAGGTGCCTGGAGCACGTACACGTAGCCGATGACGTCAGCATCGGGCTGCTCGTAGAAGGCTTTGTCAGCGATCCTAGCAAGAGGCGGGTTAGGGGGGGCGAGGTTAGGTGGAGTGGGCGGAGTCAGGTGGAGGGACAGACGGACGGACAGACAGGCCGATGGTTAGAGAGAGGGAGAGAGAGAGAGACAGCGTTAGTACCTCCCGGCGGGAGATGTTAGGAAGCACAGTTCCAGAGAGGAGGAGAGGTGGTATGCCCCCCACCAGACTGCCCCTTCAGAAACGCAGCCCTGATGCTCCCATCTATGCTCAGGCATCACTCCCGGCAGGGCGCAGAAGAATCGAACCCGGGTAGGTCGCGGGCAAGGCAAATGCCCTAGCCACAGTACCATTGCTCCGGCCCCCTGATGCTCTGATCTGATCGGATCAATTCTTCCTCCTTGCTCGCAAACCTGCTTTTGGGACTACCCACCCCGCACTCAAGGGCCCCTTGCAAGTGACCGCTCTCCAGCCATACCCGGACGTCCACAGTCCCGGACCTTGCCTGCTTATCACGCTGGTCCCTAATCTTAGATTCTCTCCCCCATGCGTCCACATTCTTGCTGAGCTATTACGCTGGACCTCAGCTTCGAAACTCTCAGAATCTTTACTGAATCCTTCTCAGTTTTCCCAATCCCCTGCGCAGACCTTGCCCGGCACACAGCATCATCACTTCCCTCGCCTTCCAGGAAAACCTTAACTATTTCAGGGCTCAGCGTCAAAGCTCAGGGCTGCTAGGCAGGGTGTCATTTGAGCACATTTCCTGAATGGTGGTCATTCTCTAATGAGCAGATACTGTCACCTGCCACTTCCTCCAGGAAGGATTCCATGATTATCTGTGCAGGATCAGGTTCCCCCAATGCCAGTAAGGTTCCAGTAAAGGTGGGTCAGCCCCCCCATTCATAGCCCAAGAGTCCCTGAACTTGGGACAGTTATGAGGCCCAAGATAGGTACGCACCAATAAGGACTTTAGCTGTTAGCTCAACAGGCTGTTTTCCCTAAAGCTGCTGAGAGAAAGCAGAAGCCCATGTGCCAGGGACAGGTGAGAAAGGCCATGCTGAAAGGCAGTGATGGAGAGAGAGAGAGAGAGAGAGAGAGAGAGAGAGAGAGAGAGAGAAACTCCTTGGCTGTGGTGGCACCCTGAGCACACTGAACCTGCAGTCCACCTCTGGACTTCCTGTCATTCCTGGTCCCTCTGCACTGAAGTGGTATATGCCCTCAAGAAGCCATCAAATCCACAGCCCAGGTTGGCCCTTCACACCCACACATAGGGTCTGCTGTCCTCTCTGACCGTGATGGGACCAGGGTTTGGATGCTGACACCTTTGACCCCACTGAACCACGCAGGCCACTGGGATGCAGACATTCCTTCCTGGGTTCCTGCCTCAGTCATTCATCCTCTCCACTGTCCCCATGAAAGAGTTCCATGTCCTAGAATCCTCACATCACCCCCGGCCCCAGGACCCCCACGCCGCCAGCTCACCGGTTGCTGATCTTATTCTTCTCCACCTGCTCACTCTGTCGCTGGCTCCACTCCTCCAGGTCCTTCTTGGCCTTCTCCCTCCACTCCTGCTCAGTCACCTTGGAGGCGGCATCTGGTCACCACAGACCAGACGGCAGAGTGAGTGCATCTGGTTCTAACAGTGGATGCAAGAGGCTCCCCCCAACATCCTTAATCCCTCATCCCACCCTGTCCCCACCAGTCCGGAGCTCCCCAGAGAAACCCTGCCTGCCACCTTTTTTTTCCCCTGCTTTTTGAGTCACACCCAGCGATGCACAGGGGTTACTCCTGGCTCTGCACTCAGGAATTACTCCTGGCAGTGCTCAGGGGACCATATGGAATGCTGAGAATCGAACCCAGGTCGACCGCGTGCAAGGCAAACGCCCTGCCCGCTGTGCTACCGCTCCAGCCCCTGACCAGCTCTTTTTGGCTTTGTTTTGTTTTTATTTTTATTTTTTGAGCCACACCCAGCGGTTCTGCACTCGGGGACAGTTATGAGATGCCACAGTTTAAACCTGGCTTGGCCGCGTGCCCGGCAAGCGCCTCTCACCCAGTTCCTGCAGACGCTTCCTCTGCTCCTCCCGCCACTTGCGGATGCTCTCGGGTTCCTGCGTCAGCCGATCCGCCTGCGCCACCGCCGCGTAGCCATCAGCTGGACCATTGGCCTCCTGCAACATATACACTGCATGCATCTCGCTCCGCTGTTTCCAGAACCAGGGCCCAGGGCAGAATACCCCAGAAACTCCCACCCCCGTCTTCTCCTGGGACTGCACCTTCCCCACTTGGGCCTCCATCCACGACTCTCCTCCTACCTTGAAAAAGTTACTCAACCTCTCTGGCTTTCCCCTCCCTCATCCCCAAATGGACAAAATGTGACCGTCAAGGTCACAGAGGATGATACAAAGGGACAGGGATGATAGGGCTGGAGAGATTGTACGGCGGGTCGGGCGCTTGCCTTGCCAGGAGGTGGACTGGGTTTGATCTCTGGCATCTCAGAGAATCCCCCAAGCGGTGCCAGGAATGATCCCTGAGTGCATAACTAGGAGTCACCCCTGCACGTGGTGGCACCGAGACAGAGAAACCTTTCCCTAGCCAGGTCCAGGTCTGGCCACGCCCCTCAGGCCACGCCCCAACCCGAATTCTTAAGCCACGCCCTCAAGGCCCACATCCTGTCACTTCCCTCTGTACCTATCCTTAGACCACGCCCCTTCCCTGACCACGCCCCATTGCATCCTTAGGCCGTGCCCCCTCCAGAGGACTCCCACACTCCATACATTCCAGTCCGCACCCCATACCCACGCTCTCTGGCTGCCTGGCCTTAATCTCCCGTTCAAGAGTCTCCAACTGATGACATTTTGTCCATCCCACGAGCTTCCAGCTCCAAAGCCACAAATTTCAGGCTCCTGCCAAGGCCCACGCAGATTCCACACCCATCCCCTCTGGGCTGGCCGGCCACAGGCATCATCTAATAGGGACAACACAGGCTCCCAAAGGGCAAGGAATGTCCCGGCCTCCACCTTCTGGATTCCTGTTCCCTTCTTTCCCGGGGCCCCAGGCGCCTCCCTCAGACACTGATCTAGAGCCCGAGAGTTAGATCGGGAGTTAAGGCACTTGCCTTGCCAGTGGTCAACGGGGTTCAATTCCTGAGCGCAGAGCCAGGAGTAAGTCCTGAGTGTGGCCGGGTGTGGCCCCAAAAACAACTAATAGAATTTTAAAATAGATGCCAGAGAGATAGTACAGTGGGCAGGGCAGTTGCCTTGCACGTAGCCAACCCGGCTTCAATCCTCAGCACCTCATTAGGTCCTCCAGCCCCGCCAGGGGTGATTGCTGAGCACAGGATCCGGAGCAAGCCCTGACCCAAGAGCACTTCCAGGTGTGGCCCCCCACCATCAAAAGAAAAAGAATTATTTTATTTACTCCCCAGCACTCCATATGCTTGCCCTAAGCACCCGCGGGGAGCGATCCCTGAGCATAGTTGGACGTGGCCCCGAAACAAAATGAAATTTTCTTCGTTTGGCGCCACCTTGTGTTCGAGGCTTACTCCTGACTCCCTGCGCTCCTGGTGGTGGGTGCTTGGGGGACCCTATGTGATGCTGGGGGTAAAACCCATGTGCAGAGGGGCTGTCTCATCTCGCCAGCCCCTTAGGAATCTGCTTGTTTATTGTTAGGGCTGTTGCTTCAGGTGGTGTTAGGCGTGGGAGCCGAGGGGGCGGTCTCGGCCCACTGAGCTATCTCGCTGGCCTAGGTCAGAATTTTTTTGTTTTTTTGCTTACACCAGTGGTGCAAAAAAATTATTCCTAGTGATGGCAGAGGCCAAGTGTCCAAGGTAAGCGCCCTACCGCTATACTATCTCTCTAGCCTTCCGAATTTCTTCTGATGATTCAATATGCCAAACACAGTAACAAGTCTCACAATGTTACTGGGCCCCTTCGAGCAAATCGATGAACTAGGGGAGGACAGTGACAGTGATTTTTTGGGGTGGGGGGAGTGGAAAGAGGTTGAACCACACCTGCAGTGCTCAGAGACCGTATTTTGTGCCAGAATGTCTAAGTTTCAGAAGGACCAACAGAATCCGTTTTAACCAGAGTCCTGTGGAGACAGGAGAGAGGCCTCGCAACCCCTTTTGTAAATATGAACTCTGCCTGGGAGCAGATAAGGGAGGAGTCCAAGGTCCTGGGGTGGAGGTGAGCGGGTGGATAAGGATTGGTTATAGGAGTGCTCCGTCAGGGGCGGGGCGAGTTGTGGGCGGGGCTTGGTAGTGGACGGGTGAGTTGTGGGCGGGGCCTGGCTGTGGGCGGGGCTAATGTGCACACCATCTATTGCTTCCAACTAGCAGGTGTGTAATCAGCCTGGAGGTACCCACCCGCCCACCCACCCACCTTCTCACCAGCCCCAGCAGCTGCGTGGCACGCCCAGTAACATCTCATGTTTGTTCCAAGAACACAATACCCAGAAATGGCCTGGGATGCAAAACCTGGTCAAGGTGGGGAAGATCTCCTTCCCTCTCTGAGAACCCCAAACTCCCACTTCATGCTCAGCGCCCAACCAGGATCACCCTCAGCTCCTGAGCAGCCTGACCACCCTCTTCTAGCATCCTTTCGCCTTGGTACCTCCTGAATTCAGAGCACACCATGGTCTAGACACCATCTGTAGGAAACTCATACCTCAGCTACAGACCAACATCAGTTCTTTATTTATATTTATTTTTGTTTGTTTTGGGGGGGGACAGTCAGCGATGCTCAGGGCTATTCCTGGTTCTGCACTCAGAAATTATTCCTAGTGATGCTCAGGGGATCATATGGGGTGCCAGGGATCAAGCCTGGATGGTGTATGCAAGGCAAGCACCTTACCCTCTTACTATCTCTCCAGCCCCTATTTTTGCCCTTTTTTGGGGGGGGCGGTGTTGGGGGACACAGCTGATGTGCTCAAGAAAGCTCCCAGTCGGGCTGTGCTCAGGACCAAGACTTGAACCTTGCACTCCCGCCAGCAAAACATGCACTCCAGCCCCTAGAACTATTTCCTCTGCCTCTGTTTCCCCCACTTTTTTTTCTTTTTGGGTCACACCCAGCGATGCTCAGGGATTATTCCTGGCTCTGCACTCAGGAATTACTCCTGGCGGTGCTCAGGGGACCATATGGGATGCTGGGAATCAAAGCTCAGACGGCCGCGCGCAAGGCAAAAACGCCTTACCCGCTGTGCTATCGCTCCAGCCCGTTTCTCCCACTTTTGCCTAAATGCGGACGTTCACAAGCCATACTCTAATCTCTGCCCCATCTGCCCGGGTTCTGGCCCCCTAGAGGGCGGGCCAAAGGGAACGTGGGCGGGGCTTTTGGACTTGGCGCCTGCTCCTCAGGCTTGGACTCTTGCCCATCAGGATTCTAGGACATCAAGGAAGTGAAACAACCTATAAACATAGCTGGAGTCATTCATTATTAGAGGCTGTGAGAATAATGCCTCCCCTGACGGACCGCAGGGGTAATTCAGGGGTTAAGGCTCTTGCTTTTTATTTTCTTTTTTAAATTTTTAAATATATATATATATATTTTGCTTTTTGGGTCACACCCAGCGATGCTCAAGGGTTATTCCTGGCTCTGCACTCAGGAATTACTCCTGGCGATGCTTGGGTGAACCATATGGGATGCCGGGGATCGAACCCAGGTCCGGCCACGTGCAAGGCAAACGCCCTACCCGCTGTGCTATCGCTCCGGCCCCAAATTTATATATATATATATTTATTTTTTGCGTCGCACAAGGCGATGCACCTGGTGGTGCTCAGGATATCATATGGGATACGGAGGATTGAATCCGGATCCACCGTGTGCAAGGTAAACACCCTTCCCATTGTACTATAGCTCTGCAAGGCTCTTGTTTTGAACGCAGCAGGACCCCGTTTCCATTCCCCTAACCTGCATAGGCACCCTGAGTACAGAGGCAGAAATAGTCACATTGAGCATCGCCAGATAGGCCCCCCACATATACCCCCCAAAAAAAGCAAAAACAGAGTGCAAGCATGGTTAAAGGGGAGAGAGAAATTGGCTTCAAGACCCTAACTTCATTTTTTTGTTTTGTTTTGGGGTCGAACTCAGCGATGTTCAAGGTTTGCTCCTGGCTCTGAACTCAGGAATTCCTCCGGGCCACACTTTGGGGACCCTATGGAATGCTGGGCATGGCACCTTAATCGCCAAAAGCAAGGCAAACGCCTTACATGCTGTATTATCACTCCAGCACAATTTTATTATATTGTGCTGTGGAAGTAAGCACTTTTTTTGTTTGTTTTTGGGCAACACCCAGCAGTGTTTGGGGCTTACTCCTGGTTCCTGATGGGGGTCTGGAAACTCTTACTAGGGATGCTGGAAATAAAACCCAGGTTGGTCATGTGCAAGGCAAGTGCCCACCCTGCTGTACTGTCCCTGTCCCTGCACAGCCCCCTGTGACCTAGCTTCTAGAAATCAGATGCTTTCCCACGCAGAGAGATCACAAACTTCTGACGTTCTGACAGTTAAATGGAGTCATTGAGGCCAAGCCCTGCCAAGATGGAATTGCCCAAGTTAATTGCAGTCCCAGCCTCTCCCCAAAGTGGAATTTGATTTATGGTTCATTGCCTGTACCACACCCGACCATTGGCTAGAGTGCACAGGGATGAAACTCACTGGAAACTCATTTCCGCATCCCAGGGTGCCAAAAGCAAAATATTTTTGTTTGTAATAGTTTGTTGTTGCTCATTTTTGTTGTTGTTGTTGTTTTGTTTTATTTTTCTTCTTTTGTTTTTGGACCACACCTGGCAGCACTCAGGGGTTATATCTGGCTCTGCACTCAGGGATCACTCCTGGCGAGGCTTGGAGGACCCTATGGGATGCTGGGGATCGAACCCATGTCAGCAACTCACAAGGCAAACTCCCTGCCTGCTGTACTATCACTCCAGTCCCCCATAGTAAAGTTTTTTAGTTTTGGGTTTGTTTTTAATTTTTTAATTTTAATTTATTTTTCCTTTCTGGGTCACACCCGGCGATGCACAGGGGTTACTCCTGGCTCATACACTCAGGGATTACTCCTGGTGGTGCTCAGGGGACCCTATGAGATGCTAGGAATCGAATCCGGGTCGGCCGCGTGCAAGGCAAATTAATGCCCTCCCCACTGTGCTATAGCTCTAGCCCAGTTTTAGGTTTGTTCTTTGGTTTCCATTCCCTGGTTCCCTGCTCCTCCCCCACTTTGACTTTGGGCCACACCCAGCAAGTGTTTTAATCAATGTCCGATCTCCCTAGCCCAGAATTCTGGGCCAAAAGCGGAGCTCCTGCACATGAGACTCTTCCCATCCAATAGGATGGAGGGATTAATGCTTCAGTTCAGGGCTATGGTCCTACTGATTGCCAGGAGTGATCCCTAAACATTTAGCTGGGAGTAGTCCCTGCAAATTCCCTAACACAGAGGTGAGATACAACTGCAGTCAGCACTTGCCTTGCAGAAGGCTGACCTGGTTGAACGGTTTTCCACCAATTCTATTTGCCTTTTCTAAGTGTTTGGTTTGGGGGTCACATCACGTGGTGCCCAGGGCATACTCCTGGCTCTGCTCTCAAGGACCACTCCAGGGCTTGGGGACCTAATGATGCTTATGTGCCCCTGTAATCTCTCTCTTTTTTTTGGGGGGGGGAGGCAACACCCACCATTGTTCCTGCATGGCAGACAAGTGCCCTCCCAGCTGGGCTAGCTCTCTGATCTCTCAATCTCCCTCTCTGCTTTTTTTTTTTTTTTGCTTTTTGGGTCACACCCCAGCGATGCTCTGGGGTTCCTCCTGGCTCTGCACTTAGGAATTACTCCTGGCAGTGCTTGGGGGACCATATGGGATGCCGGGGATTGAACCCGGGTTGGCCATGTGCAAGACAAATGCCCTATCCGCTGCTCCGGCCCCTCTTTGGCATTTTTGAGTTCATCCCCAGCAATGCTCAGGGGTTACTCCTGGCTCGGCACTCAGGGATCACTCCTGGCGGTGCTCGGGTCAGCTGCGTGCAAGGCAAACACCCTCCCCCCCCCCCTCCCCTGCCAATCTCTTTTGAAACAAGTTTAGGCACCAAAGCTTTCTTTGCCACTGCTCTATGTGCCCAAAGGAATTTAGCTCAAAGGCTGGTTTCCTGGTGGGAAGGATCTGGAGCCCTGACATCCAAGGACAGTATCTGAGCCCGGGAGGCCAAGAGCAGAGAACAGTAAATTTTGTAGGTTCAAAGTCCCCTTGTTAGTTCGTTGGTCCCAGCAGGAAGGCAAACACATGTTGCCCAAACGTTCGCTTTTTCCATCTTCCTCCTGTGATTTCACTTTTTTTTTCTTTTTTGGGTCACACCCGGCGATGCACTGGGGTTACTCCTGGTTCTTCACTCAGGAATTACTCCTGGCAGTGCTCAGGGGACCATATGGGATGCTGGGAATCGAACCCGGTTTCGCCGCATGCAAAGCAAACACCCTACCTGCTGAGCTATCGCTCCAGCCCCCTGTGATTTCACTTTGAAGTCCAGACCTGTCCCCTATTTCCCACTCAGGATACCCAGAAACCCCAAGTGGTCTGACTCACATGGAAACTCGGGGAGGGGTAAGGAAAAGGCACATCCGGTAATTCTCAGGGCTTACTCCCGGCTCTGTGCTCGGGGATCACTCCTGGTGAACTCAAGGGACCGTATGGGATGCCGGGGATTGAACCCAGGTTGGCCATGTGCAAAGCAAGTGCCTTCCCCTCTGTAGATCACTCTGACCCCTGGTCATTTTTCATTTGTCTATTTATGTATTTTATTTGTTTTTTAGGTCACACCTAGAGACGCTCAGGGTTTATTTCTGGCTCTGTGCTCAGGGACCACTCCTGGTGAACCCAGGGGACTCTATGGGGTGCCAAGGATTGAACCTGGGTTGGCCACATGCTAGGAAAATTCCCGCTCCTGGACATTTTTTTTTATGCCTACACCCTGGAGCCTGAGCAATAGGACAACGGGGAGTGTGTTAGCCATGCACTTGGCTGACCTGGGTTTAATCCCTGAGCACCACCAGGAGTAATTCCTGAGTGCAAAGCTAAGAATAACCCCTGAGCACCACCACGTGTGCCATCCCACCTCCCCAAAAATAAAAAAAGTGGGGCTGGAGCGAGAGCACAGCAGGTAGGGCGTTTGCCTTGCATGCGGCCAACCTGGGTTTGATCCCCAGCATCCCATATGGTCCCCCGAGCACCGCCAGGAGTAATTCCTGAGTGCATGAGCCAGGAGTAACCCCTGTGCATCGCCAGGTGTGACCCAAAAAGCAAAAATAAATAAATAAATTTCTTCCTTACAAAGTCAAATAACATTCTGCGGGAAGAAATGCCTCCTCCAAAGGCTGGAGAGATTCAAGATAGGGATGAAGGTGCTTGTCTTGCCCAACGCTGACCTGGGTCCGATCCCCCTGAGTCCACCCGGAGTGATTCCGGAGTGCAGAGCCAGGAGAAAACCCTGAGCACTGCTGGGTGTACATCCAGCCCTCTCCCAAATTCCACTTCCTCGAGAGGGGGGCGCTCTCAAGTCCCAGGTGGAGAATCCCGGCCTTTGAAGTGCTGGGAAGGCTGCTATTTGGAATTGGCTGCTTGGAGTCAAGTTCATGTTCTAGAAAGAACCTTGGCCAGCTGCCCTGGGCAAGGCGGCAGCCCTTCCTTCTTACATAAGCAAGCATTGTTTATTCCCCAGGAGGACTGAGGGGAGCCAGACAGGGTGGGGTCCCCCACACGATCTCCCCTCCACCCCTCCACCCTCCCTCGTCTGTCGTCTGTCCTGTCGGGCAGACTGGGAAGGGAATAAAGTTTTTTTCCCTCCCAGGCATCTGGGGAGGGAAATGGCAGTGAGGACCAGGGGGCCTGGAAGACATTTATTTAATTAATTAATTTATTTACTTAGTGCACCTGGTAATGCTGGTGAACTGGGGGTGCTGCCTTGCCCAGGGGAGCTGGCCAAGGTCTGGAGCGATAGCACAGCGGGTAGGGTGTTGGCCTTGCACACGCCAAACCCGGATTCCTCCGCCCCTCTCGGAGAGCCCAGCAAGCTACCGAGAGTATCCCGCCTGTACGGCAGAGCCTGGCAAGCTCCCTATGGCATATTCAATATGCCAAATACAGTAACAACAAGTCTCACAATGGAGACTTTACTGGTGCCCGCTCGAGCAAATCGATGAACAACGGGGACGACAGTGCTACAGTGCTGGTGATGCTGAGGGCTTATTCCTGGCCCTCTGCTCAGGAATTACTCCTGGAGGCATTCAGGGGATGCTATGGGATGCTGGGGATTGACCCCTGATTGGCTGCGTGCAAGGCAAGCCCCTTCCCTGCTGTACTATCGCTCCCACCCACCTAGGACAATTCTTGGTGATCTGGGCCAGAGAGTTCCATGCTAAGGCCCAAAGATGGGATGTGGTGTTTCTTGGGCCCCTTGGTGCTAGGGACCATCAGGGTCACCTTGGAAATACTCTGGGGGGTAGGATGGGGGGGCTTCCAGGGTACCCCCATGGTACTGAGGGAGTCAAGTGAAGCCTATTAGGGGAAAAGGCAGCTCAGATAGAGAAGAAAGCAACAAATAAAGGGTGTTGGGAGGGTCCTCCCAGGATGGGAGTTGCATGCTGAAAGTAGGCTATAGACCAAACATGATTGCCCTCAATGCTTCTTTTGAAAACCACAACACCCAAAAGAGAGAGAGAGAGAGAGAGAGAGAGAGAGAGAGAGAGAGAGAGACAGAGACAGAGAGAGAGACAGAGAGAGAGACAGAGAGACAGAGACAGAGAGAGAACAAAGGGAATGCCCTGCCACAGAGGCAGGGTGGGGGTGGGACGGGGGGATGAGGGGGTGGGAGGGATACTGGGATCATTAGTGGTGGAGAATGGGCACTGGTGGAGGGAGGGATGGATACTCGATCATTGTATAACTGAAACCCAAACACAAAAATTTGTAAGTCTACAACTGTACCTCATGGTGTTTCACTAATAAAAATTAAAAAAAAAAAAAGAAAAAAAGTGAAGCCTACTAGAACAGGGTCCCGCCCCCAGGTTGTCTCTTCCATCTTCCCCAAAGGTCTGTACTATCTTGCCCCTTTCTCGGTGTGACAAGAAAAGGCAAGTCTGAGAGAAGCAATAGCAGAGATAACACGAGGGACTTGTGCAGGGGTTTTGCCTGCAGAAACCCTGATTCCGGCTGAGCAATGAGTCAAGAGTAACCCTTGGCACGGCCAGGGATAGCTGCAAAAACACGGAACAAAAAAACAGGAGTGGGGCTGGAGCAATAGCACAGCAGGTAGGGCGTTTGCCTTGCATGCTGCTGACCCGGTTCGATTCCCAGCATCCCATGGGATCCCCCAAGCACCGTCAGCAGTAATTCCTGAGTGCAGAGCCAGGAGTAACCCCTGTGCATTGCATTCAAAAAGAAAAAACAAAACAAAGCAAAACAGGGGTGAGTGATGGAGAGCAGGGTGAGTGCTTGCCTTGCACGCGGTTGACCTGGGTTCGATTCTCGGCTTCCATCCCTGAGTGTGAAGTCAGGAGTGAGGCCTGAGCACCCCCTTGGTGTATCGCCCCAAGTAAAAGAACAAAAGACCCCAAACCAATGATCCCCCCCACCCTGCCCCAGCCGGGACAAGTCCAAGCTCTGGGTCCCTGTGAACCACAAGGACAGAAAGGGTCTTACCTGAAACACGTCTCCATTGACGGTTGCCCCCAAGTCCTCCGAGACAGCTAGAAGGAGAAGAAGGAGAGGGATTACTTAGGGCTCAGCTGATAGTGCTCACAGCTTTCCTCGAGCTCCCAGGGTAAAGGTAAATGAATCCAGCCAAACTCAGGATGGGCGGTAGTGGGGGAGGAGAGGGATGCTGGGGACATTGGTGGTGGAAAATGTGCACTGGTGAAGGGATGGGTGTTTGATCATTGTAGGACTGAAACTCAAACATGAAAGTTCTGTAACTGTAGCTCATGGTGATTCGATTAAAAAAAATTAAAAGAAAAAAAGAAAAACTCAGGAGGGGGCCAGAGTGATAGCCCAGCGGGGAGGGCACTTGGCTTACATGTGACCAACGGAGCACCCCATAGGGTTCCCTGAGCATTCCATACCATACCATCCCAGCATCCCATAGGGTCCTCGAGCAAGCGCCAGGAGTGATCCCTGAGTGCAGAGCCAGGAGTAACTCCTGAGCATCACTGGGTGTGACCCAAAAAGCAAAATAAATAAAAATAAAATCCAAACAAACAAACAAAAACCAGTTGTGACATACAGATGGTATGCCCCCCATTTGTCCCCCACATTTGAAGGGTTGGAGTTCCACTTAACAGGGCTCAGGGCATAGTCCTGGCTCTGATCGCAGGGGTCACACCTGCCAGTGCTCAGGGCACTCTGTGGAGTCCTGGGGATTGAACCCGAGTTGGCTGCAAGCCTTGGGGCTGGAGTGATAGTACAGCAGGTGTGTGTGTGTGTGTGGGGGGGTGCTTGCCTCGATCCCCAGCATCCCAAATAATCCCCTGAACACTGTCAGGTGTAACCCTTGAGCATCACCAGGTATATACCCAAAACAAAACAAAAGAAGAGATTTCTATACTGTCCTATCTCTCTGGTCACTCCCAGGAGCACTTTAGGAACGTTTATGTGGCCCTAGGATGAAGTTATCAATACTTTATATTTTGGGGGTGCCACATTGCGCAATTTTGCAAAACTCTGCATAGAGGAATTACTCCTGGCAGTGTTCAGGGGACCGTGTGGGATGCTGGGGATCGAACCTGGGTCTGCCACGTGCAAGGCAAGTGCCGTCCCAGCTGTACCATCTCTCTGGCCCCAGGCATCAACCCATTTTACAGATTCTCCAACAGAGACTCACAGGGTGCTGCATGATGGTGCAAAGTAGTCACCCAACCAGCCACACCAGCTCCTCCCTTCTGCACAGGGCTCCACAGTAGGGTGGGGTGTATGGGGGCTAAAGGAAGAACGAGTAACCCATCTGGCATATGTCAAGAGCTCCACCTGGACGAACAGGACCAGCAGCAGAAACTCGCCTCTTCCTCTTCCAGGGCCTCCGGGCTCTTCCCTTTCTCTCTTTTTGTTTTATTTTTTTCTGCTTTTTGGGTCACACCCGACGATGCTCAGGAGTTACTCCTGGCTCTGCACTCAGGAATCACTCCTGGTGGTGCTCGGGGGACCCTATGGGATGCTGGGAATCGAACCCGGGTCGGCCACGTGAAAAGCAAACACCCTACCCGCTGTACTATAGCTCTGACCCTCTTCCCTTTGTTCTTAACAAGACATCTCTTGGGGCTGGAGAGATAGCTCAGCGGGTAGGGCGTTTGCCTTGCACGCGGCCAACCCGGGTTCGATTCCCAGCATCCCATAGGGTCCCCTGAGCACCACCAGGAGTGATTCCTGAGTGCAGTTCCAGGAGGAACCTTTGAGCATTGCTGGGTGTGACCCAAATAAAGCCAAAAAAAAAAAAAGTGGAAATAAGACATCTCCCCTTCCCCTGTTTCCTTGGCTGGTACAAAATTTCAGCAGCTTCTGCTGCAACCCTATCCCCCAAGGTCCCTCCTCTTCCTGCCCCACTCGCCTTTGGCCTGTCTGTCTTGCGAAGGGTCAGCATCTGGCACAGACAGGTGCATCCCTGGCTCCTTGCATGATACCTGGGATTTCCCAAGAGCTCAGACACTGCTGGGATGGGACCTGAGCCATAGGACAGTGGGGAGGGCACTTGGCCTTGCAAGCCTCTGGTCCGCAGTGGATCCCGGTGCCCTCAGCAGCACCAGGAGTGAGTTCTGTGCACCACTGGGTGTGGCCCCCAAACAAAAGAGAGACAGAGAAAGAGAGAGAGAGAGAGAGAGAGAGAGAGAGAGAGAGAGAGAGAGAGAGAGAGAGAGAGAGGAGACTGGGAAAAAAATCTGTGCTAGGGCTCACAAACTTGCATGTGTGAGGCCCCAGATTTTTTGTTTTTGTTTTTGTTTTTTTTCTTTTTGGGTCACACCCGGCGATGCTCAGGAGTTACTCCTGGCTCTGCACTCAGGAATTACTCCTGGCAGTGCTCAGGGGACCATATGGGATGCTGGGAATCGAACCCGGGTTGGCCGCGTGCAAGGCAAATGCCCTACCCGCTGTGCTATCGCTCCAGCCCCGAGGCCCCAGGTTTGATCCCTCCACAGAACCGAGGGAGGGAAGAAAGAAGAAAGATGGAGAGAGAGAGAGAGAGATAGAGAGAGAGAGAGAGAGAGAGAGATGAAGGAAGAAAAAAGGAGAATGGGGGAGGGGGAGAGAGGGAAAGAGGGCTGGAGAGGTTCAGGGGGGACAGGTGCTTGCCTTACATGCAGCCCATTCCCGTTTGATCCCCACAGGGTCCCCTGAACCCTGCCAGGAATGATCCCTGAGCATAGATACAGGAGCAATGCCTGAGCACAGCTGGGTGTGGGCCAAAAATCAAATTAATTAATAGTAATAAAATGAACAGATGTAGGAATTGTGCCTCTGAACCACCCCAGGAGGAAAAAAAAATTTTGTGCAAAGCCTCAGTGATTTCTCAGTGTTGTTTGGACAATGGTCTAACTTTTTGTTTGTTTGTTTGTTTGTTTGTTTGTTTTGGGGTCACATTTGGCAGTGTTCAGGGCTTACTCTTGAGTCTGGGGTCAGAAATTATTCCTGGTGGGTCTCAGAGGACCCTTTGGGATGCTGGAAGCTGACACCAGTTCGGTCAGTGCAAAACAAGTACCCTCCTCACTGAACTATTGCTCTGGCCCCAATACTCTAACTTTTTTTTGTTTGTTTTTGGGTCACACCCAGCGATGCACAGGGGTTCCTCCTGGCTCTGCACTCAGGAATTACTCCTGGTGGTGCTCGGGGGAACCCTATGGGATGCTGGGAATCGAACCCGGGTCAGTCGCGTGCAAGGCAAACGCCCTACCCGCTGTGCTATCGCTCCAACCCCTCCTCTAACTTTTGTTCTGTTTTTTGGGTCACACCCGGCGGTGCTCAGCGCTCCCTCCTGGCTCCGCACTCAGGGATCACTCCGGCGGGGGTCACGGGACCCTGCTCCGCACCAAGGATGGGGCCTGGGTCTGTTGCCTGCAGGACAAAAACCTTCCCTGCTGTGCTATCTCTCTGGCCCTGGCTGTGGCACCCAAACAAAACTTCTTTCAGCTTGTACTCAGTCTCATGAAGGTTATCTATTTTTAGATTTCTGGTGAAACAAAGAGCAATGAAAAAATATATATAAATTAGGAGTGGGGAAATGGGGCATGACTCAGCCGTGGAGAATGCTCGCCTCGGGGCTGAAATGATAGTATTTTGCCTGCTGTCAACACGGGTTTGATCCCTGGCACCCCATAGGGTACCGGGGAGCCCCACCAGGAGTGATCCCTGAGCACGGAGCCAGGAGCACAACCAGGTGTGGTAAAAAAAATAATAAAATAAAAATAGATATATAAAATGCGGGCTGGAGCAATAGCACAGCGGGTAGGATATTTGCCGTGCACGCGGCTGACCCAGGTTCGATTCCCAGCATCCCATAGGGTCCCCAGACCATGGCCAGGAGGGATGCCTGAGCACAGAGCCAGGAGTAACCCCTGAGTACTGCCAGGTGTGGCCCAAAACCAAACCTAAGGGGCTGGAGCAATAGTACAGTGGGGAAGGCGTTTGCCTTGCACGCGGCGGGCCCAGGTTCGATTCCCAGCATCCCATAGGATCCTGCCAGGAGTAATTCCCGAGTGCAGAGCCAGGAATAACACCTGTGCATCGCCAGGTGTGACCCAAAAAGAAAAAAAAAAAGTTCCTTCTCTGGCTGGGTCAGCCCTCAGAACAGTGCCTAACACACAGTAGGGAAACAGGTTTCGAAACACAAGCCAGGAATTTACCAAGTTCCAGAACGTCCCTCCCACACTTACGTGGGGCCCTTTCCCTAGACACACCTCTGTAGCCCCACCCAGCTCTTTCTTCTTCCTGCTTCCCTCTCTGAAGAATCCCCTTTCAGGTCCCTTGGGACTGGAATCTCAGGTTCCTTGGGCCACATCCTCCAGGGAGCCCCCCAGGCATGCCCTCCTTTTCCAGACACCCAAAGAGGAAAGAGGTCTCACCTCTCTCCCTCCCAGATGAGTCAACAGCACCCTCTAACCCCCACTCCTGTTCCCACTAGTTAACACATCCTTAAGGCCTCCTCCTGGGACCTCAGGCACCCCCTTTGGCTCTAAGAGTTGCCACACAGAATTAGTCAGAGGAAAAGTACTGGTTGAGGGCCAAAGAGATAGTACAGTGGGTAGGGCGCTTGCCTTGCCTGAAGCTCACTGGAGTTCAATCCCCAGCTTCCCCTAGGATCCCCCAAGCCAGGAGTAATTTCTGAGGCGCAGAGCCAGGAGTTGGCCCTCAGCAGGGACAGGTGTGGCCCAAAAAAGGAAGGAGGGAGGGAAGGAGAGAGGGAGAGAGAAAGGGAGAGAAGAAAGGAGAGAGGGTGGGAGGGAGGAAGGCAGGCAGGCAGGCAGGCCTGCCTCAAGTTCTCATGTGTTCTGTTCTTTTCTGGGTCACACCGCCACGCTCAAGGGCTACTTTGGGCTCTGTGTTGGAGGCTTGGGGCCTTGGTCAGGGTAACCTTCCTGGCAGCTCTTGACAACCTGCAGTTCCAGGGATTAAACCTGAGGCTCTCGGGCCTCAGCGATAGTCCAGCAGGAGGGTGTTTGCCTTGCACGCTGCCAACTGGGGTTCGATCCCCGGCATCCCATAGGGTCCCCTGAGTACCACCAGGAGTGATTCCTGAGTGCAGAGCCAGACTAACCCCCTGAGCATCATCAGGTGTGACCCCAAAAGCCAAAAAAAGTTTTTTTAAAAAAAATTGTAACAAAATTCCCACAAAACCTGAGGCCCTCCTGGGTCAGAGAGTCCAGCAGCAGGGCATCTGCCTGCAGGCGGCCCATCCAGGATCACCCTGGCATCCCAGACGGTCCCTGAATCCACCCAAGTTTTATTTATTTTTTTTCTTTTTCCCTGGGGAGCCACACCCAGCTGTGCTCAGAGCTTACTCCTGGCTCTGTGCTCAGGGTTCATTCCTGGCGAGTTCAGGGATGCCAGGATTGAACTGGGGCTCAGACAGGAATGAGTCCTGAGCACAGCCAGGTGTGCACTACCCCCTCCAAATAAAGAACAAATAAATAAAAGATCCTGGGCTGGAGCGATAGCATAGCGAGTAGGGCGTTTGCCTTACATGTGGCCGACCCGGGTTCGATTCCCAGCAACCTATATGGTTCTCCGAGCAGCACCGCCAGGAGTAATTTCTGAGTGCAGAGCCAAGAGTAATCTCTGTGCATTGCCGGGTGTGACCCAAAAAGCTAAAAAAAAAAAAATCCTGGGACGTTAATACAACATGCCTGGCATACGGCCAACGTGGGTTCAATCCCTGACATCCCATAGAGTCCCCCGAGCACCATCCGGAGTAACCCCTGAGCATTGCTGGGTGTGACCCCTCCAAACACACACACACACACACACACACACACACACACACACACAAGGACCTGGGGCTCCCTCATGCCAAGCTGGCGTTCCGGCCCTCGGAACCCTTTCTCCAGTTCTCTGTGGGTGTCTCCTGCCCCCGATGCCCGTCTCCTCTGGGAACAGGAGCCGACAGGCTCCAGAACATTCCTGGGAGCTTAGTAAGGCCTGGCAGAGTCCATGGCTTTGGCGCAGAACCGACTGGGCAAGGCAGGGGCAGGGCCAGCCGGAGCCCCGCGGCCACTGACCCCGGCCAGGGGACTGGAAACTGGGTGTCTGTCCCCGAGCCTGGCGGCCGCCCCAGTCCACAACACTCCACACCGCTCAGGTTCAACCTTCACATCACCAGACACCGTTCGGGGGACTGGCGGGGGGGTCTGGGGAGCCCAGCCGCAGAGGTGTGAGCTGAGAGCAGCTGCTTCCTGCAGAACTTTCCTTTTTGGTTTGATATTTTGGGTCACACCCAGCAGTGATCTGTGGGGGTGTTGGGGGTTGAGCCCAGAGCTGCTGCGAACGTAGTGCCCCAGACGTTAAGCCCTTCAAGCCCCCATTGAAACAAAAAAAAATTGGGGGTGGGGGCGTCACACCTATGGGTGCTCAGGGCCTTCTCCTGATAGTGCTCGGGGGATCCAATCGAATGCCGGGGATCGAACCCGGGTTGGCCGCATGCAAGGCTACACGTCTTCCCCGCTGTCCTAGCGCTCCGGCCCCTAAAACCCCATTTTTTTGGATGGAGGCATGTTTGGGTCACGCCTGGCTGTGCTCAGGGCTGACTCCTGGCTCTGTGCTCAGGGATCACTCCTGGTGGTGATCAGGGGACCCTATGGGGTGCTGGGGCTGGAACCCCTTTAGCTACATACAAGGCAAGCCTCTTAACACCTGAACTCTGTTTGTTTGGGGAGGCCACACCGGGTGATACTCAGGGGTTACTTCTGGCTCTGTGCTCAGGAATCACTCCTAAGGATGCTCACGGGACTATTTGGGATGCCAAGGATTGCATCCGGGTCAGCTATGTGCAAGGCAGGCACCCTCCTCGTCGCACTATCTCTCTGTCCCTTCGTTGTTTTATTTTGTTTTGGGGCCCCATCCAGCAGTGCTCAGGGCTCACTCTTTTGTGCTCAGGAATCACTCCTGGAGGTGCTGGGGATGGAATTAATGTCAGCTGCATACAAGAGTCTTTTCCACTTTTTTTTTTTTTCTTTTCGGGTCACACCGGCGATGCTCAGGGATTACTCCTGGCTCTGCACTCAGGAATCACTCCTGGCAGTGCTTGGGGGGACATATGTGATGCTGGGAATCGAACCCGGGTCAGTTGCATGCAAGGCAAAAACCCTGCCCGCTGTGCTATCTCTCCAGTCGCCCTGAGAGTATTCCTTTTGCCCTCCCTCCTCCGTGTACCTGGCATACAACAAGCGTTCAGTGAATGCCGAATGCTTGAGGAACCTGTGAGAGATATCGCTGGTCTGGATTCAATCCTTGGAGCTGCTTGCTGCCCTGAGCACTGAGCCAGGAGTAGCCCCCAAGCACTGCTGGGTGACCCCATAACAATACAAACAGAGTCAATGCATATATACAGAACTGTCAGGAACCCTACTTATAAACTTTTCCTTATTTTTCCTATTATTATCATTAGCCATTCTGAAATCAAACACCCAGGCTTTAACTCCCTCTGTGGTACTTTACCACTGAACCATCTCTCCATCCCTATGGAAAATTAATTAATAATTAATTAATTTTAGTTTGGGGGCCACATCCGTCAGTGCTCAGGACTTACTCCCGGCTCTGGGCTCAGGGATCTTTCCTGGTGTGCTCAGGACACCCTTTATGATGGTAGGGACTGAACCAGGTCAGCTGAGAGCAAGGCAAGCACCTTCAGGGCTGGACTATCACTCCTGACATGGAAACATTTTCTGCCCAGGAAGTAGTGGTTTACAGTAGCTTTTGTGTCATTGTTCCATACTTGCAGTTCTCCTGTATCAGCCCCCCCCAGGCACAGCAGCGTGTCACTCACCCCCATCACTGGGCCAAGATCCTTTTCTTCCATCTGCCTCTGTAACCCCACATTACTCTTGTATAGACCTTTGGGGACCACAGTGAGCAGTGCTCAGAGCCTACTCCTGGCTCTGTGCTCAAGAGTGACCCCTGGCAGCTGCTTAGGGAACTGCAAATATAGGGATTTGAACCAGGGTCCTCTGCGTAACCAGCATCTTAACCTCAGTACTATCTTTCTGGCCCATCTGTAGACAGTTTGACAAAATAAGTAAGATACTAAATAGCCCAACAAACACCTAACCTCCCCCCCAACACACACACATGTGCGTGTCAATAGTCAATATGACAGCATTCAGGGAAAACAAGGGGCCAGGGAGATGGCTCAAAGGCTGAGCCCAGAATATGCACACAAGGGCCAGAGCTATACAGAACAGCGGGGAAGGGTGCTTGCCTCGCATGCGGCTGACCTGGGTTCCATCCCCCAGCACCCCATAGGGTACCCTGAGCACCACCAGGAGTAATTCCTGAGTGCAGAGCCAGAGGAAGCCCTGAGCATTGCCTGGTGTGGTCCAAAAATCAAAAGGAAGGAGGGAAGGAAGGAGGGAGGGAGGCAGGAGGGAGAGAGGGAGGGAGGGAAGGAAGGAAGGAAGGAGGGAAGGAGGGAAGGAAGGAAGGAAAGAAGGAAGGAAAGAAGGAAGGAAGGAAGGAAGGAAGGAAGGAAGGAAGGAAGGAAGGAAGGAAGGAGGCAGTACGACTGTGTTCCCTCAAGCACCACCAGGTATAGACCAGCTATAGACCACCTCTAACCTTTTTTTTTTTTAAAAAAAAAAGGAAGCAAGAGTGTCTGAAGATCCACTCATTTAGGTGATTGCTACATTTGTGCTAAAGACTTTAAGAAATGGGGCCAGAGCCATAGTACAGTGGGGAGGGCGCTTGCCTTGCACATAGCCTAGCAGGGTTCAATCCCCAGCATCCCATAGAGTCCCCCGAGCACCACCAGAAGTAATTCCTGAGCACAGAGCCACGAGGAACCCCTGAGTACTGCTGGGTGTGACCTGCTCAAAAAAAATTTTTTTTTCAAAAAATAAGAAAAAGACTTTAAGAAACATTTTTTTTCCAGCCAGCCCCGGAGGGCGAACACCACTGATAAGCTCTGCTATCTCAGGGACCAGGCCTTGAACCCCAAGTCTGAAGCTCACTACAATAGTTCAGGTCTTCACTTTGGAGACATATTGGGTATCTGCCACCAACCCAGGTCTGGCCCCATATGGAAACCCAGGGTGCTCCTTCATCCACCCTGGGGACTAAACTTCCATCCAAGTTTGGACCTAAACAAATTGGCGTCTCTGAGCCTAGGTTTGCAGGGTTCTAGAATGGGTTTCACAGTGAACTAGTAAAACACATTATTATGTGGAAGAATAGCACAAGCAGTTAAGGTGCTTGCCTTACAAGCACCAGACCTGGGCTCCCACAGGGTCCCCTGAGCTCCGCCAGGAGACATTCCCGAACGCAGAGCCAAGAATTGCCCTGAGGTGTTTTTTTTTTTTTTTTTGCTTTGCACCGGGGATGCACAGGGCTGACTCCTGGCTCTTCACTCAGGAATTACTCCCGGCGGTGCTCGGGGGACCCTATGGGATGCTGGATGCTGGGAATCGAACCCTGGTCGGCGGCGTGCAAGGCAAACGCCCTACGCGCTGTGCTATCACTCCAGCCCCTTGCCCTGGGTTCTGAGCATTACCAGTGTGGTGCTGAAACTTAAAATAAAATAAAATAATATTCAAGAGTATAATAGTATCTGAGTGTCCAGCTCAGGGGCTGCGGGAGGCAGGCGGTTCCCAGCCAAGACGGGTGAGTGTCTGCGGCCCCTTCGAGTCCCTGATGCAGGGGGCAGGAAGGATGGAACTCCCGCTACCTTGGCCACCTCAGGGCCATCTGTCAGCACCAGGCTGGGGCTGGAACCGGGCCGGGGCGGATGACATGTCACCCAGCCTGCCTGTCCCAGGAGCCACGCGCTCCCTCGCTGCCCCACACGGCGGACACTCTCCCGGACAGCCCACTCCCGTCCCCTGGGGTGTCCCTTACTTGGCCCCAAGGTGCCTGGACCACCCCCCCCCCCCCGCCCCAAACCCCCCACCCCTCACCAAGCGTCCAGATGGGACACTGTAGGCTGGTCCCAAGCTCGCAGGGGGACAGATGGGTGCGCAGGGGGGCCCCCGGGGCCCAGGCCCTGCGCTGACTCACCTCCCCCCGGGGGTCCCGGCGGCCCCCCGAAACCCTCGTCGTTCTCGATGCCCGCGATCTCGCTCTCCTGCTGGGCCAGGAAGGCGGCGGCCGGGTCCTCCTCGGCGCCCTGGGCCCCGCCGCCCTCGGACGCCGCGAAGAAGCCGAAGTCATCAGCCATGACGAGGCTCGGCCCCTCGGGAACGGGGTGCTGCGGCCCCAGTACCCGCGCCGCGCCCCGCCGCCCGAGGTCTGGCCCCCCACGCCCCGGTCCCCTGCGCGCGCGCGCCCCGGAGCTGTGCAGTCGCGGCGGCCGCCCCGCAACTTCCTCCCGGGCCCGGCCCGCCCGGCCTGTCACTGCGGCGGGAGGGGCCGGCCCGGGAATGCGGTGATGTCACCGCCTGGGAGGGGACGCCCAGGATGGCCGGAGGTCGCCTCGCAGCGGCCACCGGAGCGCAGCGCAGCCCCGAGGCTGGGTTCTGTGGCTTGATATTTTTTTGGAGGGGGGAGGAGGGAGGTCACACCGGGTGATGCTCAGGGGTGACTCCTGGATCTGCTAGGAGGAGGGGACCCTATGGGATGCTGGGGATCGAACCCTGGTCGGCCGCTGTGTAAGGTGAAAGCGACCTCCCTGCAAGCACTCTGGCACAGGCCCTAGGGTTCCATGTCTTTTTTTTTTTTTTTGCTTTTTGGGTCACACCGGCGATGCTAAGGGGTTACTCCTGGCTCTGTGCTCAGGAATTACTCCTGGCGGTGCTGGGGGGACCTTATGGGATACCCGGGATCGAACCCCAATCGGCTGCTGTGCAAGGTGCAAGCGACCTCCCCGCAAGCATTATGGCTCAGGCCCTAGAGTTCCATGTCTTTTTTTTGGGGGGGGGGTCACTCCCAGCGATGCTCAGGGGTGACTCCTGGCTCTGCACTCAGAAATTACTCCTGGTGGTGCTGGGATGCTGGGGATTGAACCCTGCTTGGCTGCTGTGCAAGGCGCAAGCGACCTCCCTGCAAGGGTTCCATGTCTCTTTTTCTGGGGGCATCACACTCAGCGATGCTCAGGGGTTACTCCTGGCAGTGCTTGGGGGATCATATGGGATGTCGGGAATTGAACCCAGGTTGGCTGCAAGGTGAACAAACACCCTATCCGCTGTACTACCATTCAGACCGTAAGGTTCCATGTATTATTTTTTTGCTTTTTGGGTCACACCTGGTGATGCTCAGGGCTTCCTCCTGGCTCTGCACTCAGGAATTACTCCTGGTGATGCTGGGGGGACCTTATGGGATGCCCGGGATCGAACCCTGGTTGGCCGCAGTGCAAGGTGCAAGCGACCTCCCCACAAGCACTATGGCCCAGGCTCTAGGGTTCCATGCCTTTTTTTTTTCTTTTGGCTTTTTGGGTCACACCCAGCGACGTTCAAGAATTACTCCTGGCTTGGGGGACCGGATGTCGGGAATTGAACCCAGGTTGGCCTGGCGCAAGGCAAATGCCCTCCCCGCTGTACTATCGCTCTAGCCCTAGGGTTCTATGTTTTGATGGCCCCACGCCCTTCCATTAGCACACAGGGACCCCGCTATTCCCCCAAGATAGCCAAGCAACTGTCCCGGTTTGGTGTGCATGTTTTGAGCTCACACCAGGGCCAGTGGGGATGGAGGCCCAGACCGAGTGATTCTGCAAACATTCCTCTAACTGGAGATTTCGGTTCCATCCTTGAGCACTGAGTCAGGAGAACCCCCTGAGCATTACAGACATGGCAGGTGAAGCCCAAAGGAAATTAAAAAAAAAAAAAAAAGAAAGAAAGAAAAAGAAAAAAATATTTCCAGGGGGCTGGAGTGATAGCACAGAGGGTAGGACATTTGCCTTGCACACAGTCGACCCAGGTTCGATTCCCAGTATCCGATATGGTCCTCTGAGCACCACCAGGAGTAATTCCTGAGCGCATGAGCCAGGAGTAACCCCCGAGCATCTCCAGCTGTGACCCAAAAAGAAAACAAAAAAGAAAAATATTTTCACTTGCACTGAGTCATCAGAAAGGGTTGGAGGTAGATTTGCATGGCGGAGGATCGGGGGTGATGGGGAGCCCTGGATTCAATCCCTGGCACTCCATAGGGCCCTTGAATCCCCTCCAGGAGTGATTCCTGAGCACAAAGCCTGGAGGAAGCCCTCAGGATTGCTGGGTGTGGCCTGAAAAGAAGGTAAAGGTAAAGGTAAAGGCCCTCCCGCTGATCGTCGATTTGCTCGAGCGGGGGCCCAGTAACGTCTCCATTGGAGACTTTGTTATTACTGTGTCTGGCATATCGAATACTCTCGGTAGCTTGCCGGGCTCTCCGAGAGGGGCGGAGGAATCGAAGGGGGGCTGTCGGGGGTCCCTGGTTCCCGGGAGAGCTCTCGAGTTCTGTCCTTTGCCTCTTGAAAAGAAGAATGAAAATAAAATGCTGATTCAGGAGCCAGAGTGACAGTATAGTGCGGAGGGTGTTTGCCTTGAATGCGGTCTGCCAGGGTTCGATCCTGGCATCACATATGATTCCCAGCACTATTAGCAGTAATTCCTGAGCATCGCCCAATGTGACCCAAAAAACCAACTGTCACTGTCACTGTCCTCCCGTTGTTCATCAATTTGCTCGAACGGGCCCGGTAACGTCTCCATTGTGACAGTTGTTACTGTGTTTGGCATATCGAATAACGTCATGGGTAATTTGCCAGGCTTTGCCGTGCGGGCGAGATACTCTCGGTAACTTGCCGGGCTCTCCGGGCAGGGGGGTGGGGAACAAGAAAAAGAAAAGAATGAAAATGAAATACTGATTCAGGGACCAGAGTGATAGTACAGAGGGGGGTGCGCTGGCCCTGCTTGGGTTGACTCAGGTTTGGTCCCCAAGCATCCCTTAGGGGCCCGGAGCTCTGTTGAAAGTTATCCCTGAGCTTAGAGCCAGAAGTAAACTTTGAGGACTGCGCATGTGGCGGAGGGTGGAGGGAGAGAGACTTTCGATCATCTGATGTTCATTTACTCTGTCTACAGACCCCAATGGCTTTACCATCCCTCCACTCCTTTTTTTGTGTGTATCTGTGTTTTTTGGGCCATACCTGGTGATATTCAGGGGTTACTCCTGGTTCTGCACTCAGAAATTACTCCTGGAGGTGCTCAGGGGGACCATATGGGATGCTGGGAATCAAACTTGGGTCAGCCACATGCAAGGCAAACGTCCTGCCTGCTATACTGTTGCCCCAGCCACCCTACCCACTGTATTATCTCTCCAGTCCTTCCCCTCACTCCTTGTAAAAGCTGTAAACCAAGTTCAATCTGGGGGCCCGAAGTAAAAGTCCGCCTTGCACGCGGTCGACCCAGGTTCGATCCCTGGCATCCCATAAGGTCTACTGAGCGCAGAGCCTGGAATCAGCTCTGGGCACCGCTGGGTGTCACTAAACGAACGAGTAAAGTAAAATGAGCCCCCTGCTCCCCCCACCCCACCCCAGACACACACCCAGCTACGCAGCCTTGGTGAACTCCTTCCTAGGGTCATTTAAATGCATCTGGGTCACTTCAGCCCAAGTCGCTCTCCGGCTCGTCCTTCCTCTCACCGAAGCGGGTGTTGCTCGCACTTATTCACATTTCGCAAAGCGTGTCACGGTGCGTGAGCTTGTTATTTTGGGTGAAGTATGCTGAAATATCTCTGCTTTCCTGCTTTCCCTCCCCCTCCTCCTGTCCTCTGTGGCTACTGCAGTGGCCAAGGTGCACATACCTGGTTGTGACCCGGGGGGATTCCAGAGGATGCTGCTGGGATTATACTCGGCACAAGGTTGGGCCTGGGGTCGAACTCTGGGCCTTGAGTGTGAAAGTCTATTACCTCTACTGCACAGCCGTCCCCAGGCCCTTGAATATTTAAATATCTGCTCTTTTTCTTTTTGAAATATATGAATATACGGTCTTTTCCTTCTTTCCTTCTCTTTTTTTTTTTTTTTTTTTTTTTTTGCTTTTTGGGTCACACCTAGCAATACTCAGGGGTTCCTCCTGGCTCTGCACTCAGGAATTACTCCTGGTGGTGCTCAGGGGACTGTATGAGATTCCAGGGATCGAACCCAGGTTTGGCAAGTGCAAGGCAAACACCCTACCTGTTGTACTATCTCTCCAGCCTCACTCTCTTTCTCCTTCCTTCTCTCCATTCATTACTTTTTTTCTCTCTTTCTCTTTCCCTCTCTCTTTCTGACTTTGAGTCTACTGGCAGCACTCCAGGGCCACTCTGGGCTCAGTGCTCAAGAGTCACTCCTGGTGACATACGCAGAACTGAGGAATCAAACCTGGGTCAGATGCATGCCAGCACCACCTTACCTGAGGTACGATCCCCAAATCTTTTCTTTTTCATTTGTTTGTTTGTTTTGTTTGATTTTGGTTCACACCTGGTGGTGCTCAAGGCTGACTCCTGGCTCTGCACTTCTGGATCATTCCTGGTGGTGCTTTGGGGACCATATGGATGCTGGGGATCAAAGCAGGCTCAGCCTTATGCAAGGCAAGCACCCGACTGGGTATTCTATTACTCAGTCCCCTCTGGCCCTTTTATTTATTTATTTATTTGGCTTTTTTGGGGGATCACACCCTGCAATGTACAGGGGTTGCTCCTGGCTCTGCACTCAGGAATCACTCCTGGCGGTGCTCAGGGGACCAAATGGGATGCTGGGGATTGGACCCGGGTCGGCCACATGCAAGGCAAACACCCTACCCGCTGTACTATTGCTCCAACCCCTCTGGGCCTTTCTTTATCCATGATTTTAGCCTGGTTTCTCAGCACATCTTCAAAGTCATCTGATTAGATCAGACATTTCACATCCCCGCATCCCTTAGGGTCTGGGAGAGTCCCGGAGCACCTAATTTCTGAGTGCAGAGTCAGGAGTAAGCCCTGAGCACTGCTGAGTGTGGCCCCAAACCAAAATAAAACAACAAGAACAGCAACAGAAAGGTGAATTTACAAGGAAGGTGAAATTTACAGGTCTCTTCTGTCCCTTGCTCCAATCCCCATCTCTAGAGTTCTGAGGTTTTAGTCAACAGAGGCAGATAATTCCTCTTATTTTGGTAAAACTAATGAAATCAGTTCCACTTGATCTCTAAAGAGAAATATGAAGCTTCGGGAAGCCCAAAGAACCAAGAGATGGGGCTGGAGTGATAGCACAGCGGGTAGGGTGTTTGCCTTGCACACGGCAGACCCCAGTTCGATTCCCAGCATCCCATATGGTCCCCTGAGCCTAGCCAGGAGTAATTCCTGAGTGCATGCATGAGCCAATGAGCCAAGAGTAACCCCTGTGCATCACCAGGTGTGATCCAAAAAGAAAAAAAAAAAGAACCAAGAGTCTATGACTGCATCTCTTGGGGTGGGCAATCTAGACGCTTTGGTTCAGCTAGGGGCTAGAGAAATAATACAGCAGGTAAGGCGCTTGCCTTGCACACAGCCAGCCCCGGTTCATTCCCTGGCACCATCTTGAGCAACAGCAGGAATTATCCCTGAGCACAGAGCTGGGAGCAAGGCCTGAGCACCACCAGGTGGGTCAGCAAAACAAAGAAAGACAAAACCACCAAAAAGAAGCCTTGTCCCTTACAGATTGCAATGCTGGGAGGTTCTTCTGGTTACTGAGATGCAGGGTTTGGTCTGCAATGTCAGTTGCTCAGCAGTTCAGAATTGATCCAGTACTTATTACCTCCTGACCGCAGATTCAGAATATTACAGAAATAAAACTACAAAATCAAGATGGGACGGATAGTTAAAGAGATAAAATTACAAACCAGCACAGCAGGGAGGGCTCTTGCTTTGCATGCAGCCAACTGTGGTTTGATCCCCATTATCCCATATGGTCCCATGAGCATTGGCAGGAGTCATCCCTGAGCTCAGGCCAGGAAGCCCTGAGCACTGCCAGGTGTGGCCCAAACACACCACACAACACACACACACACACACACACACACACACACACACACACACACACTCCCCAAAGGGGAAAAAACACTCCCAAAATCAGAAAATCAGAACTTGGTTTCCCTCTTTCTCGTCCTTGAGGATAGCAATGAAATTCATTCCACTTCCCCTTGAACTGTTCTCTGAGACGTGTTAAATAGTAATCCCATTTCTTTGGAGCTTTGACTGGTAATGAAATCAATCATTAAAGTTGCAGCTGTCAGTTTCCAATTTTACACGAAGAGTTTAAGGAAAGTTCACTAACAGTGTGAGATTAAGACGTATGTGCGGGGCTGGAGCACAGCAGGTAGGGCGTTTGGGCTGACCCTGGTTCGATTCCCAGCATCCCATATGGTCCTCCGAGCACCGCCAGGAGTGCATGATTCCTGAGTGCATGAGCCAGGAGTAACCCCTGTGCATCCCCGGGTGTGACCCAAAGGAGTAAAAAAAATAAAGATAAAAATTTAAGACATATGTGCTTGCCTAAGAAGATGCATCACGGGCCTGCAAGAAGGCAAACCGGAGTCCTCCCACTTCTTCCCCTTCTCTTCCCAAAGATGTGTTCTCAAGGTGCTTCCTGTGCAGTTCACGGCACCCCCACACGTTTACCCCAGAATCTGGGCTGGGGTTCCTTGATCAGGCACTTGCATTGCAGTGCTGGAAAGTGTACCCACCAGGGGGCGCTGTGCGACGCGCACGTGTGTGTTTCCTGGGGACTCCCTCAGACACCCTTTTATTTCTTTGTTTTTGTGCCACACCTAGCTGTGCTCAGGGCTTGTTCCTGGCACAGAGATCAATTCTGGCGGGGCTGGGGGTGGGGGGGACCCTATGAGATGAGGGTGATCGAACCCGGGTCAGCCACGTGCAAGGCAAACTCCCTACTTGCCGTATTAGCCCCGCAAAGTCCTCCTTGCCTTGCATGTGTGATTAATCCCGGACAGATCCCGAGTGATCCTTGAGCATAGGCTCCGGAGTAAGCTCTGTGCGACACCAGGAGTGACCAAAAAGCCAAAGAGCCGAAAGAAAGAAAGAGAGAGATAGAGAGAGAGAGAGAGAGAGAGAGAGAGAGAGAGAGAGAGAGAGAAAGAAAGAAAGAAAGAAAGAAAGAAAGAAAGAAAGAAAGATCAGTGGTGGTGGAAAATGGGCACTGGTGGAGGGAGGGATGGGTACTTGATCATTGTATAATTGAAACACAAACACAAAAATTTGTAAGTCTACAACTGTACCTCATGGTGTCTCACCAATAAAAATTAAAAATAAAAAGAAAGAAATCCCTTCCAGAGGCTGTAGCGATACTACAGCGGGTAAGGCATTTGCCTTGCACAGGAACGACCCAAGTTCGATCCTCCGCATCCGATAGGGTCCACTGTGCATTGTTAATAGAAGCTTAGAGCCAAAAATAACCCTAAGAATCGCTGGGTGTGAACCCAACCGAAAGAAAAAAAATATATAAAATTCCTCCAGGGGGGCTGGAGCAATAGCACAGAGGGTAGGGCGTTTGCCTTGCATGCGGCCGACCCGGGTTCGATTCCCAGCATCCCATATGGTTCTCCTGAGCACCGCCAGGGATAATTCCTGAGTGCAGAGCCAGGAGTAACCCCTGTGCATCGCCAAGGTGTGACCCAATAAGCAATAAATAAATAAATAAATAAATAAAATTCCTCCAGGAATATGGGATTCTAAATGTTTCAGGGTCAGGGCAGCAAGGCGTCGTTTTTCGGGAGCTTCCACGAAGGCAGGGTGCGGCACCGCGGGCTCCCACTCACCTTCGGGCCCTTTCCGGAAGTGTTCGCGACGCCACACACACCCGCGTCTGCCCTTCCTGGGCGGGGCCAGCGCGCGCAGGAGCCGTGGCGCCCGAGGAAAGGGGCGGCCGTTCGGGACCGGAAGTGGCGGTGTTCCGAGGTCACTTCCGGCGGGTGACGGTGCGGACGGGTCAGAGGCGTAGAGGCGGCGGCAAAATGGCGGCGCCTGAGGAGCGGGATCTCACCCAGGAGCAGACCGAGAAGCTGCTGCAGTTTCAGGTAGCAGCGACTCGTCGGTGCAGCGGAGGCCGCCGCGGGCAGGAGCCGGGGGCCCCTTGGAGGAGCCCCGAACTCGGCCGGCCAGCGGGGCCGGCTCCGGCCAGCGGGCGGCCCCCTCCCCCCCAGACGCCAACTGCCCCGCCGGGGCCCCCCCCTCACCCCTCCGGCCCGGCAGCCGCGTCCCCCGCCCCGGCCGCCGCCTCCCTCGCGGACTCTGCAGCCCCCCCGACCCCCGCCACCTGCTCCATCCCCGCCTCGGAGTCCGGCTGGCTTCGTCGTCCCGGTCCGCTGCCGCCACCAACGTTTGCGACGGCCGCCGGGGGTCGTCGGGGCGCAGGGGAGGGGGGCGGGGAGGGGACCGGCCTCATTGTCTCTCCCCCTCCCCAGCAGCAAAGGGGGTCCCTCTCCACCCACCCACTACCACTATCACCCACCACTACTACCTCGACCATCCTGGCCACGCTCTAGGTGGCATCGGTGCCGAGTGATGGGGCTGGTTCCGAGGAGCCGAGCACCCCTCACCCTCTCGGAGGAGGCCGCCCCACTTTTCATTTTCCTAAGGGGGAGCTTTTGGGCTTCAAGCATTTAGCGTCTGTTTGAGAAGACCCCCCCTCCCCGCCCTCAACACCCCCACCCAGTTGGAAATCAGCCCGGCGCCCGATTTCCTACAAATACTAGCGCACAAGTGACTGTCTCCCCAGGGCCCCGCCCCCCTTCAGCCCCCAAGTCGCAGGGGGCCGTGGGGGGAGGGGAGAATCAAAGGAGCTTTTGGGTATTTTTGGGGAGCCCCATCGGCTCTTTTCCTGCCCCCCGTGGTCTGTGCACGCTGGCGACCCCACTATTTGCTGATCTGAAACCGGATGCAGTGTTCATTCACTCACATCACCCAGCTCACCCAACCCAATTGCTTTGCAGACAGTTTTTTTTTTTTGAGGGCGGGGTGGGTAGTGTGGCCTGTCCAGGATCGGGTGCGGGGGATTGGGTTCAGTGGCCCCGCACCCCACTGCCCGCTTTGACTGATTTCCCTCAGACCCCTGAGTTCCATTCTCAGCTCCACTGTATAAATCCTAGGCCCCTTTCTGGAAGGTGTAGGATGCCGTAAGGAAAACACACAGGCACACAATAGCCAGGTGAACTATGACAGCCCGGTGGGTTTTGTCAGAATCCCTGTTTGAGCAGGGAGTCCGCCCAGAGTTGGAGCCCCAGCACAGAAAGTAACCAAATGGTAGTAACCAAATGACTGGTCAGATTTCTCTGTCTGTGTGTGTGTACGTACATGTTGGGGGGTGTGGTCACAAGTTGATGTTCGGGGATCACTCCTGGTGGGGCTTGGGGGACCCTCTGGGATGCCAGGGATCAAACCCAAGTGAGAGGCAGATGACCGCCCGCTGTAGTGTGGCTCCGGCCCCAGTATGGCCAGATTTCTTTGTTTCCAGTATTTGGGGGCCACCCCAAGTTCTGCTCAGGACTTCCTCCTAGCTGTGCACTCAGGGATCCCGCCTGGTTCGGGTTCAGGAGATGCCATGGGGTGCCAGGGCCTGAGCCAGTCTGGCTGTGTTTACGGGCAAGTGCTGTAACCCCTGTAAATGTGTCTGATCTCTCCAGCTCTCGTTATTGTTACTTCAGTTTTGGGGGCCACACGGGGTAGTGCTTGGGATTACTCCGACTTGGGGCTCCAAGAGTGGCTCAGGGAACCATGTGGTGCCGGGATTCACATTGAAGCGTCCCACTTGGCAATGCCTGAGCTTCTGGCCCTTTGACCTATCGCCCTGACCGTTTCTTTGAAGTGGAGTTTGGAAAAATGCCATCATTAGTAGTAGTTGGCTTGCATTGGGAGTTTGGGTGACTTTTTGTTGTTGGTTTTTTTGCAGGGGGAGGGATGGTGGAGGGGACACGCCTGGTGGTGCTCAAGGGTCACTGATGCTGGGGACCGAGCTGGGGTCTCCTACCGCAAAGCCCGCACTCAGCCCGTGCGCACAGTTCTTGGCCCATTTGATGAACCAGCCCGTTGGAATCGGAACCCCTGAGGCCCAAAAGGTGTCCAGATTTTGAGGAACCATCATTTCTGAGTTGTGTGTGACTCCAGGACCCCATTCCTCCTTTTCCCGTGCTTCAGGGGTCGAGTCCCAGGTGGTCGAGCAGCTTTAGGACAAGACAAGAGAACTGATGGGGGGACAAAGTGGACCCCTCGATTGACTGTGGCTAAGACTGAATGACTCATTGATTGGTTTGGTCGAAGTACCACATTTCGACCTTAGCACCCAGGGATTTTTGCTGTGTCTCCATGCATAGGCGTTTATAGCTGACTCTTGGCTCTGTGCTCAGGGCTCACTCTAGATGGGCTTAAGGGGAACCCTGTAGGGTGCTGGGGATCGAACCCGGGTCAGCCACCTTTCCAGGCAGGCGTCCTCCCCATCGGACTATGGCTCCGGCCATATGGGATTTTTGCATAGGAGCTTAAGAGTTTACTCCTGTTTCTGTGCTCTGGGCTCCCTCCTGGTGGGGTGTTTTGGGAGCCTGTGGAATGTCAGAGTCAAACCCTGGTCCGCTGCTTGTAAGCCAGCCCCCTCCCTGATGAAGAAACATCTGTTCAGGCAGGACGTCAAGGTGATCAGCTAGTCTGGTGGCCAGTGGGGGGGGGGGGGTCAGAAACCCAGGGTCAGTGACAGGCCTGCGACCCAGGCGCTTGCCCTGCACACTTTCCCAGCACCCCACAGGGTCCCCTGAGCCTGCCAGGAGTGATCCCTGAGCTCTGAGCCAACCCAGGGGATCACATAAGCCGTGAGCACCCTGTCTGGGTCCCTCTAACAGACGCCCAAGGACCCGATATTTTTGTCGCTGGATTTCCTTGTGGTTTCCACATGTGGTGCCTTGGCAGGCAGCGGGGTCCTGTCTGGGCAGGAGTCAGCCCCCCAGCAGTGGCAGGGCCCATGGGGAGACAGTTCTCGAACCTGCTGTGGACGTGAGCCTCCGCCCATGGCTGCGTCACGGGGGGGTGGGGGGGTGACGCGACTCGGGTGTTTCCGCATGGCCCCGAGCCCAGCCCGAGTGAGGGCTAGACCGGGGCCCCAGCGCGGCCATGGGCATGTTGCGTCCCGGCGTGCTGACCTGAGCCCCGGGAAGATCAACGGAATCGCAGATTTCTTCTGCGTCGCGCACATGCCTGGCTCCGACTCTTGCTTATCAGGCAGCGCGCATGCGCAGGGCTAGTGGCGATGAAGATTTTTATCCGGGTTCTTCTTTTTGCCTTTTTTTTTTTTTTTTTTGCTTTTTGGGTCACACCTGGCGATGCACAGGGGTTACTCCTGGCTCAGCATTCAGGAGTTTCTCCTGGCGGTGCTCAGGGGAGACCATATGGGATGCTGGGAATTGAACCCGGGTCGGCCGCGTGCGAAGCAAACGCCCTACCCACTGTGCTCTCTCTCTAGCCCCTTCTTTCTGCTTTGATTTGGGACCCTCTGGAGTGTGTGGCTGCTGAAATTTCTTTTCATTTGGGGTTTTCACTGGTTTAAGGCTGCTGCATTACCATCATTGTCGTCATTATGACTATTTTAGCGCTTGGGGGGCAGTCCCGTCCAGCTCTACTGGGGATAGAATGTATGGAGGCGGAGGACACTCCTCAACAGACAGAATGAGCTCAGGCCCTTTGCTTCCTCGGCCTTTTTAGGGGGGCAGGAAGGAATGGTGTCGGGCCATACACCTCGTGGTGCTCAGGGCTTGCTCTTGGCTCCATGCTCAGGGATCACCCCTGGGGGCTCAGGAGGAGGATGTCTGTGTTGGCTGGTGTGCGTGGCCAGTGCTTGGATTTTTTGCCACACCCAGCTTGGCTCGGGGAATCCTGTGGGATGTGGGGGATCAAACCCCAGCTGCATGCATGCAAGGCTAGCGCCCTCCCCCCTGCGCTGTGGCTCTGATCTCTCTCCTTTTTTTTTCCTTTTTGGGTCACACCTGGCGATGCACAGGGATTACTCCTGGCTCTGCACTCAGGTGTTCAGGGGATCATATGGGATGCTGGGAATCGAACCTGGGTCAGCCGCGTGCAAGGCAAATGCCCTACCCACTGTGCTATCTCTCCAGCCCACCGACCTCTCTTAAGAGACTTTCTGGTACGTGTCGGGTGTGTAGATTTGGTCTGGGGGCAGCACCCGGCAGTGCTCGGGGCTTCCTCCTGGCTCTGCACTCGGGATCACTCCTAGAGCATCCGGGGGACCCTGTGTGGTGCCTGGGATTGAACCTGGGTCTGCTGTGTGTGCTTGGGACACTCCTCTCCTACATAAGGCTGTGCCAGGCTGCCTCGGGTTGCAGTTTTTTCTCTCTGTTTTTTTTTTGGCTTATTGAGTCACACCCAGTGATGCTCAGGGATTACTCCTGCCTCTGCACCCAGGAATTGCTCCTAGTGGTGCCTGGGTGACCCTATGGGATGCCAGGGATCGAACCCAGGTGAGCCAGATGCAAGGCAGCCGCCCTCCCCCCTGTACTATCACTCCAGCTCTTCTTCAGGTGGCATCTTTTTTTCTGTTTCTCTGTTTCAGTACATCTGACGAAGGGAAAGAAATTGTGGAATTTTCTGTCTCGGTGTGGTGGTGCTGGTCGTTTGGGTATTTTTTTATTAATTTAAAAAAATTCTTTTCATTTGGGGTTTTCACTTTGTTTCTTTGTTTTGGGACACTCCTGGTGATGCTCAGGGGACCCTATGGAATGCCGGGGACCGAACCTGGGTCAGCCACGTGCAAGTGCCTGCTCCCTCCCTGCTGTTTGGCGGCTTTCCCTCCGTCTCTGGAGGTGGTGGTGTGTTGCTTGTGCACTAGTTGAGGGGTTCAGTGGGCCCAACCCACCTGCTTGCGAGGGTGGTTGTCACACATGGCGCCCAGGAAATGGCACTGCCACGGCACCCTGGTGTGTGTTGGAAGCACTGGACATCAGTGGTTTGTTTTGACCCGTCGAACCGTTTCGAGGCCCCCCCCGAGCCTTGAGTTTTAAGTCACTGCCAACAGCTGCTGTATGGTTTTGGGGTCACACCAGCTGTGCTCAGGCCACGCTCCTGACTCTGTGCCCAAGGGTTCCACCTGCAGGGGTTTAGGATTCTCTGGCGTGCCGGGGATCGAACCTGGGTTGGCTGCATGCAAGGCAGACACCCTTCTGGCTGGGCTATCTCTTGGCTCCTGCTTGAACTCTTAGAAGCAGAACTGTTGTTGATAAAATTCTGGCTCTGCAGTGAAGCGGTGATACAAAAGAAATGTCTTGTAGCAATGACATTGCCCTTCCCAAGTATTCGCCTCAGAGGGTTCAGGTCTATGTACAGACTCTTACAGCCACCACCTGATTCCTTCCAGAACATGCTTATCATCTCAGAAAGGACCCAGACTCAACAGTAACTACCCACATCTTTTGCTAATCCCCAGTGACTGGTGATTCACTCTCCTGATTTGCCTGTCTTGGGCAACATGTATACAATACACCCACACCCCTCACAGCCCGGGGTGTTCTTTTGGTTTGGGGCCCACACCTGGCAGTGCTTAGGACTTACTCCTGGCCCCGCACTCAGGGACCTCTCCTGGAAGTGATCTGGGCAGTGCTTCCAGGGGACCCTATGGGATGTGGGGCATCTCACCTGGGTTTGTCGCTTTGGCAAGGCAAACACTCTCCCCACTGTAGGGTTTTGATGCTCGAGGCTTGCTCCTGACTCTGCGCACAGGAATCCCTCCTGCCAGTGCTCAGGGAACCCCACGGGATGCTGGGGATCGAACCTGGGTTGGCTGCGCACAAGACAAGCGCCCTCCCCGCTGTCACCCCTCTGGCCCTGTTGGTTCCCTTTTTTAATTGCTGAATAATGTTCTGTGGACGCGAAGCCATCTTTGCTTTAGCCGTTTTTCCTTGGTGGCTGTCGAGAGCCCTTGCCCCTGTTGACTGCCCCCCAGCACGCAGTTCTCTGAGTGCTTTGCCGGTGGCTCCTGCTCTGTGTGACGCTGTCTCCATTCCTCTGGGTCCCCTGGGTATTGAGCTTTGCGGGTGTATTGCCAGCCTGGTGAGAAATCGCCAAAAGGCTTTGCCAGTTTTCTGGTTCTTCTGGTTCTCCACGCCTGCCTTGTTGGTGGAGCTTCCGGCCGCCGCCTCTGCCGTCCTCGCTGATGTTTGTCATGGCCCGCGTCTGGCTGGGTGTTGCTTGGTTTCCACGGGCCGTTCCCTAATGGCAATGGTGTTGAAAGGGTGGTTGTCCCTGTGGCATTTCTTGGGACAGATACTATCACATCCTCAGCCTACTTTTTGATTTTTGTTTTGGGGGTCACACTTGGTGGTGCTCAGGGCTGACAGCTGGCTCTGTGCTCTGAATTGCGCCTGCTGGGGCTGGGGGACCCTGTGGAGTAAAGGGGATTGAACATGGATGGGGCACAGGCAAGGCAAGCTTTGGTGAGAAGTTCCCCCCAAAACAAAGGGTCCCAGCCTTTGCTGTGTGTGTATATGTGTGTGTGTGTGTGTGTGTGTGTGTGTGTGTGTGTGTCTGGAATCGATTTCCCTTAAGTTGAATATAACTTTTTCGTTGGTTTTTGGACCACACCTAGTGATGCTCAGGGGTTACTCCTGGTTCTGCTTTCAGGGATCATTCCTGGTGGTGCTTGGGAGACCCTGTGGGATGCCAGGAATTGAATTTCGGTCTGCCACATGGAAGGCAAATTCCCCCCGCCCTGGACTATTGCCTTGGCCCCGAGAATCCATTCTGAAAGGGCTGTGTATGTCTAGTCCTGCTTAGAAGTAAATCAGTCCATGTCAAAAGGGGCAGGAGTGATAGTACAGCAGGGTAGGAACTTGCCTGGCACACAGCTGACCCGGGTTCGATCCCCGGCATCCCATTGGGTCTCCCGAGTCCTGCCAGTAGGAAGCCCTGAGCACTGCCAAGGGTGGCCCCAAAACAACAGCAACAGCAACAAAAAGGCAGAGTCAGCAGATTCTCAGCTCCTGCCTGACATCCTGAACTACTAGAAAATTCTGTGTATTTGTCCTGCGGACAAGCAGCCTTGCATTTAATCGGGAAAATGTGGATTTGAAACATCCTGCTGTGTCCTTGAGATGTATGGAAGTGTCTCTAGGGGCTTTCCTCTGAGAACTCGGTTATCACAGTTGATAGAGGTGTTTTTATGGGTTTATTTTGGCTTGGGAGCCATCTCTGGCAGTGCTCAGGGCTTACTCCTGACTTTGTGCTCAGAGAGCACTCAGGGACCCCTGCGCAATGCTGGGGGTCGAACCCACGTGGGCTGCACCAGGGCAGAATCCGAAGCCCTGTAGTATCTCTCCAGTGCCAAGAAATCAGTTTTCTTTTTGATTTGGACTCTTACTGCAACTTGGAAGAAGCACTGACTTTTTTTTTTTTTTAATTTTTATTAGTGAAACACCATGAGGTACAGTTGTAAAGTAAAGTAAAGTAAAGGCCCTCCCGTTGATCGTCGATTTGCTCGAGCGGGCCCAGTAATGTCTCCATTGGAGACTTTGTTGTTACTGTGTCTGGCATATCGAATACTCTCGGTAGCTTGCTGGGCTCTCCGAGAGGGGCGGAGGAATCGAACTCGGGTCGGCCATGTTGGCTGCGTGCAAGGCAGACGCCCTACCCGCTGTGCTATCGCTCCAGCTGTAGATTTACAATTTTTTGTGCTTGGGTTTCGATTATACAATGATCAAATACCCATCCCTCCACCAGTGCCCATTTTCCACCACCATGGATAATATCCCTCCCACCCCTCTCCCCTCCATCCCACCCTGCCTCTGTGGCAGGGCATTCCCTTTTGTTCTCTCTCTCCTTTTAGAAGCACTGACTTTTACACGATCCTCAGCACGTGCCCTGCCCACTGCAGTCTCTCTCTGGTCCCCCATTTTTATTGTTTAAATACAGAATGATCACTGGCCTTCCACGTGGTTGGCCTGGGTTCAGTCCCCAGCACCCTGGAGAATCCCCCAATCCCTACCAGATGTGACCCCTGAGCACCCCCTAGGTGTGGTCCGCAAACCCCCAAACAGAGTGATCATTCAGACTCCGGGTAGAGGCAAGTACTGTCCAGTTCCTTTTTGGTGAGGATGTGCTGTGCTGAGAATTGAGCCCTGGGCCTTATCTGTACAAAGCTTACGTTCTCCTTTTCTTGGGGCTGGGGGAGGTTGGGGCCACATCCGGTAGCACTCAGTAATTACTCCTGACGGGCTCAGGACACCATGCTGGGGATGAAACCCTGTTCAGCCATGTGCGTGAAAAGCGCTCTGGCCTCTGTCCCCAGCATTGCCATTGTTCGAGTCCACTCTTGCTACTTCTGCCTCCTAGCTTAGGGGACCAGATGGATCCCAGGCTCCCACGGCGTCCTTTGAACTCGGCCTCGGGCCTCCAGGATATCTGGCCAGGGGAGGCGAAAGCCCGGACTTCCCCGGCCCCTGTAGGCACTGCTGGGTCACGGGAAGGAGACCAGGGCCTCTCAGCCAAAGGCAGTAGTTATTCCTGGAAACGGGCAGCCGGCAGGGAAGGTCCTTGCTGGGCATGCGTCCGACTTGAGTTCAATCCCCAGCACCCCCCCCCCCCCCCCCGGAGCCCGCCAAACCCCACCTAGAGTGATCCCTGACCACAGAGCCGGGAGGAAGCATGGAACACCATCGGGTAAGGCCCCAAAACGAAAGGACAAAACTCAAACTTGTCAGGCCTGTGCCAGTTAGGGTCTCCTGGTCTGGACTGTCCGAGGCCTCACGCTGAACCCTCCAGTTTTTGTTTTGTTTTTTTCTTTTTGGGTCACACCCAGCAATGCTCAAAGGTTACTCCTGGCTCTGCACTCAGGAATTACTCCCGTCAGTGCTAGGGGGACCCTGTGGGATGCTGGGGATTGAACCCAAGTCGGCTGCATGCAAGGCAAACACCCTACCTGCTGTACTATCGCTCCAGCACTATGAACACTCCAGTTCTTAATGAAGAACTTTTTGATTTCCAGTTTTTTGTTTTTTTAAAAAAAAACTCTATTCTCTGGGCCCTTGAGTCTCACCCAGCAGTTCTCAGGACTCCTAGCTCAGTGCTCAGGGATCACTCCTGGCAGACTCAGAGAACAGTCTTAATGTGCCGGGGATCGGACCTGGGTCAGCTGCAGGCAAGGCAAATGCCTTACTCACTGTGCTGTCTTTCCGGCCCCTAGTCTCTCTATCTTGAGTATTAGAACAGGAATGGGGGCCGGGAACAAGCTCTGTCAGCTGGGTTCAGGCTTTGCCTGCGAGAAGCCCAGGTTTGATCCCGGCCTGTAATTGGGTCCCCAAGGACTCCAAACCATCCCCTGATCGCCGTTTTTGGCTGGGGTTCCTAAAACCCTTCAAAAAAGATGTATTTTTTCCCTCCCACGGAAAAATTGCTTTTTCTTTAATGTATTTGATGTTTCTCCTCCTTTCAGGACCTGACGGGCATCGAGTCGATGGATCAGTGTCGCCATACCTTGGAACAACATAACTGGAACATTGAGGTACCGTCAGCCCTAGCGTCACATTTACCTTACTTTGGTAAAGGGAGGGGAGGGAGGCAGTTGTGAGCACTGTGTGTAAGACCACAGGAAGAGGGTGATTGAGCCTCTCCCCCTGGGACCCTTTTGTTTCCCTCAGTGACCTTTGGCAAAATGATGCTTTTTTCTGGAATGGAGAGATGGTACAGCGGGAGGGTGTTTGCCTTGTACACAGCCAACTCAGGTTCGCTCCTCAGCACCCCTTGGGTCCCCTGAGCACCACCACAAGTAATTCCTGAGTGCAGAGTCAGGAATGACCCCTGGGTATCATCTGGTATGACCCAAAAAGCAAAAAAAAAAAGTATTTTTTCTTTCTTTGATTTTGGGGACACCCAGCAGTGCTCAGGGACTTACTCATGGCTCTGTTCAGGGATTACTCCTAGTGGGGCATTTAGGGACCTTCGGGGGGTGCCAGGGCTCGAATCCGGGCCAGCCATGTGCCAGGCAAGTTCTTTTCAGCCTCTCGTTGCCCTTTTTTGTTTGGCTTGGGTTTTGAGCTGCATCTGGCGGTGCTCAGGGATCTGGGGTGCCGGGGATTGAACTGGGGTGAGCTGCATACAAAACATGTGTCTTCCTGCTCTACATTGCTCCCCCCTTTTTATTTTATTTTTTTCCCCTGTTTATTTTTAATTTAATTAATTAATTTGCTTTTTGGGTCACACCCGGCGATGCACAGGGGTTCCTCCTGGCTCTGCGCTCAAGGACCACTCCTGGCGATGGTGGGGTGGGACCCTCCGGGATGCCGGGATCGAACTCGGGTCGGGCGCGTGCAAGGCCAACGCCCTGCCCGCTGTGCTCCAGCTTCAGCCCCGACCCTGGCTCCTTCATTCGCAGGCTGCTGTGCAGGACCGACTGAATGAGCAGGAGGGCGTCCCGAGCGTGTTCAACCCCCCACCAGCTCGGCCACTGCAGGTCAACACGGCCGACCACAGGATCTACAGCTACGTGGTCTCCAGACCGCAGCCGCGGGTGAGTGCTTCCCCGCCGGGGACTCCGCGAGCCCAGACCTCCCTCCCTGCAGTTGCGCGTGGCTCCAAGAGGGATTGGTCGGCCCCAACTTTCCCCCTGGATTCCGGAAGGCCTGGAGTGGGCGGAGCCATAGCCCAGTGGATCAAGTGCTTAGCCTTGCTTGTGGTCATCCTGGGTCCAGTCCCCGCTGCGCCCCAGAGGCTCCCCTGAACCTTAACAACTGCAGGGAGTTCTCTTTGGATTGGTTATGGGGAACACCGTAGATTTTCTTTTTTTTTTCTGCTTTTTGGGGTCACACCTGGCGATGCACAGGGGCTCCTCCTGACTCTGCATTCAGGAATTACCCCTGGCGGTGCTCAGGGGACCCTATGGGATGCTGGAAATCGAACCTGGGTCGGCCGTGTGCAAGGCAAATGCCCTCCCCGCTGTGCTATTGCTCCAGCCCCACCATGGATTTTCTTTACAGGTCCCCAAATTGTGTACCCCTCGTTTGATTTGGTCTCCTGCTAGGCAGACCCAGGGGGTGTGTCTGTTTACTGCGTTCCTTTGGGGCTTCCTTGGAGTTCATGAGAGGCTACTCTTATTTTTTTGTTGTTGTTTGCTTCGTTGGTTTTGTTTTGGGGCCACGCCAGGCGGTACTGAGGGCTGACTCCTGGCACTGCGCTCAGGGATCCCTCCTGGTGGGCTTGGGGGACCCTGTGTGGTGCCAGGGATGGTATCCAGGTTGGCCGCGTGCAAGGAAAGCACTTTATTTAATAAATTTGTTTGTTTGCTTTATATTTATTTTGGTTTGGGGGCCATACCTAGCGATGCTCTGCAGTTAACTCCTGGCTCTGCTCTCAGGAATTACTTCTGGTGGTGCTTGGGGGACCATATGGGATGCCAGGAATCGAACCCAGGTTGGCCGTGTGTGAGGCAAGCACTCTACCCATTAGACTGTCGCTCGGGCCCCAAGGCAAGCACTTTAACACCCCCTCCCCGTACTTTACTTTCTCTTTGGCCCCTGGAAGCAGATGGAATGCGGCAACTATGTCATCAGGAAGTACAGTGGGGTGAGAGGAGGCGGGAGGTTCTAGAGCTGCTGTCAGTGGCTCCGAAGGGCGAGGTAGCCAGGGAAAGGACACAGACAGCAGCTGGCCAAGGAAGGGGTGGATGAGACTAAAACGATGGAACCTGGGGCTGGCATCCAGCGGGGAGGGCGTTGGCCTTGCACGTGGCTGACCCGGATTCGATCCCCGGAGTCCCATAGATTCCACTGAGCATCAGTGGTAATTTCTGAGTGCAGGGCTAGGAGTAAGCTCTGAGCATCGCTGGGTGTGAATTCCCTTTCACTCCCCCCAGCCCCCCCCCCCCCCCCAAATAATAAAAAACAAAAACCAGAACTTGAGTCTCCCTCGGGTCAGGGGAGAGTGTGGCGTGGCTGCTAATTGTGGGGGTTTTTTTTGTTTGTTTGTTTTTTGTTTTTTTGTTTTTTTCAGGGACTGCTCGGCTGGGGCTACTATTTGATCATGCTTCCATTCCGGTTTACCTACTACACGATACTTGACATATTTCGGTAGGTGCCCTGGCGTTGTTCTCACAGGTGGCCGGGGGCGGTGTGGTGTTGGCCAGAGCGCCCTGGCCTTGTGTGGCGAGCAGAGTGCTAATCCGTGTGGGGGTACCCTGGTGGTCCTTCGAGACTTCTGAATCCTTGCCCTCTGCCATTTTAATTTTTATTGTTTTATTTTTTTTGCTTTTGGGGTTACACCTGGCGATGTTCAGGGGCCACTCCTGGCTCTGCGCTCAGGAATTACCTCAGGCAGTGCTCGGGGGACCATATGGGATGCCGGTGACTGAACCTGGGTTGGCTGCATGCAAGGCAAAACCACCAGCCCACTGTCCCATCGCTCCAGCCCCGTCCCTCGGACGTTTTTAGATCAGGATAAAAATGATTCAGGGGCCAGAGGACATGGGGAGGCTGTTTGCTGTGCATGCGGCTGACCTGGATTCTGAATTCTATCCCCAACACCCTCTAGAGATCCCTGAGTGCTACCAGATGTGGCCCCAACACCAAAATAAAAGTGAAATGTTTGAGCGAGACTCTCATTGTGTGTGGGGGAGTGGCCAGTCATCGGGCGCTTGCCTTGCACACAGCTGTCCCTGGCACCACCTTAGAGCACCATTCAGAGAGAACCCTGAACACTGAGCCCTGGCCGCCACCATATGTGGCCCTAGACCCCCCTACCCCCTCCAAAAAAAAGTACTTGAAACATTTTTATTTTTTGGTTTTTGGGTCACACCCGGCGATGCACAGGGGTTACTCCTGGCTCTGCACTCAGAAATCACTCCTGGCGGTGCTTGGGGGACCATATGGGGTGCTGGGAATCGAACCCGGGTCGGCCACGTGCAAAGCAAACACCCTCCCTGCTGTGCTATTGCTCCAGCCCTGGCCCCTAAAACGTTTTAAATATACTTGGCATTCTTCCGGTTGGGGCTCATGATGTCCTAAGTGGAGCCGGAGATTGAGTGGAGCCATCCCCATCAAAGCCTTAGTGCTCCCCCATCTCTTGGGCTTCAGGACCACTTTTTTTCGGTAGTGAGTCTGTCCCCGTGGGTTCTTCTTCCCCCCGCCCCGTGTTTTGTCCCCCGCACCTGCATTCCCTGGGTGATCCCCCCCTTTCTCACCACCGCCCTCTCCGAGGTGGCCCACGTGTATCTGGGCTTCTCCCCACACTTGCCCTCCCCTCGCTGTTCCTCGTTCGTGAGCAGTCAGCCAGCCCTCTTTCCATCCCTGTGTGGTTTCACAGTGAACGCTCAGGGCTCGGAGAGATAGCTCAGTTGTGCTCGCCTTGCACGTAGCTGACCCGGGTTCCATCTCGGGCACCCCCATGGGGTCCCCTGAGCTATGCCAGGAGTGATCCCTGAGCACAGGACCAAGAGTCACCCCTGAGTATCGCCAAGAAACCCAAAAGGGGCTGAATGCTCAGGGACCCGGAGAGAGAGGGCAGCGGGTATGTCTCTTGCATTACTTGTGGCCAACCCGGGTTCCATTGCTGGCACCCCTTCAGGTACCCCAGGCCATTCCAGGAGTGATCCCTGAGCACAAAGCCAGGAGTCAGCCGTGCCCACAACCAGGCGTAGCCCAGAAGCCAACATTAAACAAGAGTAATCATGGAAGGCCTCGAAAGCCTTTTAAGGGGACTTAGTTGGGGACTAGGGAGGTAAGGACCACGGGCAAAGTTGGTCCTGTATCCGGCCAACCCAGGTTCAGTTCCCATATGGTCCTGAGTCCCGCCAGGACCGAGCCCTGAGCACCGCCAGGTCTGGCCCCCAAATGTAAAGAAAAGGCCAAGCTGTGGTCTTGCCCCACCCCTTGCCCACGCACCCCACGTTTCTTTAGGTTGGCCTTGAGTGTCTGTGGCTGTGTCCTTGTCCACACGGAGTTTCCGGTGACGTTGTTGTGGCGTATTTGTTGAGATGCCTCTGTGTTGGGCTGAGGGTGCCGTCCATCTGTCCGTCTGTCCGCCCATCCACTCAGGGAGGCCTGCCCTTTGCCCTCCTGGCCTGGGGTGGCCGGGCAGCTGGGGAGCAGACCCCGCTGGCCCCGTGTTGGGCTGTCCTGGCCTCCCACCCAGGAAGGGACGATGCCCTCCAGAGCGGACAGACAGCGTCAGCCCGCCCTGTCCCCCAGACCTTGGCACACTGATGGAAACAGGGCACACGAGCTTGTCTTTGCTGCCTCACATGTGGATCCCCCCCAGCCCAGGCTTGCGAGCAGGGCCATTCCGAGTGGGGGGCTCTTGGGTGTCCCGGCCCGTGTTGTCCCACCCTCCCACCCCCACCCTGAGGATCTCGGGACCCTGAGTGGGGGCTGGTTCCCCCACGGAACCAGCCCCCCAGAACCAGCTATGTTACAGGAATCGCCCACTTGTGGGCACAAGCCACCTGACCGCGGGATGGGGGTTGGGGTGAGGGCGCCCAGTGGACTCCCGGGCTGATGCCCCTCGCTGCCCCTGGCTCTGCCCCAGCCCTGGCCGGAAGCCGATTTCACGCGCTCATTATTCCTCCCTCCCCAGGTTCGCTCTGCGTTTTATACGGCCAGACCCTCGCAGCCGGGTCACGGATCCCGTTGGGGACATTGTTTCCTTTATGCACTCTTTCGAAGAGAAATACGGCCGGGCACACCCTGTCTTCTACCAGGGCACCTACAGCCAGGTCAGTGCCAGCCGCCCTGCAGGCTGCCCATTGGCCTTGCAGCGCCAGCGCCAGGAAGCCATGTCCCTCCCTGCAACGGGGCCCAGAGCCCTGTGTACCCTAAAAGTGCCCATGACCGCCTCTGTCCCCTCCCTGACAAGACGTTCTCCCATCACTGCCCTCTGACCCGTCCGCTGGTGGCCGACTATTCTGCCGCCTCCTTTGCATGCTGCAGTAGCCATTTTGCTGGGCCTGGGTACTTGGTCGGTGGGGGGGGGGGGGGGGGGGGGCGGGGGGTTTGGTTTGGTTTCCGCTAAGAGCAGATTCCCTTTCCCCTGACGGTCTAGTGGTTCCGTCCAGTCTCTCTGTGGGCTGGAAGCGCCTACTGTGAGTTTTGGGGGTCTTATTTTTGGGGGAGGTATACCCGGTGGTTCCCAGGTATTGTTTCTGACTCTGTGCTCAGGGATCACTCCGCATGGGGATTCTCACCCAATCCCTATGGGATGCTGGGGAGCGAACCCAGGTTAGCCGTGCAAGGCAAACAACCCTTCCCCCTGGATTGTTGCTCCGGCCCCTCCTGCTGTGAGCTTCGCTGCCTCCCTTACAGATCTGAGGAGGGTCAGGCCTCTCTTGCTGTGCGCACTCTCCCCCTGCCCCCCCCAGCCCCAGAGGGGCGGCATGTGCGGAAATTAGGAGTTGGCAGAGGGGGAAGCTTCATCTCGACTCAGCCCCGAGAACGTTCTAGACTGACCACTGAGGGTACCAGAAGTCAAAGTGTGTCTCCGTTCTGTAGCCAGTCCAGGGTTTCTTGGGAAGAACAGCCTGGCTTGGGGCCCGAGTGATGACACAGAAGGGAGGGCACTTTCCTTGCACACGGCTGACCTGGGCTCCATCCCCATAGGGTCCCCCAAGCACCTCCAGGAGTGATCCCTGTGCGCAGAGCCAGGAGTCAGCCCTGAGCATCGCGGGGTGTGCCCCAGAACAAACAGACAAATGAAAACCAGTCACACTTGCTCTTGTTTCTTGCGGCCCTCCCACCCCACACACACCTGCTGTCCCATTCTCTGCTCCCACCATGCACAACCCCCGCTCCCTCATGGGGTCTAGAGCAGGTCTGGAGAGGGGAGGAGAGCCCCAGGCCTGTCCCTGCTGGGCTGGCTGGAGAAATGGAGTTGAAGGGGGTTGGCTTGGAAACTGAGAAACTGCCCCTAGGAACGTGCCATCAGCACAGACCCATGAAGCACCTCGATCTTTCCACGCCCCCCCCCCCCCCCCACACACACACCGGGTGCCTCCTGCCCCACGTTGAGTGGTGTGGCCTTCTCCTCTCCTCCCCGGGTTTGTAGGTCGGTCCTTGGTGCCCACCTGTGCTGTTCTCCTGTTCTCGGGGGCAGAGAACTGTGTGTGGGAGGGGACTGGGCAGGGAAGTGCGGCCTGGTGGTTGGCGCACTCACCCCGTTTCCCTCGCTTCTCTTTCGGTTCGCAAACACGTGGCCAAACCCGTCGCTGTCAGGACCCTGAGCCTGATGGATGGCGCCGGCCTGGGCCAGGGCCAGCCGCGGTCAGCGGGCGTGTCCTGTTTCTCCTAGGCTCTCAACGACGCCAAGCGGGAGCTGCGCTTCCTCCTGGTCTACCTGCACGGGGACGACCACCAGGACTCGGACGAGTTCTGCCGGTAGGTGGCGCCGTCGCCCGCTGGGGCTTGGCAGGGTGAGGGGAGGAGAGTCGTGGCACGGCAGGGCCAGGGGAGGTCAGAGGCCCCCCTGCTCATCTGCCCGTTCCTCCCTCCCCACAGAAACACGCTCTGCGCCCCCGAAGTCATCTCCCTCATCAACAGCAGGATGCTCTTCTGGGCCTGCTCCACCAACAAGCCCGAGGGCTACCGGGGTAAGGCAGCTTCAGAGCGAGCTGGAGGGGGCTGGACAGAGAGTGCCTGCCTTGGCACTAGAGAGACCCGGGTTCGATCCCCGGCATCCCTGAGTTCCGCCAATAGTACCCCTGGGCACAGCGAGGCCTGGGAGTCTGCAGGGTAAAGCTTCATACCTAGTGCCCTTCCAGCTACCTGTATTGTGACCACGCCTCTCCGGAGTCCTGGCCACGCCCACCAGGAGTCCTGGTCTTGCCCCTCTGGGAGTCCTGGCCACGCCCCTCTGTGACTCCTGGCCACGCCCCCGGCACCTCCTCCCCCTCCGCTGCTGATGGACCCCTACTTGCTCTCCCGCACCCCGTAGTCTCCCAGGCCTTGCGAGAAAACACCTATCCGTTCCTGGCCATGATCATGCTGAAGGACCGGAGGATGACCGTTGTGGGCCGGCTGGAGGGCCTCATCCAGCCCGATGACCTCACCAACCAGCTGACGTTCATCATGGACGCCAACCAGACGTACCTGGTGTCCGAGCGCCTGGAGAGGTACCTGGAACCGCCTTGGCTGGCTGGCTTTTGGCGTCTGAGTGTGGGGAGGGGCCTGACCCTGTGCTCTCCCAAACCTAAGCTTCTGTGCAGTGTCAGGCCACTGGAAAGGCCCCTGGCTCATGGGAGGAACGGTCCCGAACTGTGTCTTTTGGCTCTTAATGCCCTGTCCTCGGGATCGCTCCCTCACCGATTCCAGAGAATTGGGTCAAAAGGGACACAAGGGAATGGAGAGATAGTCCAGCAGGGAGGGCGTTTGCCTTGCATGTAACCAACCCAGGTTCAATCCCTGACATTCCATAGGTTTCCCCAAACATGACCAGGAGTGGTTACTGAGTACAGAGCCAGGTGTAAACCCTGAGCAATGATGAGTGTGGCCCCAAAAACAGAAAAGAACAAAAAAAAGCACAACCCAAGCTTCTATGGATAGCTCGTCTGTCATTTAGAACCTGGTGTGAAAAGCCACAAAGCAGCAGAAAAAAGCGATTCTCACTTCTCCCAGCAGAGTTTTGACATTCTTGTATGAAAAGTTGGAAAACTGCAGAGAAGTTAGTTTTTCTGTTTACTGTTTGAGGGGGGTCGGGGTGTAGTACCGTACACAGGTGTGCTGCGGGGGTATTTGTCTGTGGTCTCCCAGGGGGACCCCTAGTGTCGCTCAGTGTCACAGCTGATAGTGCTTGAGAGAGGCTGGGAAGCACGTACTTCCACATGCAGAGCCCGAGTGGCAGCCCCCTTGCAACCATCTCCCCTGCACTTTCCTTTACATTTTCTAGAGGCGGGGCTGGAGTGATAGCACAGTGGGTAGGGTGTTTGCCTCGCACGCAGCCAACACGGGTTCGATTCCCAGCACCCCATATGGTCCCCTGAGCACCGCCAGGAGTAATTTCTGAGTGCAGAGCCAGGAGGAACCCCTGTGCATTGCAGGGTATAACCCCCCAAGAATTTTTTTTCTAAAGGCATACACACGTATGGAGAAATTTCATTTCATTTCATCATCCTGTTATTCGTCAATTGCCTCGAGCAGGCCCCAGTAACGTCTCTTTCATCCTAGCCCTGAGATTATATTCAAGGCTCTTTAGGAGAATGAGACCCATCATTGTTACTGGTATTTGGCATATTTGGTAGGCCACGGGGAGTTTGCCAGACTCTGCCCTGTGGGCAGGCTACATTCGATAGCCTGCAAGTTTGTCCAAAGTAGGAATAAGACAATAAGATGTCATAAAAAAAGTTCTGATAAGATGTTGCGCGGCCGCAAATGCGGCCGCGCGGTTCCGGGATCTGGATTTTATAGTCTCTGTGTCTTGGCCGCTGATGGGATTACACGGCGCCAGGGGGCCAGGTGGTGGGTGTGACCCCCGCCTACTGGAATTTGGAGGATCTGGGTGGAAGATGCTCGACTCCAATTCGAGTAGGCTTGGAGGTCTCGGCCCCGGAACCCGCGTGGCTTTGTCCTTCTGCCAGTCTCTGCCCCCGCGCCTGGGTGTTCCTTCCCGGAGTTCCTTGGAGGGGAGCGGGTTGAGCTTTCCTCCCCGCCCCGACCAGGGCTACGGCAGCCGAAGACCTCCAGGACCAGCCACCACCATGCTGAGACCACTCTCCGCACACATGAAGGTACTGGCAGAGGGACAAAGCCACGCGGGTTCCGGGGCCGAGACCTCCAAGCCTACTCGAATTGGAGTCGAGCATCTTCCACCCAGATCCTCCAAATTCCAGTAGGCGGGGGTCACACCCACCACCTGGCCCCCTGGCACCGTGTAATCCCATCAGCGGCCAAGACTCAGAGACTATAAAATCCAGATCCCGGACGAGAACAGTGCAGTCTCTGCCCCCGCGCCTGGGTGTTCCTTCCCGGAGTCCCTTGGAGGGGAGCGGGTTGAGCTTTCCTCCCCGCCCCGACCAGGGCTACGGCAGCCGAAGACCTTCAGGACCAGCCACCACCGTATGGAGAAAAAGCATAGAAAATAGGCCAGAATGTTCAGTTTCCTCCGTAGGTTAAAGCTGGGAAGAAGAGTGAAAAAGTGTTTGACTTTTTTTTTTCCCCGTTTTTGTTTGGGCCACACCTGGCTAACTCATGGCCCTGTGCTCAGGGATCACTCCTGGTGGTGCTCGGCACCCTGTGGGATGCCGGGGATCGAACCCGGGTCATCCATGGCCAAGGCTGCACCCTCCCCACTGCACTGTGTCTCCGGCCACCCCTCTGCGATGTGAGGTTTGCAGACTGCAGCTTGGCTGGAATTGGGAAGGGAGCGTGTTAGTTTGAATTGAAGGGGCAAGAGAAAGTTTGAGGGCCAGAGCGATAGCCCAGCGGGTAGGTCATTTGCTTTGCACACGGCCGACCCGGGTTCAATCCCTGGCATCCCGTATGAGCACCACCAGGAGTAATTTCTGAGCTCAGAGCCAGGAGTAACCCCTGAGCATCGCCGGGTGTGACCTAAAAAGTAAATTTAAAAAAAAAGCTGAGAGGTGAAGGTTTACCCTGTCCCCTGACTGACTCTCTAGGGGCCCCCAAAAGGTGTGAGCTCTAATTGTCTGCCCAGGTCAGCACTTTGCTTACTTACTCCCGCAAGCATTGTTTTGAAGAAAACAAACGGGGCTGGGGGTGGAGGGGGACATGGAAGTGGACGCGGGGATCGCTCACAGGCAGGGTGGGGGACAGCGCCCAGTCTGGTGGCCCGGGCTGCCCCACCAAGAAGGCGCTTGTGCGTGTGCCCTTGCCCCGGCGGGCTCTGCAGGGAAGAGCGGAACCAGACCCAGGTGCTGCGGCAGCAGCAGGATGAAGCCTACCTGGCGTCGCTGCGGGCCGACCAGGAGAAGGAGCGCAAGAAGCGGGAGGAACGAGAACGCAAGCGGCGGAAGGAGGAGGAGCTGCAGCAGCAGAAGCTGGCAGAGGAGCGGCGGCGGCGGGTGAGGGTTCCCCCCACCCCCACCCTTCCCGCCGGGACCCCCGGGGCGCGGCACACAGCCCCACCTTGGCCCCGTGTCTCCGTAGGACTTGCAAGAGGAGAAGGAGCGGAAGTTGGAGTGCCTGCCCCCCGAGCCCTCCCCCGACGACCCCGAAAGCGTCAAGATCATTTTCAAATTACCCAACGACTCGCGCGTGGAGAGACGGTTCCACTTCTCACAGTCTCTCACGGTAAGGAGGCGCCTGTCTGTCGCGGGGGTCGGAGCCCCGACAGCATCAGCTTGGGCGGGGGGATCTCAGGGTTCCTGGGAGGGGGGTGTGTTGAGGGGGGGAAATGTTGTGATGAGAGTGGAAAGGCAGGAAATGGGTTCGGGGGCGATGCGGGCACGGCCTCCCGTCCCAGCTGCTAGTTTGCTTTGCCCATCGTGGCCTCTGCTCAGTTCTGGGCTCTGCGCAGAAACTGGCCTGAGCATTACCCTCCCCTCCCCTCCCCTCCCCTCCCCTCCCCCATGACTAGGAGGCGGGGATTGAACCTGGGCTGACCGCTTGCACGGCAAACGTCCTACCCGCTGTCCTGTCACCTGGGCCCCAAGGATCGGGCCATCCTGGCCGTTCGCTCACGCCCTCTGCAGTCCCTGGTTAGGGTTTCCTCTGGCTTGGGGCCCACGGGGGCACGAGGTTCTTCCCCAGCAAGATCAGAGGGCTCAGCCAGTGGGGCTATGGTTCCCGGCAAGGCCCAAGAAGGCTGTGCGCTTGTGGGGGCCGACCTGATGATTTCCCCCCCCCCCCCCCAACCCCCAGGGTCCCAGGGCTGTCCATGTGTCTCTGGTGGCCGAAGCTGTTCATGTGGAAGTAAGAGACTCAGGGTGTCGTGGCCACGCTTGGCACCACGCTTAGATGTAGTCCCAGCCCTCCAGTGCTAGCGGGCACCTTGGGCATTCATTGGTGGCCAAGTCAAATTGTCTGTGCCCATTGAGAGTGGGAATGCCATCCCCAAGCATAGACCAGGCCTGCCACGGAGGTAGTGCAGGCCTGGTGAGAGGTAGCGTGGGCCCCATCGGACATACTGTGGGCCCGGTTGAGGTAGTGCAGGCTGGTGTCAGCCACGAAGACTTGGTTTTCCTAGGCATTGTGTCCACATAGTGCTCACCCGGTACCTGTGGCCTGCCAAACGCAGCAACACCAGGTCACAGACCCAAGTGTAGCGTCACCCTGGTTTCAGGGATACAGACAGGAGGTGAAAGTGGGGGGGCAGGGGGGGCGCTGGAGAGAGAGCACAGCGGGTAGGGCGTTTGCCTTGCACGCGGCCAACCCGGGTTCGATTCCCAACATCCCATAGGGTCCCCTGAGCACCGCCAGGAGTAACCCCTGTGCATCGCCAGGTGTGACCCAAAAAGCAAAGAAAAATTGTGCAGGGGGGAGAGCATCGGTGCCCACCCAGCCGGCTGGAAGCGGCATTGGCCCTGCCCTGCTCTTGCTAAGTGCGGCCCCTGGGAGGTTTCCAGGCGGGACAGGACCAACCACGGCCCTGCCCAGGTGGCCCGGAAGCCCAGGGCCTCGGGGTCCCTTTAGAACCGGGCTAAAGAGAGAATGAAACTCTGCACACAAACCGCCCTTGGGTGGGTCTCGGTGCTGCATTGGGAGTGGCAGGTCCCAGGCAGGTCTCTCCCTCACAGCTGCCCTTGTCCGTCTTTCTTTTGCCGTCTGCAGGTCATTCACGACTTCTTGTTTTCCTTGAAAGAAAGCCCCGAGAAGTTTCAGATCGAAGCCAACTTCCCCCGCCGGGTGCTGCCCTGCACCCCCTCGGAGGAGTGGCCCAACCCCCCCACGCTGCAGGAGGCGGGACTCAGCCACACAGAAGTGCTCTTTGTTCAGGACCTCACAGACGAATGACACTGTCTGCCTTGCCCCTCCAGCCCCTGTCCCTCCAAGAAACGGAAAACATACACACACACACAACACACAAGCACCAAAAACTAAAAACAAAAAAAAGAAAGAGAAATTCCTATTATTATTATTATTATAATACGATATTTTTTTTAAAAGACTGCTGCATTCTAAGGAAGGATCGGAAACTGTCTGCCACAGCCACCACCTGCGTGTGCAAGAGGTGAGCCCTGAGCGCGCCTGCCTGCTCTTCCCTGCCGCTGATGCACCTCGAACCTTCCAGAACCTTCCAGCACCTTTCGGCTGTTGTTCCGAACGGGAGGGGGCATCCCACCGGCGCGTGTTCGTTGTGGCTTTTCTGGAAACGAGAAGCGAAGGATTTCAGGGGTGACACCCCACCCCGGGACACACCCCTCCAGCTTCCACGGAGCCACGCGTGCGTGGGTCGGGCGGGGAGGAGACAGCAAGCGGAGCCCGGCCTCGAACTTCCGGCGCGATTCATGAAGAATTTGCCTTTTTATTTTATTATTTTTTTTTCTGGTTGCTTTGTAAATGACCAAAGGAATGAGGCTGACCGTAGGTGTATTTTTTCTCCCCCTCCCTCTCTTCCCTGTATTTGATAAAAGAGCCAATTTTTCCAATCCACGAGTTCGGGCCCGGGGTCTCCCGCCACCTACCCCCCGAGTGTGATGAAGGTACCCCGGGCTGGCTGGGGACCGGTGTTGGCAGGCGTCCCCGTCGGCTTCCCGGGGAAAGTCGTTCTAGTGGGTCCAGCACTTTGCCGGCCTTTCCCGTGTGGGGCCCTGGGGGGATGCAGGGGTGGGGTGTGGCGAGGTGATCCCCCCAGCCCCCAGGCTCTGTCTGCCTAGGCATCCCCCTGGCTTTACCGCCACCCTTGGGGTGCGCCATGTCCCCCAATGCCCTCTGCTTGGTGCCTTTCTAGAGGATTCCCAGGGCCAGACACTCGGGGCTTCCCCCTCCCCTCAGTGGGAGTGGGGGACAGGGTTGGAAAGATACGGAAATGTTGTGGGGACCCACCTTGTGATCATTTCCCCCACCTGTGGGGGGGTGTTACGTGGCCTTTATGATGGAGACACTCTCCAGTGTGAACCTCCCTTCTCTGAGGCGTGGGTTTCTGTTGGGGGTGGTGATGGGCCATGTTGGGTACTGGCAGACACTGCTGCTCAAGCTCACGGCTGTCCCCGCGTTGCCTGCTCCGGTGTGACGGCTGTGCATGTGCCCTAATGGGGCAGCTTTGGGGACGTGGCCATTGGTGGGCTGAGCAGCAGGCAGTGGGTCTGAGTGGAGGTGGGGAGGGGTCCCACCACCCAGAGCAGAACTCGCCCAGCTCTAGCGGCAGTGACCCTAAAGGGGCGCTCTGGCGGCAGTGCTTGGGGGCCTTGGGGTGACCTCTGGGAAGTGCCAGGAGAACCCCAGCAATAGTACAGGTGGTCTGGCGCCCCGTCCGTTCTGCCAGACGTGGCCAAAAACCCCAACCCAGTTCCATCTCCTTCCTGCTCAGCCCCAACCCCCGCGTCCCCCAGGACAGCTGCGCCTGTCCGCTGGCCCCCAGAGGGTCCAAAAAACCACCTCCAGGAGCAAAAGCTATTTCCCCCCACCCCTGTCACTCCCCTGCCTGCTTCCCTTGCCCCTCTCCTGGGCTCCAGGGAACCGGGCCTGACCACCACGCTTTCGGATGTGGCCAGCGTCATTCCGGAACCATTCTGTCCTCATCCGTTTCCGTCCATGCACTTTATGCCTCTAACCCCACTGGGCCGCGGGGAGCTCAAAGGGCCAGGAATGTCCAGCTGGCCTTCCTCGGACACCCCCCAAACTTGGCCCGCTGCCCTGGGGTCAACTCTTCCCGCTGCAGTTTTCCGAGGGAGCATCTTGGGACCATCCCAGGGGCCCAGCCTGGGAGCTCCAACTTTGCATTTCCAAGTTCACGCGGCGGTACCCTCCCCAGTCTGAGGGGGTCCCTGCCGCCACATCACAGGGAGAGAGGCCCAAGCAGAGACCCCCCCCCCCCGAGACCCCTCTCTGCATTGGAGATTGTTGGGTTCCTGTAGTCACCCCTCCCTACACACACACACACACACACAGAGTTGGGCTTCTGTCTCACAGCCAATATTCCTCTTTGCTGGCCTCGTCTTTGTGAGTCTGGCTGAGCAAGGACATGGCCAGAGCAGAGTATCTGTTTCAACCAAGACAGCAAAACTAAACCAACTAAAAAGAACCTAGAATCTTCCACCTGAGCAGTCATTATGAGAATCACTAAGTGTGCCAAGCCCAAGGGAAGAGGAGCTTCAGTGAACCTGGGGGGGGGGGGGGCAAACGTGTGTTGGGGGGGGGGCGACAGGCCGGGCTGACACCCCCTTCCCCAGAAGGCAAAAATCAGGGGAGTCTTCTGGTGCTGGAGCAAGGAGTCCCCCCTGCCCTTGCCCCAGAGCTGGTGTTGGGAGATTAAAAGCGTAGGCGGCCGCCCCCCAACCCCCCGACACATACTTACTGCCCCCTCATAGTTCTGTGATCAACTTCCTGAGGAAATCTAGTGTACTTCAAAAAAATTTTTTTTTCATAAAAGTTTACATTGTATTGTAGGTTAACATTAAATGTTTTATAACAAACTTTTCATAGCAAGGTGTGGGCTTTCTGTGGAGAGAGGGCTGGGTCTTGTGGGGTAGGGAAGGGGAAGGGAGGAGGGGGCGTCATGCTGGAGGGGGGGTGTTGGGGGGCATCAGGCCCGGGTTGTCCGTTGTTTTCTTTTGCTCAGGGCTTAATCCCAGCTCTGCATTTAGGGGACGCTTTGGGATGGCAGGTATTGAACCCGGGTTGGACACCTGCAGAATGAGTGAAGCACTCGGCCCCAGGTTTGTAGATTGAAGTGGGATAAACAAGTCCACATGAAGCATTTCCCTTGTCCTTCAAGGAAAGCCCCTTGAGCTTCATTGGTTTGATTTTGGGGTTGACACCCTGCAGGGCTCAGGGGTCACTCTTGGCGGGGCTGAAGGGACCGTGTGGTATAACAGGGATCGAACTCCAGTCGACTGTGTGCCAGGCAAATGCCCTACCCGCTGTACTACCATTCGGGCCCATGGGCAGTTTGGAAGGGAACCAGTTAATAACAAATTTCCTAAATTTATTACCAGGAAACCTGGGAATGACTAAATTTTCTAAGAATTTTTGTTGCCATAGTTCGGGTCACATGTGTCAGTGCTCAGGGCTCAGCGGCAGGGCTCAGGACACCCTGTGGGAGGGTTGTCAGGATCAAACCCAGGGCCAGGCAAGCCCTACCTGTTGTCCTGTCTTCCCAGCCTTAGGAATGGAATTTTTTTAAAAATTTTTTTTTGCTTTTTGGGTCACACCTGGCGAAGCGTAGGGATTCCTCCTGGCTCATGCACTCAGGAATTACTTATGGCGGTGCTTGGGGGACCCTATGGGATGCTGGGAATCGAACCAGGTTCGGCCGTGTGCAAGGCAAACGTCCTCCCCGCTGTGCTATTGCTCCAGCCCCAGGAATGGAATTTTTTACTAGTTCAATATTTGTGATCATCTGAGAAGCTATTTATACTTTCCCCAACAGCCCCTGTTCTCTGTCCCATCTGTGATCAGCACCATTACCAATAACCGATTGTCTTTGGGTTACCAGTGAGGTAACCAGGGTAACCTGGCTCTGTGCTCAGGAATGACTTCTGGCAGTGTTCAGGGAACTCTGTGTTGGCCACGTGCAAGACAAGCGCCTTACTGGCAGTGTATCTCTCTGGTCCCCTCTTGGGTCACACATGGCAGTACTCCGGGGTAATTACTCCTGGCTCTCAGCTCATAAACCACCCGTGGCGGTGCGCAGGGGACCATATGGGATGCAGGGGGTGAGGTGGGGGATTAAGCCCAGATCGGAAGCAGGGAAGCAGGCAAGGCAACCGCCCTTTCCGCTGGACCTGTTTTTCTTGTCGGTTTGGAGGACTAGAGGTACTCGGGAGCGACCCCTGGAGGGGGATCGATGTCAGGTCATGGCCAAAAGCCTTTTTCTCCTGCACTGTGGCCTCTGGCCAATGTTTTTTTTTTTTTGCTTTTTGGGTCACACCCGGCAATGCAGAGGGGTTACTCCTGACTCATGCACTCAGGAATTTCTCCTGGGTGTGCTCAGGGACCATATGGGATGCTGGAAATCGAACCCGGGTCGGCTGTGTGCAAGGCAAACGCCCTACCCGCTGTACTATCGCTCCAGTCCTGGCCAATGCTTTTTTTTAGTTTTTGGGTCACACCGGGTGATGCTCAGGGGTTACTCCTGGCTCTGCACTAAGCAGACCACATCAGATGCCAGGAATCGAATCTGGGTCCGCTGCGTGTAAGGCAAGCGTCCTATCCACTGTACTATCATTCTGACCCCTGGACAATTATATTCCAAACCCTCTCCTCCCCCCCACCCCAGCCCAGCTCCTACCTCAGACTCCTACCCCCACCCCGTCCGATCCCCAACAACAAAGGCAGCCGAAATCAGCTTGATAATACATACTTAATAATACATCATACATTTATTAGTGAATATCCCTCTGAAATCAGCAACAATATTAAAAAAAATAATGATTGCACTACTTGGTCAAGCAGAACTAGCAACTTTTCCATTTTAAAAAAAGTACAAATCTGTTAAAAATTTCAATCAGTATACACATATATATATAATACAACATACTAGTTCGGTTAAATGCTACAAACCTATCGGAATCAAGAAAACGGAGGAAAAAACCACACATTTAAGCTTTAAGAACCATTTTTTTCTCTATATATTAGCATTTTCTCAAATACATACATGGGAAAAAATGAGGTAACTGTAAAATGTGCAAGGAACAGGCCCCCCCATCGCTTATATATATATACATACATATATACACACACATATATGTAATTATATATACGTACATATACACACATGTAATTCTATATATACGTACATATGCATACACATATATATGTAATTATATATATATAAAAAACCTCTCGAACACACAACGCAGATGCTGGATCCCCCCACCCCCCGTGGGGCTGGGTGGCCCATGCCACGGCCGGAAGTTGCGCAGAGTAAACAATGACAAGCCCCGACGGCAGAGATAGTGTCACAGGTAACATCACCTCTAGAGCAAGATTGGCAAATCACGGACATCCTACGGAATTGTTTTGAGCAATCGGAGTTTTTAATGATTTTTTTTCTTGCAAAGGTTCCGTTACCCCCCGGGCCCCCCCCCCCCCGCTCCCCCTCCTTTGGACCCCTTTGCTGGCGTCCTGGTTGTAGCTGCTGCGTGCTGCTATGGGTTGTCCGTGGGACCCCCCCGCCTGTCCCCCAGAACTGCTGAGCTGGGGGTGGGTTGGTCTTGGTGTAAAACTCGGGAAGGGCGGGGGGAGGGGGTTTCAACACTGCTATAAATATAGAAAGTCACCTGGAGTTATATACAGTATAAGACTCTGTGTTCTCCACAGGGGGAATGTGGCCAGGTGGATAAACCCCTCCCTGTGGCAGGCTGGGGGGGGGGTCGGCGGTGGGAGAACGGGTGGTCAGCCAGGGTGGCTCTGGGGAAGAACGACGGTGGTTGGAGCATCCCTGAGGCAGCAGGAGCCAGGAAGGGGGTTGGGGGGGGAGAGGAATGATGGGCTCCTTGCTAGGATGTGCCGGCCCCACACGCGGTTCGTTCTAAGGGTGTGGGGTGGGATGGGGTGAACCCCAGTTTGGGGTAGAGAAGGCGGACAACAGGGCCCGGGGGAGGAGGGAGATGGAAGCCAGTCGGACCCACTGGGCAGGTGTGTGTGTGGGGGTGTCCCTCTGGATCCAGGAGGGTTGGGATCTGGGGGGTGGGGCCGGGGCCCCCATCTCCCCAGTCTTGTAGGAGGAGCCTCGCCTGGGCAGGGCAAAGTGCCCTGATGAGCCGCCAGTGGGCTCAGGGGGGGCCCTGGAGGCCGTGTGCTGTGAGGCGTGGCAGTTATCAGCTGAGCAGACCCCCCAGAGCCCCTCTGCCTGGCCCCAGTGGTGCACACAGGCCCGTTGACACCCCGCTCGTGGGGTACTTGGTCCCGGGTATGTTCCTAAGAGTGACCCCGCGTCCCCTTCAGAAGAAGAAGGAAAAAAAAAGCCTAAAAAAAAATGCCGCCTCTACCCCCCAAATCCTGCAAGTGATTTCAGGCCAAAGGAAATCAAACAAAAAACAGCTTTCATGCAAAATAACAATAGTGGGGGGGGGGGGGCTCAGCTGGGGGACCCTCCCTAGTAAACCGGAAGTCATGCTCCTCCCTGCGACTCCCTCCACCCCACGTGCACAGTGGCTCAGCAGCAGAGCTGGAATGTGGCGCTGGGGGGAGTGGGGGGGGCTGAATGCTCCCCCCTCCTAGGCAGCCCTGCGAGTGTGGGGGTCCCGCGGGCGGGCGGGCGGGCAGGCTATGGCGTGTGCGTGCCTGCCCCGTGCCTCACCAGTTTCGCCAAGACAGCCGGCAGCCGGGGCACGGGGCCCACCCCCCAAATCTCTGCCCATCCTGGACCCCACCGGGGGCCAGGGCTTCCGTGGGGAGGTACACGGATCCTGGGCTCCCCATGAGCGTGCGTGAGTGCGTGCACGCCAGGAAGGCGGAGCTACAGGCTTGGGGGAGGGGGCGTGGGGGGTGCCGCACGCCTCCCACCGCAGCTCTAGCAGGGGGCGACAGGGCAGACAGGCAGGCCGACAGGAAGGAGTCTTTGGAGCTTGGCAAATGGAGGGGCTTATTGCAAAGGAGGCGCCAACCTAGCCGTCAGCGGAGAAGATGCAGGTGGGGCGGACGGGGCAGGCCTGAGCCGACCCCCCCCCTCCCGGGTCCCCACACCCCAGAGCTTTGGGGGCGGGTGCTCCCGGGAAGCTGGGGGGCCTGGGGAGGGGGGCTCACTCGGCCTCCCTGGGCACCTCGGAGGCGTCGGCCCGGCAAATGGGGCATGTCCGGTTGGCCTGGCAGGGGAGGGGAGGGAAGGGAAGGGGTCATGAGTCAGAATCTCTCCCTCAGAACCCCAGTCCCGGGTCCGAGCCTCTGACACGACCCAGCGGGGCGGTGAGCACTTTACCCGGTCTGTGGCTGCAACCCCAGGTCCCCAGTTCAATCTCTCTGTCCCTGTTGGCACCACATCCAATTCCTCCCGCCCCTCTCCACCCCCCCCACCCCCGCCATGCCAACAGGGGTCACTCCTGAGCACAGAGGCAAAAGGTGGGTCAGGGTACGCGCAGTCACGCGGCTTCCTTACCTTCAGCCACTTGTCCACACACTTGGCGTGGAACTCGTGGTTGCACGGGAGAACCCGGAGCAGCTGCCGCGCCTCGAAGTCACTGAAGCAGACGACACACCTGTGCAAGGGGGGCAGTGGAGTGTCACCCCCAGGGCCCCCCCATCATGCCACCACGACCCTGCCCCACCTCCCCCCGCTGCTCACAGCGTCTGCTCCGACTGGTGGCTGTCGGGGTTGAAGCGGTACGATGGGAGTTGCTCAATGTCTGCTTTGGTGAGGCCCCGGGGCTTGGCATCTCCCAGCCGCTCTGCCAGGTTCAAGAGGGCCTGCAGGCAGCAGAAGGAAGGGGCTTGAGCCAACTGGAGGACCCCCCCACGCTGTTCAGCAATCCCCCTTCCCCCGGCAGACGAGACTTCCCGGGCACCTCATAATTTTCCATCTCCACGTCGTCCACATCCAGGTCCAGGCTGATGGTGGGCCCCATGGCTGTGGGGGACATTGGCAGCATCGAGCTGCGGGGAGAGAAGGCGAGAAGGGGCCCAAGTCAATGAGCACCTGGGCCAGGGGGCGTGGCTCAGGTGGCGGGCGTGGCCACACACGGGGCGTGGCTTCTAGTTGGGGGCATGGCCAAGCCAGCTGAGGGTACTTACAGGAAGTAGGGCAGGAAGCTGGGGTAATAAGGTGGTGGGGGCGGCGGCGGGGGCGGTGGGGGCAGCGGCTGCTGCAGGCGGTATCTCTGAGTGCTCAGCCTCCGGGGCACCATGTGGGGGTACGGCTGCAAGAAAGGGGGGGGTTTGGGAGCCAGGTCAGACCGGGCCCATCCCCAATTCCACTCCCTGAGCCCCCGCCCCGCCCCCCACCTCCCGGGCTGTAAGTGGGCACTCACCACGCCGAACGGCAGCTCCGGGTGCAGTGCATCGTGAGGCAGGTAATGCAGGGGCATGGACGGCGACAGGGCCGGGCCGGGGGCTGAGGTGGGGTAGGGGAAACCCCCCAGCGGGTGCTGGTCGCCCCGCAGGTCGACCTCACTGTCCAGACGCTGTAGGGGCCCGGAGTCAGTGACGTGGGATCAGCCTACCAATTCCCCGCCTCCCCCATCCCATCTTGTGGGGACCGCCGCTGCCCCGTGTGTGTCTCACCATCCGCGGGTGCTGAGCCTGCAACGACACGAACTGCCCCAGGGGTGCCATGTGGGCCGGCTGTGGGTGTGGGGCGGGCGGTGGGGGGTGCAGGATGTAGTGGTCACTGGAGATGAGATGGGGGTACGCCTGGTAGGGTACTGGGAGCTGCTGGACCGTGCAGGTCTGGATCAGCTGCTGAGGAAGTGTGTGGGGGACGGAGAGACAAGCAGGGGTCTGCACATGGCCCATTCCACCCTGTCAAGCTTCTCCCCTCTCCGTGCTCCCAGGGCACCCCCCAACTCCCCTCAAGGCCACCCCCCAGTTCCCAACCCCAAATCATCCAGGATAGATCCAGAGGTTCCCGGGTGGCCCAGATTGTTCAAACGAGGAACCCACTTCCCTAGACAGGGTTGGGGCTTTCAGTGGGGCAGGCATGGGAGCGGCATCGGTGCTCTTACCGGGGGTGGGAGACAGCAAAGTGGGTACTGCTGCCCACTGAACATCACGGAGCATGCTGGCAACTGCTGGGTACTGCAGCCAGGGATGTGCTGGCTGGCAGGCAAGGGAAAGCCCTGGGTGGTCACCGTGGTGACCGTGTAGGACAGAGGGACGGGGCCCTGGTGCACCTGTGCAGGGAGAGACCCGTGCACGAAGCTGTGGGAGGGCTGCCCTCCCCCCAACAATTGGCTCTAGACAATCCACATCTAGAACCAGACAGATCCTGCCTCCGCGCCCCCAACACATCTGGTTCAGACCAACCTCAAGCAGCTCAGGCTCCAGGGCCCTCCCCGAGGCTCTCCCGTCCAGCCAGGTGGGGCTCTGGGGGACCCCAGGAGCTGCAGGAGAGCCGCCCGTTCCCCATCCCCCATCCCCCATCCGCAGACTCCACTTGCCCGTCTGGGAAATGGGTCCAAAAGCACCACCATCCCTGCCTACCTGTTCGTGGAGATCAACCATGAACGGGCTCTGCTGGGAGGCTGGGTGCAGCATTCGCGGGCTCCCGCCGGCAGGAGCCAAAGCTCGGCGCTCCTCTAGGACACGGACTGGCCGAGGCGGCACCTGCTGGAGGGACAAAAGTGCTCATCTTGGGCAGGCGGAGGCCCCAGGAGGATGGAGGGGGCTGGGGGTCGCTCGGCTCAGAGGCCACCAAGCCCCTGAACGCCTACCTTTCCCAAGGCCGGCTTCTGCAGGGAATCGTGGCTGACCCACCGGCGCAGACGGGGACCACCTAGTCACTGTCAGTGCCCATGGTCTCATCAGGGGCGACAGGGCGGTGGAGGGGCGGGGCTGGGGCTCGCAAGCCTAGAAGGAAAAGAGGGGGTCAGTGAGTTCTGGCCACGGACACAGGCCACGGCGGGGTCCAGGCCCCGGGCAGAATCCCCAACAATGCAAGGTGCCTCAGGACCACTGGGAGTGACCTTCCCCTGAAAGGAGAAGACGAGGGTAAGGTGCTCACCGTGTATGTGGCTGATCCCAGTGGGATTCCCAGGACCTCATGGTCCCCAACTACCACCAGGAGTGACCTCCCAGCATCCCTGGTGTGGCCCAAATCTGATTCCATTAAAAAAAAAAAGAGGCTGGTGCAATAGTACAGTTAGGGAGGATGCTAACCTTGCTTGTGGCTAACTCGGGTTCGATCCCAGCACCCCAGATGGTCGCCGAGCCAGCCGGGAGTAACCCCTGGAGCCCAGAGCCAGGAATCAGCCCTGAGCATCGTCAGGTGTGACCTGTCCCATCCCCCCAAAAAAATAATCAAATGAAAAAGGATCATGATAAAGGAGAGGTTCGGTTCCTTGCCCTCTTAGGGGTGGGGCTCTGGGAGACCCCAGGATCCCTCCCTTCCATGTGGCTGACGGCAGCTAAGCAGGCTGACCCGGGTCTCCTGACCTGGTGGTGGTTCCAAACCAAGGCCAGCCAGAACTCCCGAGAGCTGGAGCGATAGTACGGCGGGGAGGGCGTTTGCCTTGCACGCGGCCAACCCAGGTTCGATTCCCAGCATCCCACAGGGTCCCCCAAGCACTGCCAAGAGTTATTCCTGAGTGCATGAGCCAGGAGTAACCCCATCGCTGGGTGTGACCCAGAAAGAAAAAAAAGAAAAAAACAGAACCCTCTCCAGAGCACACCCCCAAGCCCCAAGCATCACTCAGCTCCTCTTCAAGGTGGGGGGCAGCCCAGCTGCTCCCTAGAGGCCTAAGGGGAACCCCAGGGCGCCTGGCTCTGGGCCCGATTCCCCCACCATGAGGCCCTTGAAGAAAAAAGGGAAGGGAGGGTGGGGGGGCTTATTGGGTTTCTTCGTGGTGAAAAATAAGTATTGGTAAAGGGAAATGTGATTGATATTTGCATGACCGAGACCTAAACCTGAAAGCTTTGTAACTTTTCCCACAGCAATTCAATAAATAAATAAAGAATGTTAAAAAAAAAAAAAGGGAAGCGAAAAAGGCCGGAAGGAAGCGTTGGAGGAACGGGGTGCAGAGGCGAGGCTCCTGCGGGCAGGGAGGTGCTGGGGCCCAGGTAGGGGAGCCGCAGCTCTTGTGAGAAGGCCCTGGAGACACAGAGTCTGGAACCTTCCAGATTTTGAACATTCCTGGGAAGGACCACTCCGCCCTGGAGGCCCCTCCAAGTGTCCCTCAGTGGAAAACGGCAGAACAGCCACCTGGGCCCTCAAGAGGGGGCCGCCGTGCTGGGTTGGCTGCATGTACCGAAGTCCCGTCCTTAGTATGATGTCTTTTTTTTTTTTTCTTTTTGGGTTACACCCAGCGATGCTCAGGGCTTACTCCTGGCTCATGCACTCAGGAATTACTCCTGGCGGTGCTCAGGGGATCCTATGGGATGCTGGGAATCAAACCCGGGTCAGTTGCATGCAAGGCAAATGCCCTACCCGCTGTGCTATGGCTCCAGCCCCAGAATGATGTCTTCTTATTCTGTGCTAATGGGGTACCCAAAACCAGAGTCTCACACATTCAAAATGGTTCTCTTCGCTGAACCTCCTTCGTGGTCGCAGGTTATTTTACACCAATTTCCCAGCCACTGCTCTGAACTCCACTTCCTTCCTGCCATAAGGGGTCCAGAAACATGCCAGAAGGCCCCATTCCCAGCAAGGCTCTGGCAGCTAGGAGAGCAGGCCTGGACCCTGGGCCCAGGAAGTGAATCTGACAAGGACTTGGACCCACGCATCACCCACCCCCAGGACCAAGCATTCAAGGACAGACCTTCAAGTTTCAGCTTGCTGCAAGTGGCATCTATCCTGACCCCAACATCGGGACACCTGCGTCTTTACATTACAGGCCCAGCCACTGAGGCAGAGAGAGGAAACCTCTTCCACCAAAACAGCAGCTGCCGGCTACCCCAGATCTTAGGATGGGGGTCTCTAAGAACTGGCAAACAAGGGTAGCTAGATTTGTTTCTCCGTGGTGGGTATTTTTGGGTTTTGTTTTGAGGCCAAATCCGGCAATGCTCAGAACATTTTTTTGTTTGTTTTTGGGTCACATCCAGGGATGCACAGGGGTTATTCCTGGCTCATGCACTCAGGAATGACTCCTGGCTGGTGCTCGGGGGACCCTATGGGATGCTGAGAATCGAACCCGGGTCAGCCGCGTGCAAGGCAAATGCCCTCCCCGCTGTGCTATCACTCCAGTCCCCAGTGCTCAGAACTTATTCCTAGCTTTGTAACTCAGGGATCATCCTGGCAGAGCCGAGGGGGGTACCAAGAATCGAACCTGGGTTGGCTGCGTGTATGGCGGTAGCCTTAAGCCCGGTCAGCCAGGTTCCATCTCCCTCACGTGATCTGTCTTTTTATTTTGCTGTGCTGGGAAATCCAAACCGGAATCTCACACATTCAAAATGGTTCTCTTTCCTGAATCTCCTTCCTGGTCTTGAGCGCTCCAGGTTTTTCCCCCCCAACTTCCCAGTCACTGCCTCAGACATCCCAGGCACCCCAGATCCCGAAGGTTGCTTCCTGCAACCAGAGTCCCAGCTGCATTCCTGCAGGCACCCCCCCAGAGCACCCCTCAGGTGGGGAAACTGGGGCCCAGAAAGAACAGATCAAAGTTCCCAGGCCCATGGGGGAATGAGGGGGCCTGCCCGAAGCCACCTTCAAGGACAGCTAATCCCCCCAAAAAAGGGAAATAGCACTGAAGTCAGACACCAGGACCCGAGCAGGGTCTGGCAGTGTGTTTTATTATTTAATTGCTTTTTTGGTCACACCCAGTGATGCACTGGGGTTACTTCTGGCTCTGCACTTAGGAATCACTCTCCTGGCGGTGCTCGAGGGACTCTATGGGATGCTGGGAATTGAACCCAAGTTCGGCTGCGTGCAAGGCAAACCGCCCTACCCACTGTGCTTTGGCTCCAGCCCCTGGCAGCGTGTTTTAGCACTCCACCTGGCTCTCTCTGGAGCTCAGGCTCAACTCCTGGCTGTGCTCACGGGGCCATATGGGGTAACAAACATCAAATCCGGGTCAGCCATGTGCCAGACAAGTGCCCTAGACACTGCTGGACCATCTCTCCCAGAGCAGGCTTTCTTCAAGGCATGCCGAGTCCCCTCTCCACAAGGGGCTGGGGAGGAGGTTCAGTGTGAGGAAGCTGACAGGCTGCTTCCTGGCCCCAGCCACAAGCAGAGATCAGAAGTCCCAGCTTGAGCAGGCTAGGGAGGGGCCCCTGGTTTGGGGAAGTGAAAATCCTCTGTGGGACCAGAGGTGGCACGCAGGGACACACCCACTTCCAAGGAAGGGGGGGGAACACCCCACACACAGTGATAGGAGAGCAGGTAGGAGTTGTTTGCCTAGCAGGTAGCAGACGGGGGCTCCATCCGAGCTTCACTAAGGACTAATTCCTGCGTGCAAAGCCAGGAGTAACTCGTGAGCATTAGCCAGGTAGGGCCCCCAAAACAAACAAATAAAACACAAAGGAAGGAGCCCGAGATCCAGAGAAGCAGAAACAGGTCCGGGCACGTGGTTGGGGAGATGGCCCCAACCATCAGCACCGATACCCCCTCCCCACCAAACACCTAAATTCCAACTCCAGTCCAGGCTTTGCAGGCGATTCGGAGCACCCTCTTGGGGGAGTGGGGGGGGCGCACACCTCCGTGTAGACACGCAAGGAGTAAAAGCAACAACGTGCTCAAGGTCAAGACCATTCCAGGTGGCACCCGCGCCCGCATTCCCCCTCTCCAGATATGGACCGGGAGGTGTGCAACCACACCTCCCCCGCCGAGGTCCGGAAGGGCCGGGGTTAAAGGGGACTCAGTGACTGCGGGATCCCCTAGACCTAAATCCAATCTGGCCTGCAAACTAGCATCCGCCCCAAACCTTGGCTCTAGGGAGCACCTGCTTTGCCGCATGGCGGGGGGGGGGGGGCGGGGGGCAGGTTAGGGGGACCGGGACGCGGGAAGAGGGTGGGTGGCTGTTTGCAGAAACAAGGAACCCTTTTGATCTGGGCAAGGCAGAGAGCCCTGGGGAACTTCGGCAGATTCGGGCAGAAGAGGAGCTTCCTTCCAACCACTCCTGCCCTGGGGGGGGGGTGTTCTCAAGCACGCGACCCCCACCCCACCCCACCCCGGGAGCGAGAGACGCTCCCCAAGAGAGACGCTCCCCAAGTGGCCGGTGGCCCCGGGAGACGTTTGAGGGCTGGACCACTGGCCCGGGTCGGAGAATCCTTTAACCTGCCCCAACTCCCAGGATGACCTTGGCCATAGGAAATCGCTCCTGGGCGCCTCAGTTAGCATAACCATACAATGGGGGTGACCATCCCTCCTTCCGGGTGCGCCGAAATCAAAGTAGCAGCTAGAAGACCGTGGGGGGTGGGGGGGTGAGAAGAAGGGGGTGTGTGGTGTGTGTGTGGGGGTGGGGACCCGCTGCCTCCAGGTGTCCACAGGAACCAGGGAAGACAAACTGGGTTTCCCGCGCCCACCCCCCCAGGGCCAGGTGCAAGCTGGAGGTGCGTGGGGGAGCAAAGGGGCGAGGCGCGACCCCCGCTCCTCTCCCTCTCCTTCTCCCCTCCTTTGTGCGGGGCTCCTGGGGCCGCGGGAGGCGCACGGCCCGACTGCGGCGGGCGCGCTGTGACTTTAAGAGCCCGGGCTCCGGGACCATGTGCTCGGCGTGAGACAAAAGCAACAACAAAGGAAGTGGCGGCGCAGGGGGAGGGGGCGGCTCCTTCCTCTGCACCCAGAGTTCTCAGCCTCGGGAGACCCAGACCCCGGCCCCGGCCCTGCCTGGCGCCGAAGGCACCCCCCACCCCGAGTCTAGAGGTATCGCCCTCGACCCCCTCCCTCCCCAAGCCACCCCACCGATTAACCCCTGCGGGGC